AATTATTACTCAAGTACACTGGGAAGTGGCCAGTTTATGGCACAGAATGACCACGTCTCACATAAAATAAATAATACTGTGGCAGGGGAGGAGTGGTAGTGTTTTGAAAGTACTCGGAGGGGTGGTACTCCAAGTTCCTTAGAGTATACAGCAAAAACCCTTATGATAACTGGATGCACCTATGAATGTTAAATAATGTAGCTTATCAAAATATGTGGCGGTGCAGCAATGCAAGTAATGTACCTTTTTATTGTGCTTATCTGTAATTGGTGAATGTCAAATCCCATAAGCATGGTCACTAACTGAGGTAACAATAGCAGTGGCAGTGTATGAAGCAGTTCTCATAGAATGAGTTCTTGGAGAGTATCTACACTAGCAAACTTGCAGCATGGCTACCATGCAATGAAGTTGCTGTCAGTCAATCAACATACTGATCTCTATAATTCATATATGTATCATTTCATTCCTTACATTCTATGAACATTTCAAAATGAGTATTATATTAACTTATGATGCTTCATTTTAAAATGTAATTTGTTTTTAGATGTCTCTAGACCAGCATGTTTTCAAAAGGACAAAGTGGATTTGATATCTTGCCCCACTTCAATGTTCCTTTTCATCCTAAATTACATGACGAGATAATGGACATTGCCTAACTCTTATGTGTGTGCATATGACTTTAAAGTTTAAGCACTGATATATAGCCTCCCTTTGTTTGATGTATGTAATCTATAGAATTGGATGAAGGTCACAGCTGGAATTAACTAGTAATTAAGACGCAAAGAAATGTCTGGCTTCATCCGATCAATATAGTATGAGTGTGTGTAGTGCTGTGAATTAAAAACTGAATGTTTAAATTGAAGCAACAAATCTTCATCTATAGTCACAGACAGACTATTTTGCAAATCAGTTTTCAATTCACCAGAATTCAGTGTTTGATGTGGAAAACCTATAAGAATGTGAGTTATTCTTATATATTATACAATTATGTCCCTGTTTGTGAATTAATAATCAAATAATTAACACATCAATGCTTGGAATGTGTTAATAAATATAGAAATTTAAACCATATTACCTCTTCGTTGTCTGAGTCTGTCTCAGAGTCTGCAGATTTGTCTTCCCAAATGCAGCACGCAGTTTGCACGTTTTGAAAATGGGAGCATGATTCTTCCCCCTCGACCTCACTATTGTAGCAGGTGTTGATTTGTTGCAGTGTCATGAATTTTAAAGACATACAAAGGTGTGTATTTATGCTTCCATTGTCACTGAGGCCTTGACTCATTTGATCATCACTGATTAGACTGCATTTATAACCTTCCATTTCTCCATTCATCTTCCTGTGGAAATAAATAATTAAAACTATTAAAAACAGAAAAAGTGGAATTTAATAGATACTTTATCATACAATGTAAATAATTTATGTTTGTATTACATTATATTTATGGTACTTCATATATAGACTCTGCTATTTTTTTGGTAATTCTTTCTTTTATTAAGGCCAATGGGAGCGGCGCCAACCTCTACTAGACCTTTAAGGTTTTCATTTCGTCTCACATTAACAGAAAAAAATGCAATATGAACAAATTTAAACGATAAACTTATTATGCAGCCCACAGTCACTTGAAGGAGTGTCAGCTTGCTTTTTAGTCAAGTCTCCAGTCGCGTCGTCAGTTGTGAACGTGGGACGAAGGGGACAACGGTAGTTGTGTCCAAGCTGTGAGTGCTGGATTGGCTCTTGCCGCCCTGTCTGGTGCTGGTAGTCCCAGTGCCCGAAACAGGGCTGGTGCTTCCTCAATAGAAGAGAGGCTCCGGGTAGTTCCATTCTGGTCCACCAACAGAGATCTCGGCGTTGACCAGCGATAAGTGATGCCTACTGCTCCAGGTGAGTGGTGATAGAGTGGAGTTATCTTCTCCATTGCAGGGTGGACCGTGAGAGATCCTGGTAGAATCTTAGCTCTGTGTCCTCGGACAGGTAGGTCGTCTTGTTCCGTAGGGCCGTTAGGAGAGCTTTTTTGTCCAAGGGAGCAAAGGACTAGGATATCGCTCCCATCTAAAGCAGGGGCTCATGGAGATTTAGGCAGGTGAAATACACCATCGAACATAACTTTTTTGGCCTATGTCGGTGGTAGAAGTGATGCTACCATGTGCCTAGGGTAATGTGGAAGTTCTTCCGTGGTTATGGTTGCAGGCACATCGCATATTTTCAGGTACCTTCAGCCGACGTCAGCGCCGAATACGCATGTGCAGCAAGAGCCGCGCTCGCATTCAAGCTGTCCATAGGAAAGCTTTCTCAATGATGTCCTATGGACGTCAGCGTCAATCGCGGAAGCGCCTCTAGTGGTTGTCAGTGAGACAGCCACTAGAGGCTGGATTAAACTGCTATGTTTACAGCTGCAGGGTTAAAACTAGATGGACCTGGCATCCAGACCACTTCATTGAGCTGAAGTGGTCTGGGTGCCTACAGTGGTCCTTTAACATGTTTAGATTTTGTCACATTAACATAGATTTCTGATACAACCAGATACATCTGGCGGTTTGACTGCTTTTGATGCCTGGGAGTCTATGAAACAATATCATTATCTTCTGCAATTTATTGCGATATCTAACATGAGCAATATACATCACTTGAATCATTTATTATTATAACAAATAACTAATGTGTTTTACCAGGAAGACTAGATGAGACTTGAGACTTTTATTGCTTTCAAATATGTCCTGGGATATAGATGTTACTATTACTTAACTCTTAGCTCTTTGGTACTAATTTACATCTGAAAGACAGAAGGTTGATTTAATTCTTCTGGGAATAAAACCTCTGTCCTTAAAGTTTGAACAGGTACAAACAGATGCAGCACAAGTAGTAATATAGAGTAAATGTAAAGAGTTTATTTGAAAAGAGTGAGTTACTTGACTTCTGAAACATGATGGAGATTGAAAATGTAATCCATATTCCGTTCCCCCAACCGCACCATGGAAGCTTTAACAAATGTTTAAATGAACAAAGTAAAATACTAACATAGTCTGCTAAAGCTGTTAACTAATTACATGTCTCAAACATTTTCAACACTTTTACCCTTCTTGGCAAGGGAGAGTTAACATAGGGATGTAAGTAGACTACAAATTTAGTTACAGTGAAAGTTAGACTGAAAGATGACACAAGGTGCATCAAGTTCAGTCTGTAGGGCTTGGCAATATCTACTATCTTGCAAAATGTTGATCCAGAACATGCCAAATGAAACCTTTCACTCCTGCCAATGCAAAGCAAGCCAAACATTTCTTTCCCAATCCTATATATACAAGCCACATGTGGAAAATGCAATAGAGCTAATTCATTTTCAAGTAAATTTAGCTTTGTACCTTTGAACTGGTTTGATTATCAACACTGTAATGAGATTGTAATCAGTTGCCTTTTGTCCAGCATATAAAAGTATAAATATTGTTACGCCTTTATGTCTCTGGAAATATTATTGGTGATTTTTGCCAAACTGTGAAAAACTGGCTTGGTGGCAACTCCAACTAAAAACTGCAACCTGTACCTCAAGTACCTCTAAGTGGCACTGTCACTTCTGAGGGAATTACATTATTTAAGAAATGTTGAAAATCACTGATAACGTGTGTTAACATTTTTTCATGTCATGGTTTGTTTTATTTTAAAATGTACAATAAAGGTTTAGGAAGTGACAAAAGAGATAGAGTACAGTACATAATACAAAAAAAATTAAAAAAAAATTGCTGAGCCGATACAGAGTTTCAGTTTCTTCTCTCTCTCTCTCTCTCTCTCTATGTATATTCCAATTCAGAAAAGGGCAGTATTTATAATGATGATTGTTTGCAAAAAAACTTGATAAAGATTCAGAAAACAGCCAAAGCGTTGTCAGTACTTCCTTGTTTCAAATAAAAAGACTGCATTTTAGAAGAATCCTCAGGTGTGCCTGGATATTTATTTTCTTCCATTTATAATAATGATTGACAGTCAAATAGATGGTGGTTCCCAAGTCCAGGCTGTATGTGTGAATTTCTACATTTAATTTCATTTTGAAGAGGTTTTGCCCACCTTTTCATTATATTGTTTGATGTTTGGATGTCTTGCTGGGACATTATTGAGTGCACTGTGGATTTGTCTTTTCCATTGGCATACAGTTAGGCATTACTCTAGTGACGCTGGTCTAGAAGACTGAGTTGTCCAATCCGTCCTTAGAATAAGGCTCCATCACAGTCTATTGATATTAAGTGTGTGTTTTGGTTTTCTGTATTGGATTTTCTGGTTTCAACTTTTGGCATTTCTGAGGTTGGTGGGGACACTGTTAGGGTACTGGCGGTCCGGATCACCCTGTCTGCTCCTAACGGAGCTGTAATTACTACTGCTAGCATTAACATTGGGTATTTCTAAACTCAGGACAAAATTTTGAAACTATTTAGCATGGGTGTTTTTTGGCAGTTGTAGATGAGCAACAGATTTTAGGGGTCAAAGTTATAAAAAAATGTGTTTTTAAAAATGTTTTCATCATATTTTATAATTTCTGTTATAGCAGAATATATGATGTGATGACAATAATGGTAAGTTTAGAAAGACCATTTAACGGCGAGAAGAATGGTATATAATATGTGTGGGTACAGTAAATGAATAAGAGGAAAATTACAGCTAAACACAAACAACGCAGAAATGTAAAAACAGCCCTGGTCCTTAACAGTAAGAAAACTGAAAAACAGCCTGGCCACTAAGGGGTTAAAAAAGGATGTATTTCCATGTGTCTCATAACTGATATAGTGCAACCATGATAGAAAGGTGTGACAATGCCTTTAGTTTACCTAGAGATACATAAAGCTCGTGTTTACACAGCTGGCATTGCCCTATTTGTCCAGATAAATGATGAAGGTTGTGATTTATGGCGTAATCCTGTGAAATACGCCGCAGGGATGTAAGTGGAGCCCGGCAGACACGCCGCCCAGAGATGCTGACTAGCTCTGCCAGGTCACAGGTTGAGCCGGGGACATGGTATTGAGCAAATGACGTATGACGCTCCCCGAACCTTCTCCAGCCTATGCCGCGCGCTGCCACCCTGGGAGTTGTAGTTCGCTTTCACAAAACACGTACTTCTCATGCGCAGGAAACTGCAACTACCATCATGCTCCGGGGCTGCGCCCATCCATTGACAAAGTAAGAGGCAGAGCAGGAAGAGCGGTGTGTGTGCTGCATTTCGCGGGAATTTCTATACAAGTTACAGTCGCTTGTCGTGGGGGCAGACCCCTGGTTACATTCAATAGGTTTCCTGTTGTTTGGGATTGTTGACAGATTAGTGAAGGGGTGGGGTGTCAGCTAGGTGACCGGTGTCTGTGAAGGATTACAGCGCCTCATGGTCATTATATTGATATGAGCAGTCTGTTATAGGGTCCTGGAGTCTACATTGAATTAATAATAGTTACTGTCCCATGACTGTGTAAATACTGTGTGTGGCAGTCCCCCTTGTTTAGCAGTATTGGTGATTAATATTATAAGGAGTGCTATCAAGACCACTGACTGCTTGGGTTTGGGCTTGTTGTGTTATGTTTTCATTATTCAGCCCACCTTTGTAGTTTTTTTTTTTCTTTCCCACAGAGTTCATAAATCTTCTGCCCCTGTAGGTGTGAAAGGTTATCATGGATGATGCTATAGGAACACCGACAGATGACAGCACAGATAAATTGGTACACTGTCCAGTATGTGACCTGGAATTATTAGCTACAGCTATCAACTCCCACCTTGATAACTGCCTGCAAGTAAAGCCCATAGGGGGGGTGGCAGGTAAGAAAAGACGCCTCTCCTCCCCTGAGGATTCAGGGATGTCTGAAAGTACCCAACCTCTTAAGAGGCTCTCAAATGCACCCAACTTTCCTCTCTTTCACAAACCTAAATCTTCTGATGGACCGTCTGAAGAACCTTCCTTTGCTGCTCAATCTTCCAGAACACCAGATTCAAAAAATAAACATGCAGAATCACATATGCCCTCTAATTCAGACTGTCCACAAAAACAAGGGAACTGGCTGCTGCAATCTACTAGCTTAATCCAGGGAGACCAACCCAAGGAAAAGAGCTTGGCAGAGAAATTGGATGGCAAACCATTGGCAGACAAAATGAGACCTTGCAGTCTGCAAGATTATATGGGGCAAAATAAGGTTCTAGGAGAAAATACAATGCTCAGGACTCTGCTACAGTCCAATGAAATTCCGTCTATTATACTTTGGGGGCCTCCAGGATGTGGAAAGGTGGGTGCTCTCTCAACAGGTTTTTGTTTTGTGCCAGTAAATCAACAAATGTACTCAATTGTACATTGAGTACAAAAGTTGTAATGTGTTAAATTGACTGCTAAAGCAGATTTATGCATTTTGCTTTTATAAAAGCTGGTAATATGCAGTATCGTTGCCTTGCTGCTAAAGGGATTCTCCAAGCACCAAAACAACTTTACCTTAATTAAACCGTTTTGGTGCATAGATCATGCCACTGTATTTTCACTGCTCAGTTCTCTATTTAGGAGTTAAATCACTTTGTTTAGGAAGACCTAGACCCAACTCTTCTGGCTGTTCCTCACAGCATCCCATACAAAGTTTAATTTTCAAACCAATCTCATTTATTTTATAAGATTTCCTGCTTTAAAAAAAAAAAAAATAATTATATATTTTTTGTAAATGGAAGTATAATCGTGCACAGGAGACTGCAGCAGGTTTCAACAGAGAATGAACAGAGCAGGAGATACGTTCTAAATTAAAGGGACACTATTGTCACCAGAACAACTAAAGCTTATTGTAGTTGTTCTAAGTATAGTCCCTGCAGGCTTTTTAATGTAAACGCTGTCTTTTCAAAGAGAAGACAGTGTTGACTTTTCTGCCTAGGGACACCTCCAGTGGCCACTCCTCATTATAATACAATTCACCATTTTAAAACACTTATATTTGTGTTCAGCGAAGTTTCCCGAGCAAAACTGTATGCCCCATGTACAGGTTTTATGGTGTCTTGGAAAGTGACAGGGTTAACTATAGTTCTTGCGAATTAAAGGACCACTATAGGCACCCAGACCACTTCAGCTCAATTAAGTGGTCTGGGTGCCAGGTCCCTCTAGGGTTAACCCTGCCTGCTGTAAAAATAGCAGTTTCAGAGAAACTCCTATGTTTACATATGGGTTAATCCAGCCTCTAGTGGCTGTCTCATTGACAGCCGCTAGAGGCGCTTCCACGCTCCTCACTGTGATTTTCATGCCGAGGTAGCATGGCGCTGGAGAAAGGTGTGAGTATTTAACCCCTTCCTCCCCCTTCAGCCCGGCGGGAGGGGGACCATGAGGGTGGGGGGGACCTATTAATACTATAGTGCCAGGAAAACGAGTTTGTTTTTTTTCTGGCACTATAGTGATCCTTTAAATTCTCTACACTTTCTGCCTTGGTTGTCAGGCACGTCAATCAAGTAGTGCAAGGCTGCGCCAAAGTATATCAATGAGGACTAGAGATAGTAAAAAGCATATAGATGAAACATATATATATATATATATATATAAGTGCAAACAAATAGTAATTGGGATGTTGCTATTGCATATAAAATAGTCCAAAATGGTTAAAAGTTGCACTGTGGCTATAAATGTCTTATAGGGTGCTTTTGGTGATGGGGTGTCCTCACTGTTTATAGTTGCCCGATTGTTCTCATAATATGGAAGGCACAAGATGAAAGACCGATCGGATAGAATGTATGGGTCAATATATGTGAGAAGAGATATATATATATATATATATATATATATATATATTCGACTCACATTTAGAAGAGCTTTAGCCAGCTCAGGTATGACAGGCGTACAGCGGTATGATACCTGCTTACGGGATATATGGATGATTGTCTTCTGTAGGTAATGATGTCCATCTCTTGGGAAAGGGATATATAAAAACAGCTAATAGTGCTCTCTGTTCTAACAGGGTATAGAATTAGCATAAAAATGAAAATGTACTTACAAGTATAGTGCAGGCCATCTGCACTATGGTAACAGCGTTGGTGGTGTGATCCCCACCTCGGATAAACTTGTAAGTACGCAATAAAATCGATAAGATTGATAAAAAGCCAGGTAAAAAATAGAGAATGTGTGTAAAAAGATAGTTGGCACAAAATAGTAACCAAAAAACCTTTTAATTAGATAAAATACACATATAATAAAACCATTTACGCTTTTCGCCACTAGGGCTTTTTGAAAATGGGATAAGATAAACAACCTGGCTGATAGGAGTATATATAGGTACACAATAAATAAAAAATTGGTGCCAAAAAAAACATAATTTTGTCAATAGTGAATAGAAAGAGTCAAACATCACATATTGTATAAATGAAAATAAGGTTTACATTAATGACATTACACAGGGTCTTATGTAGTTAAAATTACTTAAAAACGAGGTGTAGGAGCATAGAAATGCTTGGATTAAGCGAGTTACATGATTCGCGTGGAATACAAGTGTGCATGGCATTTTGGGAAATTTAGTTGTTAGATGCGCGAGTCTGCAACATTGCTCGCTTTCTCCACACACTGCCACCTATGATTACACCAGTCATGTGACTCGCTTTTTAAGTAACTTTTACTACATAAGACCCTGTATAATGTGGGGTATGTTTAGTCTTTTTTTAGTAGCCACCTAGTCACAGACACTTGCCAAATATTAGTTTTATGCTTTTTTCACACAAAAACAAATATGAACGCTAACTCTGGCCAGTGTTTGTGACTAAGTGGCTACTAAAAAAGACTGCGCATACACCACTTGCAATACCTTGGGTTGTCTACTTTTGCAAATAGTACGCCATCGTGGGGGTAATTCTCATTCCTGTGCTATCATACGGTCTCAAAGGTAACATTACTAAACTGACAAATTTCAATTTAAAAAAAACTAAAAAAGGAAATATGCTTTATTTCACCCTGTAACTTTCAAAAAGTAAAACCTGTTAATGGGGGGTGCTGTTTTACTCGTGAGACATTGCTGAATACAAATAAGTGCATCTTATTGCAGTAAAAGCTAATAGTATTATGATATGTACAGCTAAAATGCGGAACTACAAATTATTTAAAAAATCTTAATTACTCATAAGAAGAGTTCATGCGAAATTAAAGCCCTGTTTCTCCTGAACAAAATGATACATAATAAGTGTAGATGCACTTAATATGAAAGAGGTGAATTATGGTTGAACAGACATATAGCGCAAATTCCAGTTTTTGTTTACATTTTGTTTTGATCAGAACGTGTACTGTTGACTCCGTCCTGAAGGTGTTAAGGGGTTAATATCTTACCTGGGGTCATGCAGAGCTGCTCTGCACTACAGCTAAGTAAGAGACACAGCGCCAACTTTATACTCCTTGCTGCCGCAAGGACAGTTTCCTAAGTGTACCCCACGACCATCTCTCTCTCTCATTGTTTCATTGATGTATGATCCATGGAGGCCCACCTCACAAACCTCACAACAACAACATTCTTGCTGTTGTCCCGAGCCCTCTCTGCTTGAGTTAAGCTCCATTGTGAGCTTACATTCTAAAGGGAAATATGTGTTGAGACAAAAGGTAGCAGACGAGAAAAACAAGATGATGGGTATCATAGAAAAAAATTGCCGTGGGCTATTGAATACTTGGTGAAATAATTGGTGACTTGACAAAATTAAGTATGGTAGGCCCTGGTGGTGGGGAACATGTACAATGTATGTTGATCTCTATGAGGAATTTTTATTTTTAATTTTTTTTAATTCAGCCATGCTTCTGTTAAAGGGACACTATAGTCACCCAGACCACTTCAGCTCAATGAAGTGGTCTGGGTGCCAGGTCCCCCAGGTTTTAACCCTTCAGATGTAAACATAGCAGTTTCAGAGAAACTATGTTTACATTGCAGGGTTAATCCAACCTCTAGTGGCTGTCTTCTTGACAGCCGCTAGAGGCGCTTCTGCGATGCAAAATTTGCATCTAGCGTGCAGAACGTCTATAGGAAAGCATTGATATATGCTTTTCTATAGGCTGTTTGCGCGCGCGCCTCTTGCCGCGCATGTGCATTCCGCTCCACTCGGGAACTGACGGCCGCGGGGGAGGAGAGGTTACTTAAAGGTAAGTAACTGAGGGGGTTTTAACCCCTTCAGCACCAATGGAGGGTGACCCTGAGGGTGGGGGGTAGGGGGGTCTTAAGGATGAAATTAGTTTGTTTTCCTGACACTATAGTGATCCTTTAACAATTTTAATGAGTAGTACTTGGTATAGGAGAAAAATAAAACGATGGTAAGAAAGGAATAACCTTCCACCAGGGTTTCAATGGTTGTGGGACACCCAGGGCATAACCCAAAATAAACATAGAAAGAAGGACTGGAAGGGGTAATCTAAATAAACAAACCCACTAACAGACCTACTGCCCTTATAGAAACTGCTCTATCATTGATAGGTTAAGTAATTTAGAGCAAAAAAAGAAAGAAACTATAATATTATTAAACCCTAATGAGGCAATAACTAAACAAATCTAAATAACAATGTGAATAATAAAGTGTTAAAAAAACAAACTAATAAATAAAAATGAAAAAATAAGTGGTTAAAATAAGACCAACCGTTGTATCAATTAGATCTAACAGTACAGACGGAGACTGATATTTTATAGAATGTTACAAATCAGTACAACAAAGTTGCTTGTCTCTGTCTTATACTGAATTTGATCTTAATCTGTGGGGTATATTGGTAAAGGTTAGTGCTTGATTATGGGACAGATAGAGAGCATCATCCTGAGTAAGGTCATAAGTGACTTAAGGTAGAGGTGTCTCAAGTTACCCATGTAAATATCAAACATATCCCTTGGAGGATGATAGGTAGGTACATAAAAATAAAATTAAAGAGATATTTAGGGAAGTTTGTAGCAGCAAACCCCAGATTGAATGTTGAATCAACTGGGAAGCTAGAAGTTAAATTACATTAATAAACTCTTCCCCAATTATAATATCCCAGTGAGTAATGTTCCCAGCAAATGATATTGTGAAGAAATCCCCCTTTTGTACAATATTTCTTCCCTATTTCATTCGGTAGATTTAACTACCGAACAAAGACCACCCCCTGGCTCATTAAACTTCAAAGACTGCTTCAATTAATCCCTCTATCTGTGCGGCCAGCGTTCGTACTACCGAACGCCACGTGGCTGAGAAAACCGTGGCCATCTTTGTTCATGCGAACAAAGGCAGCGGGACTTGGTAGTCGAGTGTCTGGAACTAAAATCGGACACTCGACTTCCCGAACACCGGTCTCAAACAGACGAACGCTGGAACTCTAATTACCGAATAGCTAGAAGAGCGCTATTCGGTACTTTGGTGCATTCGACAGAGGGGAACAATCGCTGCTGAGAGCCAGGGGGATCCATTCGGTACTTGATTCGCTTTTTCCCTTTTACTAAAGTGACCGGCAAAACCCACCAAACCCATGGAACTGTTTTGGGCAGCCAGCCCAGGGTAAGCCGGTCACAGAAGACTTCCACAGTTTTTGAGAACCCCTGAACCGATCTGGGTGAAATTTGAATATGTTTGTCACCCAGATCAGGGCTATCATGGGACATGTTTGTGGGGATACCTCAAGTATAAAGGGGTGTTTCAGATATTGGGGAAAAATTTGATTTTTCTGCCTGGAGATAATCAAGTTTGTACTTTATCAGACTTATCTCCAGGGCTAGGGGAGGGAATTGTGGGTGTGTTATGTTTTTACGGTACCTGATTGGTTAATCTTTGTCCCTCCCTGGGGGATGTCCCCTTGTATGGGGACTTGCATAAAAGCCAGTGTGCACTCATTAAAAGCTAGTTCAGTTGAACCCTTCTTCTTGACTTCGGCTGATGTTTGGGGATTCGTGTGTTTCATTAAGGGAATTATCTTATGAAACTACGGGGATTACTATACGATTCGTCTACTTTATCTACCGAACGGAGAGCTATAATCACTAATCCTCTGGCGGTTCGGGAGGAAACTACCGAATGAGGTTTAAATATACTTGGTTTCCTTACAACTGGTGGCAAGCGGAGGAATTCAAATCCCGAATGGACGCCCTGAACCAAGCAAGGGAATGAATGGCTCAGCAATACCAGCTACTTAAGAGAACCACGGTAAAGGATTTACTGGAAGCTCGAGGCGTAGTGGCAAGTAACAAGATAAAAGCCACGTTAATTGCAGAATTAATACAGAGCGACAGAACCAGCAATACAGAGATGGAGCATGAGGAAGAAACCGAGATGCAGAAAGATATCAGATGGATGCTCCGTGTATTGGGACCCAATCCATCAACAGAAGCGGTTCTGCAGGTCATGGCACAAGCCAGGCAAGCGCAAAAAGAGCGAGAGGACCGAGACAGACCGTTACAGAGAGATTTGCTACACTCCCCAGGAAGTACCAATGACCTACCAAAGAAGGTAAATTATGCAGCATTTAAAAGTTTTAATGACAATGAAATGGAAATTGACAGTTATTTGCAAGACTTTGAACGTCAATGTGCGCTGGAGGGATTAGACTCCACAAAATGGGCTGCAGTACTTAGCAGCAAGCTGTCCGGCAGAGCAGCCGAAGCATGGAGAGCAGTGCCTGATGGGGACATACATAATTATGACAAAGTAAAAGACATTTTGTTGGCCAGATACGCTGTAACCCCTGAGGCATACCGGAAAAAGTTTCGGGAACTTTGAAAGACAGGGAGAGATTCTCACACTGAATGGGCTTTTCGGCTACACAGGGCAGCCCGTAATTGGATGCAGGGCTGTCAAGCAACTACCCTGGAGGATGCCTTACAACTTATGCTGCTGGAACAATTCTTTAACTGCACTGCAGATGATATCAAAGATTGGGTAAAGGACAGAAAACCTAAAACAGTGGAGGAAGCCGCCAGACTAGCGGATGAATACCAAGACAACGGGGGGAGCAAACCCATGTTTAAGCCCAACTACCCGGCTCCAGCACCAACTGCCACCCCTAGAGCCACCATAAGCAACACACCACAAGGCCCAGCAGCAACACCTTGACCCCCTGCAGTGTGTCATTACTGTAAGCAGCCAGGACATTACTAGAACTAGTGTCCTCGTTTAAACAGAGGAAGCTGGGAAAGGCAACCACCACAACAACCCAGGGCAGTCGCCCATTGTGTGCAACAGGAAAGTTTTACCAGCGCACCTAACCAAGAAGAGCAGTGGAGTGTGTTACATGAGGTCAATCCAGTGCAAGCTGGGGGCGACAACTGGGGCCACCACCGCCAATGGATTACAGTGAATGGCATGGGGTCCCGAGCTCTGAGAGACTCTGGGGCCACTCTAACGGTGGTACAACCACACACGGTCAAGACGCACACTCGCACTGGTCGCACCGTAGCCGTAAGGGTGGCTGGGGGTGCCATACACAAGCTACTTCTGGGTCCAAACAGTTGGAGGTCGGCATCATGTAGGAACTGCCAGCTGAGGTCTTATTGGGAAATGACGTCGGCTGTTTAACCTCTCAACTAACCCGGGACACTACTGTGGAAGCCTACCCCGTTACCACCCGTGCCCAAGCCAGACTGGAAGCACCGCAGCAATCTGAGGACAACCAGGTAGGGTATAGAAAGGCCGTAGAGGTCCCTAAGGGGGACACCCCCCACGAAAAGTTTGAATGGTATAAGGGATTGTTGTACCGAGTGACAGAAGGGGTGGGACGCGGGGCCACGCAAGTCACTAAAAGACAACTGGTAGTACCCCGTAAATTTCGAGCCGAGTTATTAAAACTCAGTCATGATATCCACCTAGCAGGACATCTAGGGGTCAAAAAGACGAGGGACCGTTTGACCCAAACGTTCTTCTGGCCTAGGATCACGCAAGACCTTAAGTATTATTGTAGGACGTGTGACATATGTCAAAGAATAGGCAAGAGAGGTGACCACCAGAAAGCCAAACACCACCCTTTACCCATTATAGAGGAACCCTTCCACCGAGTAGCAGTGGACTTAATAGGACCTCTCAGCCGACCCTGTCAGTCCGGCAAGAAACTCATTTTAACTGTAGTGGACTACGCCACTAGATACCCGGAAGCAGTAGCCCTCGCAAACATAGAGGCCGAGACTGTGGCAGAGGCCCTAGTTAAAATATTCTCCTGGGTAGGTTTTCCCCAGGAGATCCTGTCCGAAAGAGGAACTCCGTTCACAGCCCTCCTGACCCAGCAATTGTGGCAGAGCTGCGGAGTAAAAGCCCTATTCAGCACCCCCTATTATTCCTTACAGGTATCTATATGTAGCAATGTGTAGTGAACTGTAAAGGGTAACTCACTCAGTGGTATATGCCGCTTAGGGTAGAGGTCTATTGGTATGTAATCAGGGGATGTGACTTTTGTGGGGATATGTTGTATTTTGGGGTTTGTAAAAATGTATGTTTTTTCTGTTTAGAGTTAGTTGAGTTAGCCCATTGTCTTTGTTAATTGTATCACAGGCAGAGGGGAGGGATTGTGTAGTTCAAGTGGGAGTGTCGTACATTGTTGTGTTGTATTCTGATTGGTTTGTCCTTTGTGTGCCTGTGTTCCATCAGGTCCAGGGGGTGTGCCTCTGGTCTGAGGAATTGTATATAAGCGAACCTGTACCAATAAAGCCTGAGACTTGTTCTACCCTTCATGAAGTCTTGGCTCATGTTTGGGGGATTGGAGAACTACACTTAGCGGATTGCTATAATCACTATACTCCCCCGAGTATAATCACTAGCTCTTGTAAGAGCTGTTCCTGCTCTCTGGATTACAAGAGAGGTCTACTGGAAGCTGGATCCTGGTCTTGGGTCCAGACTGGGTGGACGACGTCGAGACCCCAACCAAGCTGCGGCAGTTCGTAGGGTCTGTGATGGTTGTGGTGTCTAGTGGATTGCCTGGAGTCTTTGGGAAGCACTAGGAGCATCCGTCAAATGGAGGTACCCAGTCGGGGTGCCAGGCGATCCGTTGCAGTGGTGGGATGGCGTCCTAGTGCTCGGAGTAGCAGCTCGGAGACACCGGTATCGAATGAACTCTAATTGAGGGCAACACTAGCATCCGTACAGCACCCCTGGCTACAGCAGTATGGAATTCCGCATAGCGTTCCATGATGAGGAGGAGGAGGCCGCGGACTACAGGGATGCAGAGAGAAAGGAAGTCTGGTATGATGCCCTGGAAGATGCCCAGCAGCGGCGAGGTGAGAGTCTCCCCAGTGATGAGCAGCGGCTACAGAAGCGTGTGGCGATGCGGATGTATCTATTGGGAGAGCAGCCCCTGGATAAGTGGGTGACAAGACTAGAGACCCTGGTATGGCGAGAGATTTGGCTAGACAACGCATACCAGGTCCTATGGTGGCATACCGTTCAACATACCCCCTGGACGGCCGAGCACAACTTACCCGAAGGTGATGGTTATGATGGCCCTGGTTTACTATGGGATGTCTTGGAGGAGGACATCTACGACTACCGGATGGGCGTGCATGTTTGACGACTGCTAGGTGAGCAAAGACATGACCCACCTGGTAACAAGGGAGTGGGAGCTGGAGGAGGACTACAAACACCTGCTCAGCTTCGTGCAGCCCCAACCTACTTGACAAACAGAACCAGACCTACCACCCTACAGCTGGAAAGACCTGACTGAGGTATCCCCTGCTTCCCTACCAGCTATCGAAGTGGGGGACCTCATCGACTGGTTCTGGGATGACCTCGAGATGGTAGGTGGAGATAGGACCGAGGTCTCTCCACCGGCCCTACAGGGATGCTGGGCAGACGGCCCAGATCCCCAGCTACAGCCGGAGCTTACCGGGAGAGGAGACGGTCGGTCTCCCTCCCCAGCAGCAGGGCATCTCACAGGGAGAGGAGACAACCGGTCTCTCTCCCCAGCGGCAGGGTGAATTACAAGGAGTCGGGACAGTTGGTCCTACTCCACAGCGGCAGTGTACCATACAGGGAGAGGAGACAACCGGTCTCTCTCCCCAACAGCAGGGAGAGGAGATGGTCGGTCCCTCATTCCAGCAGCAGCAGGGTGTTAAGCACCAAGCAGTGTTACCAGGAGTCGAGACAGTTGGTCCGACTCCACAGCGGCAGCTTGCCTCACAGGGAGATGAGACAACCGGTCTCTCTCCCCAGCGGCAGACAGTATTACAGGGAGAGGAGATTCTAGCCCTCGGGAAGCACTAGGAGCATCCGTCAAATGGAGGTACCCAGTCGGGGTACCAGGAGATCCGTTTCAGTACATTTCTAACATTCTTAGCGGTTTCTGCAAAGACTGCCTGCTGCAGATCTGCATATTGCAGATGCCACTGAAAGAATGTCTGGCTGTTCAGATTATTTCTTATTAACACCTTCTCTGAAATTTAATTATCAACAGCAGTTGCTCTAGAGCCAAGCAACTAAAATTCTTGTGGCTCTTTCAATAATTTCTGAGGGTTTAAAGACGTAGATAAGGAGACTCTTAAGAGACCCAAATAAACCAGAGAAATGATAACAGGTGTTGCTATGTACTTTTTGAGGACCGGAACAAGATCAGTTGAGAGGAGAGGACTTTCAGTCTCAATGCTCTGAACGTAATTCCATCCTGCAGCATATCTCCGCTATTCACAACAATCCTTTACTGCTCCTTGTATCACTGTTCAGATTAAAGCAGCGTTGGTGGTGTTAATAGACGTCTCTCATGACCTTTGGACATTTAATGTGCATTTCACAGTCAGACCAATATATCATGATGTTATAAGCCTGCATTGCTTTCACGTGTGGGAAATCTTAACATTTTCAGTACAGTTTTCAGAGAATGAAAACAGGATAAATTGTAACCTAGCACTTAAAAACCTACACTGTCGAAGTAATCATATCCTTTTAAACATTGCTGATGCCATTGGTTTCTTTTAAAACCATATGTTTCAGTTTCTTTTTAATCTTTTCTCCCTGTCTATATGTTTGTCTGCTGTTCTAAAATAAACAAAAAATTTAACCCCCCCCCCCCCAAAGAAAATACTCTGATTTCATGAGTATTTGTACAGTGAATCTAAAGACTATTTATTTTTAAACCAGACTAGAAACATAGCTGCCTCTTTTCAGGTATCATATAATTTCCTTTTCACCGTGGACTTCTTTTTGTGAACCTCTATAGAAAAGAACCTCGGGATTCTGGGCAGCATTGAATATTCCCTTGAAGGATTCAAGCAATTGTTTCAGAAGAAGCAGTTTACATAGGATATTTCTCTTGAAATATTCTCTTTAGACCACAAGTGCAATTTCCATTGGCTTCTAACTGAAGGTCCTGAGTGGACATACATTTTCAGCGCAAGGTCTCTTTAGGTAGTTAGGGTGAACGATTGTTGATGTGTAATTCATATGTCATAATTACCTCATAAAATCATGTGTTGATTACCTATGTACTGGGGGCCTCTATTAACTGCTGGGCAAGGTGTCCCCTCTGTAAATCTGTTAGTATTTGGAAATGGTACTGTTAGGTGATATCCATGACAACTAGTGAACATATTGATAAATTATTTTAAACTGCTTCCTTTTACAATCCGACGTAGAAGAAGTTTAGATCTTTCAGCTAGCATTTTATGTGCCCTTTCTTTTGTGCCGTGACTTATAGCAATTTGATGGTCTCAGCCAGTCCAATGCTTTCTTGTATGAAATTCATTGGAAGGCTACTGCACATGCGCAGCAAAATGCCGCACTGTTCCAATCCGCATCTCCTCATTTAAATGCCTTGAGCACCTCTGCCACTAGAGGTGTTCCTAGGCAGTAATGTATACACTGCCTTTTAACTGAAATTACTGTAATTCCATTAAAATGCCTACAGGGACATGCTATAGACACCAGAACAACTTAATTAAGCTGTAATGTAATTACAGTTCATTTTCTGTTATTGATGAAACTCTGAACAATTTAATGTATCCATGCAAGAACACCCAAAACTAGTTGTGTTTTTTTTTAATTTATTTTTTTATACACTTGTCTGAAAGGTCGTGTGGGTTTTTGTGTTTGGTTTTTATCTTGCACACAATTTTGTAAGTTCCAGATTCCTTTCTGGCAGATTCAAACTACTCAAGCAAGAAATTAAAGGAACTGTCAAATTACCATAATTTCTATAATGCATGTGTATGCTGTACACATATTTTCTAATGAGGAAGTAAAGTTTATTATGATATCACTTACAGAGAGGTGGACTTTTTAGTGCTGGGGAATCCTGTGGACTTTATTTTTTTAAACTTTCTCCAAACCACTTGAATATCACCCGACTGAAAAACAGAGAATGTTATATCGGTTATTGTTCATTCAGTGTCCCTTAAATAAATGGTGAGGCAAAATATTGACAAAACTTACATCAGGTAAATTCATAGGGCAGTAACCAAGGTGGGCACTCTTTCCTGAAGAAAAAAAAAAGCTTTCGTTGAGACCTAAATAACCGAAGCAAATTTTATCTGCAAACGGTTACTTGATGCCTGCACAGTTTAGAGCTGACTCATAAAGGCTCTAAAAGTTGAGTTTTTCCAATAATCTTCCCTTTTAAAGGACCACTCTAGGCACCCAGACCACTTCAGCTTAATGAAGTGGTCTGGGTGCCAGGTCCCTCTAGGATTAACCCTTTTTTAAATAAACATAGCAGTTTCAGAGAAACTGCTATGTTTATAAATGGGTTAATCCAGCCTCTAAAGCCTCTAGTGGCTGTCTCATTGACAGCCGCTAGAGGCGTTTGCGTGCTTCTCACTGTGTAAATCACAGTGAGAAGACGCCAGCGTCCATAGGAAAGCATTATGAAGCCAGCTCCTGCCGCGCATGCGCATTCAGCCGAAGAGGAGGATCGGAGGCGGATAGGTGGAGGAGAGCTCCCCGCCCGGCGCTGGAATAAAAGGTAAGTTTAACCCCTTTCCTCTCCCCAGAGCCCGGCAGGAGGGGGTCCCTGAAGGTGGGGGCACCCTCAGGGCACTATAGTGCCAGGAAAACGAGTATGTTTTCCTGGCACTATAGTGGTCCTTTAAGGTTTTATTTTGATATACTGCACTATTTTGTTTTTCTTTGATATCATATAGGTATTTTATTATGTAACAGGAGGTAACTATGATCACTTTGTGCGCTTCACCTCTTTTTCATCTCTTTTACGTTGTTTGTATCCTTTATAATATATTTTGGAAAACAAATTCCTCACTACCTGAACAAGGGCTGTTCATCAACCAACACCTCACATGCTGCCAATGTAGAGAATGACTGAAGCTTGTGTAATCATGTGCACAAACTAGGTGATGTGGGTGTATGTATACTTGAAAGAAGTTATTTTTTTAAATTTATAATATATTATAAATATACTTTTTTTTTATTTTTATTTGTAGTCTATAGGGATAGTAATAGAACAACTGGGTGATTATTATTAAATATAAGAAAAAATTCATGAAGCTTAATACTGTTTCTTCTATTAGTACCATTGTAAACCTAGTAAATTTATTTCCTGTTTAGACCACTCTCGCTCATATTATTGCCAAGAATGCCAAGAACAACAACAATCGATTTGTGACATTATCGGCAACAAGTGCTTCGACAAATGATGTTCGAGAAGTCATTAAACAAGCCCAAAATGAACAAAGGTTTTGCAAGAGGAAAACGATCCTTTTTGTGGATGAGATTCATCGTTTCAATAAGACGCAGCAGGTATGTAGTTCTTTTATATAATGCCATTTATATGCATTAAAACTTTAAGGACTCTTACAGCTATGCTAAATATATCAGTGGTATAATGACATTTATAATATTCTTAGTAAATTGAGGCTATTTTAAGAAATACAGAAGAAATTTAATCAGATCTAGATTCATCTAATCATGGATAATATTACAGTTAAAAAAAAAAAAACAGCACTACATAATGCCATATGTTAAAACTGCATTGGTAACATTGTTTTGAGACTATTTGTTCAAAAGAAGCTTGGGCACACCCATTAGTTTCCTCAAATAGGCAAACTTATTTAGTAACAATGCACAACAATGTTTCGAGCCTCAAATGAGCCTTTGTCAAGGCTTGTGAAAGGCCCATTTGAAGGCCGAAATGTCAGGAGAGTCAGACATATAAAATGTCAGATCCCAAAATGCAGATATAAGTGAAAAATAGTGAAGATTAATTACTGGCCCTTACAGATAGAAGAGGTTAACAGTGATCCTAAGAGTCAGAATATGAATATCAGGCAAGTGGTTACTAATTTCATAAATAGAAACAAACACTTCGCTAGGATCAGCAAAACAGAAATCAGAGTAAACTGAGAACTAGCCAAGTCACTACGGAAATCAGAAAACACAAGCACACACAGATGAAAGGGCCTGTTGCTTGTAACATGTTCATAAATCCTTTCCCATGTTAGGCCAATATTTGGTTATAGAGTGGGCATATGTATGCAATGGGCAATGTTGGGCTGCTTAATTGCTTACAATGGGGCTTTTTAGTGAATTGCTGCCACTAACCTGTCAATATCAAATCACAAACCATTTAGCTTTTATGCTAACTAACTCAAAGTTTGATTTACTTCAGTTGGAACTCAAGCTGAAGTTGATAAAGTTGCTGCAGAGTTCTTCACAAGTCCAGCAATCAGGTGTAACTCCACTGGGGGCTTGTCTTTGGAATCGCAGCGTACGTCATAAAGCAACACAAGTCTTGTTATTTTTGAATGACAGTGTTTCATGAAATGTTATTATGGATAAGAGAGCAGAAGATACTTTAATAAACTATGTTGATAGATTACAGGTCATGTTCCAGATTTAGAATTGAACTGCAACTGCCCCCACCAGCCAGTGTTTTAGTCAAACAAATGTTGGCTGAGAATCATGGGAGTTTACATATACATTTAATGAACAATGGAGTATTGCCTATTGGCTACTCCTGCAGCAGATTGTTTAAAGGGACTCTGTAGTCACCATAACACTACAACTGATTAAACACAACTGGATTCTGTGGGTCTTGCATCCTTAAAGGGATCCTATAGTGCCAAGAAAAAAAACCCATTTTCCTGGCACTATAGGCTCCTATAGTGCCCCCCTCCCTCGGGGCCCCCCTTCTGCAGGGCTGAAAGGGCTAAAATCCTATTGGGCAAACTAGATGGGCCAAATGGTTCTTATCTGCCGTCACATTCTATGTTTCTAACCCCTTAAGCCACTTACCTGAATCCAGTGCCGGATACCCTCGGCACTGGGTCAGGCTCTTCCATGAGGACGTCCAGCATCAGATAACGGACCAAAAGTCTGTTTAGGTTCCGAAAGCCCTCTAGTGGCTGTCTGTTAGACAGCCACAGAGGGCAGACTTAGAGCTGCAATGTAAACATTGCAGTTCTCTGGACCTGCAATGTTGAACATTGCAGCACTAAGTGCAAAAGGTACACAGCTCCCAGACCACTTCAATGAGCTAAAGTGATCTGGGTGCCGACAGTGTCCCTTTAATCACTGCTAAATGGTTTACTCACCATTTAGCATAGATGCTTGGTAGACTGCAGTCTGGCCTCCAATGACGACATGGTGAAGTCAGAGCTATGCTTCGCTTCAAGCTATACCAGGGGTAGCATAGGCTGAAAGTGTCAGCCACTGGAGGCTCTTTCATAGGGTCACTTGATGCAGTGCCCTATCAGATTTTATGTGGTGAAAAATGTATTTTCAGTAGATTCTTTTTCTGAAGTGGTGGGTGGTAATCCCCCAAACATTTTGGGGGAAAAATTAGTGTTTTCATTCCGTATTCGGTTTCAGCTCTGCAGGGCCCCTCGCTCCTCATTGATAGCTGTCTGGAGAATCTTACTTGAGAGCATCTAGGCAGGTTGGTTTGAAACTTGCCCAGTTTCAGCATTTTGCACATGCGTTGTCTCCTTTAAGAAGGATTTTCTGGAATTTTCATTGAGTTGCCATTTGGGCAGAGACATGCTATTGGCTTCTCTATTCAGGGGCCATCATTGGATCATAGCACAAAGGGGTGGGGCTACAGTTCCCACAGTAGAGAGAAGCAGGAAGCCATCCTGGAAGTAGCGCAGGGAGAGCGCAGCAGCACCTGCTGGCCCCTGCCATATGTAAGTGTATAATATCTTTTTCTGTTCCCCAAGAGTGCCAGTGGCTACCCGAGGGCTGATTAATCAAGGGAATTTACTCAAATATAGAATTAATATATATAAAGCTAGAGAAGAGTGATAAGGGGAGGGGGACAATTCTGACACACACCACTATGCTGCCTGTCACTAATAGTTTTAATAACTCCTACTGCACATACACTCCTTCTTTAAAGTTCTCAGTCACTCTACTACAGAGACCTGAGACACTCATCTTGTTGTTTGTTGTGTAGCTTCAAACTGCAGTACTGAGGCTGTGACTCTCAGGACTGGTCTGTTTCTGATTTCAATCTGTTTTAATTTATTATGGTTATTTCTTCTGTTAAACATTTCAGCTACATCTTGGTTCCCTATTACCGCTGCAGATAATTGTTTCCAGCTGCAAGGTAATAATGAGTCTATCCAGCAATGTAATTACCACGAGGCTAACAAGGCATTTGCCTTGGGCGGCACTTTCCAGTGGGTGGCAAAGAACACTGCCTGCAAATGCCCAGGCAAATGCTTTGTAAACCTCATTTGATGGGGGCCCCAAAAGCTGGCTAGTTGGCCAGCTTTGGGCCCCCCTGGGATGAGCAGCCAGTTGTGTTCCAGGCGGGTGGCGAATGGAGCGAAGCAGGAAGAGCTCACATATCATTGCTCCTTCACCACCCGTCTGGAACACAAATGGCTGCCTCACACGGGGGTCCCAAGCTCTTCCTGTTTGGCTCCCTCGTGCTCCCTATATAGCATTATATATAGATATACCTTCTGTATCTGTATTGCAGCTCTGTGTAATCCATCGCAGTGATCCTGGCTAAATGGGATATTTATTGCTTTCTCCTTATTGTGCTGAGCTCTGTGCATTCTTTCTCTGTATTTTACTCTGCTCTCCCTGTTATATGGGTATCTCTGTAGTCTACACAGCACTGTGTATTGTATAGGTATCTTGGTATTGTGCCAAGCTCTGTGTATTATATCTCTATTTTTTTTCTCAGCTCTGTTTGTAGTATGGTTATCTCTGTATTGTTCTCAGCTCGGTGTTTTGTATATGTATCTTTATGTTGTGCCCAGCTTGTCTTATGTATGAGTATCTCTGTATTATGCTTAACACTATGTACTGTATAGGGAAGAGTAAAATTTTGCCGGGAGGATTCTAGTGACCCACCATTATAAAACTTAAAATGGTAATCGGTTTAGCAGAGTTACAGGACCTGACACCACAACCACAAACACACGCTTACAGGACTTTTTGCAGGCAGCTCCTTTCCTATGGAATAGCCTGCCTACCATCATTAGACTCTCCCCTAGTCTTCAATCATTTAAGAAGTGCCTTAAAACCCGTCTCTTCAGGAAAGCGTATGACCTCCCAGAGTAAGCTCTACCATACATGCCTGTCCCTTGCTCTCTCCTGAAGGGCAGCACTCTGCTTCACTACCACCTTGTTTGATTGCCATTTCCTGTACTATTGTGTTTTATACCCCACCTCCTCTACACTGTAAGCTTATTTGAGTAGTGTCTTCTTTAACCTATTTTTCCTGTGAGTTTTTATAATTGTCTCATTTATTGTATAAATGCCAATAATAAATAAATACTTTGATAAGTTGAAATGGTTATGGTGCTTACAAATTCCTGTAATCAAATGCAGACCTTTATGTGAATAATCTATATTTTACCACAGTTATTAATACTCTGCATACTTTATGAACTGGCACACATTTTAAAGGGACACAGTTGGCACAGCTAATTGAAGTGGTCTGGGTACAGTATCCCTTTTGCACCTAGTGCTGCAATGTAAAAAATTGCATTTCCATAGAAACTGCAATGTTTTATAGTCTATATGACAGCTACTAGAGGGCTTCCTGGATTGAAACGGACCTTTGGTCCGGTATCTGACACTGGACATCCTCACGCTCTGCATGAGGGGTTTAATCATCAGATTTTTCTCCATAGGAAAGCATTAATTCATATGGGGAGATCTGTGTTATCACAACAGCTTTGTATTATTGACACTATAGTATCCCTTTAACATGAGATTGAGAAAACCGAAGTGTTTCAAAGAAGTCGTCCCTGTTAACAAGTCGTTTAAGCTTTAATGTCTAGAACCAGATTCAACTAAATATTCAACCATGTAAGTATACCTTGTACTTGTATAACTTTATAATGTGAATATTCCAGCAAACTCTGTTCTAGAAAGAAAACAAATAGGATTACTTAGTTCTTGTGATATCCTACTGCCTGTTCCCTGATAACATACCGTATATACTCGAGTATAAGTCGACCCGAATATAAGTCGAGACCCCTAATTTTACCCCCCAAAACTGGGAAAACTTATTGACTCGAGTATAAGACTAGGGTGGGAAATGCAGCAGCTACTGGAAAATTTCTAAATAAAATTAGATCCCCCAAAGATTATATTAATTGAATATTTATTTACAGTGTGTGTATATAATGAATGCAGTGTGTGTGTATAATGCAGTGTGTATGAGCGCAGTGTGTGTATGTGATGCAGAGCCTTGGTGGGGGGGTGGGCATTTTTATTATTTTCTTTTTTTTTTTTATTATTATTTTTTTTAATTTTAATATTATTACATTCTTTTATTTATATATTTTTTTTGTCCTCCCTCACTGCTTGTTAGATGGCCAGGGAGGGGGGCTCTCATCCCCTGGTGGTCCAGTGGTGTGCATTGTATAGGAGGGGGGATGGCAGCGAACTGTAATTTACCTTTCCTGCAGCTCCTGTCAGCTCCCTTCTCTCTCCTCCGGTCCGGTCAGCTCCCTTCTCCTCCACTGTAAGTCTAGCGGCTGCGCGGAGTGTTCCCTGCGGCTCTCGCGAGATTTACAGGGGAGCTGACTGGACCGGAGGAGAGAGAAGGGAGCTGACAGGAGCTGCAGGAAAGGTAAGTAACAGCTCTCTGCCAGCCCCAAACAGGACCGCCGGGCTTGTAATGAGCCCAGCGGTCCTGGTCTGTATTATGGCAATGTTAGTTGCCATAATACAGACATTAACTCGAGTACAAGTCGAGTGGGGGTTTTTCAGCACAAAAAATGTGCTGAAAAACTCAACTTCTACTCGAGTATATACGGTACCTATTTTTTGTTTGGAAAATATTGCCTTGATAACCAGTTTGTTCCATCTATGTAAATTGTGTGTATGTAGGTGTCCCTTTTATAAGCAAAATAACACTTTATTTAATGATCCTATAATTTTTTTGGAGGGTTTCTGTGAAAAATTGGGGGTTTGTAAAAAGCTGCTTAGAAGCAGTTTTAAAACCAACATCATAAAAATAGTTGATAATTTATGTAATTGTACCTCCATTTTTACCTTGTCGCATATATTTTCTCTTTAACATGCAGTAATGCTTTTTTACACATGTTAAAATCTGACAATGGCTCTTGGATACTGTATCTCACACCATTCCTTGTATGTCAACCTCTAAGGGTTGATTTCAGCCTACCTCAAACTGAATAGTATAATACTGTATATCTAAAGACACGGGTGATATCAATCAGCTGCAGTTTCCTTGCCCAGTAAAGCAAGGATTCAGAGTTTAAAAAATAAAATAACCTTAATCTTATTAAAATAAACAAGCTGAAGACTCAATATTATGATGGATTAACATACATTCTTTTTAAATATAGTTTGATACTGTTAGTGCTTTATTGTTTAAATTGAAAGCGATCCCGAATATCCAGTTAAAGTGCTACCTCAAATGTGTAAGTTTTATGTACAAATAGAAATCTCATTATACCAATGTTTACCATTAATACAATTAAAACATTTGCTTTTGTTAAAAGTCTGTTAGCCAAAGGCTAGTTAATACTTCTGTATAGTTGGAGGGGAGGGGTTACAATACAGAAATTAAAATATTAAAATCACGCAAATATCGAATCCCATAAGAAGGGTTTAACTGCATTTTCGCTATAAGAATAGCAGTTGTGTATAATTTTTAGCTTGCATGCTTTTTAATTTTTAAAAATAAGTTTCAGCTAGCTATTAATATCGCATTTCATATTTATTATATCATTATGTGTCTCTAATATTTTTCATTAGACTGACAGAATTTAAAGGTTACTCTATTAGAGCTAAAATGGTTTGATTTAAAAACAAAACTAAAAAGAAAACCCAACAAAACTGGAACTATAATGTTCTATAGTAATGCTTTATCAGGTGTTATCCAGAATAGGCATATATATAGCTCTGTTTTATCTTACTGATACTCAGCCACTTAAAATCCCTCTGTTTGTCTTTTCTAGAATCCACAGTATTTGGAGGGGGGTGATTGGAGGTGTACATGTCAAATCTAATTTCAGGACCAAGAATATGTTAGGACTGTCTCAAAAACAAAGAATTTGCCTTTTTACTTTCACATGAAGGGTTTTATGTGTTTTGTGTAGCTTTTATTTTCAGTTTATATTTGTATGTGCAGTTGCTATCCTTTCCTGGATATATTTATATTGCTAAAATTTGTCGCTAGAAAGCTTCTTTGTTTCAGTCAGACTCCCCTATGTGTGCATTATTGCTACTATTAAGCATTGCGGGGAGTCTTTCATTGGTAGTTATGCAATCCTTACACACTGAATGCAGTGTTACACTAAACGAGTAAGTACCTTTCTTAAAATCTTACTCTACATAAGAAAAAGTTCATTTAAAGTGCATATATATGTTTGAATATGCTTACTCAGAATGTTTCAGGTGCTCCTTCTGCTTTCCTCCCATTCCCAGGACACGTTCCTGCCCCACGTGGAGTGTGGAACGATAACCCTTATTGGGGCCACAACAGAAAACCCGTCTTTCCAGATAAATAATGCTCTTTTGAGCCGCTGTCGGGTAATTGTCCTGGAGAAGCTGTCTGTGGAAGCGATGGAGGCTATTTTGATGCGAGCTGTAGAGTCTTTGGGAATCAGAGTCCTAAGTGAGGATCAACAGCCTGGCTGCAGTGGCAGCAATGTTTCAGAGTAAGTAATAGTGTTGCAGTTGTTGGTACACAAAAAAAGAAGGGTCAGATCTGTCATATAGCCAAGAGAGGGGAGGGAGTTGATGTTGAAGGTGGGGCGCGACCTGGGATAGCAAACAAAGATTAAATCAGCACTCAGTGTCTTATATTGCTCTCAGCTGTGTTGTGAAAATTACTTTATTAAATAAATGTTATTCTTCACAAACTGTATTTTCATATATTGCACAATTTTTTATATTAACTTTTATTTTTATTTTTTTGTTCTTGGTACATAAACTATTTTTGTATGTGATTAAATGTCACACTACCCATTTTTTTTTAATGCTTATAATAATCTGTATAGGTATCCTGGACAGTCTAAAATCCAGTATCTTAAACCAGGGAGGGCAAACATGATAACAGATGAACTACATTACTGATGTTTCATTATTGTTAATATTTCAGAAAATTAGAGCACCCTCTGAGTTCAGAGGGCTGAGTAAGTTCATAAGTGATAATCCCTTTTTATTGCAGTCTAACACATCTCTGCTGGGGAAGTCTGTGCAAGTGTTTCTGTGGAAACATGTGCTGCACAAAATGTTATTGAATGTGAGGGGATCATGTTTCTGTATGTTCAATGAGGGATTCCCTTTTCTCCTTGAGAAACTGTCCCCGCAGCCTCTGCATCTGCCAGTACTCATTGTGTCAATCGTTTTAGTATATTTAAAGAAATATTAATTTAACCTCAAAGGACAGAATGTGAACTGCATATGTTTTTGTTTTGTTATATGAGAGTAGGTTAACATTTTCAGCCTTGTGTGACCGACAATTTTACTTGGTCACACTCACTTCAGAAAGCAAAAGCACTTTCTGAGCCCAATGGTGCTTATTCAGTTGAGGCTATTTATTTGTTTTTAATATTGGCTCAACTGAAAGTATTGGGGAAAAATAGATTGTTGCAAAACTACGACCCCTGTGATGCTTTACCTATATAAGGCTGTCAATATAGTATGAGAATTGTAGTTCTGCAGCAGCTGGGTATCTTTTTGTTTGTTTTGGCACCTCTATACACAGGGAGAGAAGCAAAATGACACAGTATTGTGTATTTACCTGCTGTAGGCTTATTTATATCATTGCACCGTAACTTCAAATCAATACCTATCCATGCTCTTGCTTAACAAAAGTTGTTAGTGATGTGTATGTAATTTGTATAATGCATATCTATGTTATGTACACTATTTTTGTAATGTATGTCTGATGTTTAATGTATGTATATGATGTATGTAATGTATGTGCTGTAGGACAGGAAAGAAAACAGGGAATGTCGGAATAGGGAATTAGAGGTAACTGCTGCCAAGACATTATAGCAGTTATATCACATGGAGAGCTCCTTGATGGCTATACCTGTAGCAGAGCCTGTCTCTAATCCACAGCTTTCCAAACTATGTGTGAGACACATTAGTGTGTTAGCTACACAGTGTAATTGTGTCATGCAGAGTTGTCCGATAGGTAGGGGAGCACATTGCACAGCGCTCTCCTCCTCCTGGTCACTCCATGTAGCGTGGCTGAGCAGGCAGACCTTGGTAGAGTAGCTTCTGCTCCCCTACCCGATTTGACAAGAAGTGATCATGTTTCTGTATGTTCAATGAGGGATTCCCTTTTCTCTTTGAGAAATTGTGTCAATTGTTTTAGTATATAAGCGCACAGAACTGCTTCCTGTCAGACCGGGTGGGGGAAAAGGCTACTCTACCACGTTCTGCCTGCTCGGCCACGCTACATGGAGTGAGGTGGGCCGTATAGGCAGAGGAGGGGGAATAGAAGAAGGACACGGGAGGAGGGGGAATAGAAGAAGGACACGGGAGGAGGGGGGAATAGAAGAAGGACACGGGAGGAAGGGGGACATAAGAAGGACATGGGAGGGACAGAAGAAGGGCACGGGAGGAGGGAGGTCAGAAGAAGGGCACGTGAGCAGGGGGGACAGAAGAAGGGCACGGGAGGAGGTTGGGACAGAAGAAGGGCATGGGAGAGGAGGGGGAAGACACACAGGGGCTTCGGGGTGGCTGAAGGGGGAAATAAGACCCACAGTATGCATGTGTGTCTGTATGTGTATGTGTTTTTCTGCAGGTGTGTCTGTATGTGTGTCAGTGTGTGCCCCTATGTATCTGTATGTGTGTCACTGTTTGTATCTGTATGAGTGTCATTCTGTGTATGTCTGTGGATCTGTCTGTATGTGTGTCTGTGTCAGTGCGTGTCTGTGTATCTGTATGTGTGTCAGTGTTTGTATCTGTAGAAGTGTCATTCTGTGTATCTGAATGTGTCATTCTGTGTATTGGCGTGTGTGTGCACATGTATCTGTATGTTTTTTGTGAGTGTGTGTGTGTGTGTATATATATTATATTCTTTAACATTGAAGAGTGAACACGGTATACGATAAGTAACATGTATCATTACTTATCGCAATATAGTTGAGTTTTAGGTCAAAAACCTCAGAATTAAGTTATTCAGCAATGTATATTTTATATTTAGAATAAAATAACCCCCCACCCAAAAAAAAAAAGTATTCCTCTTTCCTTTTAATATATGCCTTCCAGGGGTCCGAGACTTTACTAAAAGTATAGTGGTAACTCTTGCGGATAGATCATCCATAATACAATTTTCTTGAATTTTTAAATCAACCCCTCTTAGATGGTGGTTCTGATTTTAGCCAGTCGGCAACTATACATCTACATGCTGCCAATGTGATAAGATATAATAGTTTCTGCGAAAGATTGGGTAGGCCAGTTATTGATTTAGATAATAAAAATATCCAAGGGTTTATTTCTATATTCTCCTGTAGTATCGTTGACACCATTTTTTTTTTTTTTATTTCTTCCCAAAGGCTTAAACTTTTGGGCATTCCCACCACATATGATATTTCCTTGTTGACCACATCCCCGCCAACATAGATCGGTCAGGTTTTTACCAATTTTATAATAAAAGACACTAAACAATATTTTAAACATCTGCTCTTGAGATATCACGAATATCGATATTTTAGATGCTGTTTCCCAGATATCTATCAATTCATTAGGTTCCAAAGATTTTCCTAGGTCTGCCTTACAGCAGCAGTAGCTTAGTATCCAACAGCTTAAAATACATAGTAAAAACAAAGAGAACGTTACCTGCGCTCTGGCCTAATTCCCCATGTACATTTAAACAAATTAGAGGCTCTTTAGCTTTAACCCCTTCAGCACCCTGGGATGGGGGGTGGGAGAGAGAGAGAGGACCTCCAGTTTTCCTGGCATTGGAGTGTCCCTTTAGCTGGTTTTAAAAATCAGATATGAGACCTCTCTATCTTTCCTATTTTACAAACTTTTTCAAAATTGGTAAGGGGGAACTGAATTGCCATTTTTACTTCAGTCGAGTAAGCAAAATCTCTAATCTGAAGATAGCGAAAAAAGTGTCCTATCCTCAACTCCGTTCTGGCCGTTAAACTAGAAAATGAAACCACCTCTCCTTCTGACAAGAGATCAGCAAATCTATGAATTCCCCTAATTTTAAGTTTTGAAAATTATGTTCTCCCATTCCTGGAAAAAATGATGTTCCAAAAACCGGTGTCATAGGACAAGGGAGGTTAGTTAGGCCATGTTTTAGCTTAAGTTTATCCCAAATATATAAGGAGTTTAACGTGGATGGGCAGCTTTGTTTTAGAGCTGGTCTTGAGACCTTATTTAACCACATATACATTGCCGGTGAGTCTGGGTTCATCAAGTCAGTCTCCATGTCTGCCCATCTACATTTCCCTTGAGATGAATTCCATCCAATAATTTGTGCCAATAGGGCAGCGTAGTAGTAGATAAGTAAATTGGGGAGACCTAGTCCCCTTTTGTCTCTAGGTCTATACAAGAGATTTCTATCTACACTGCGACATTTACCCTGCCATATAAATGTATCTATAGCTTTCTGAATGTTCTCTAAATCCCCATTACACACCTGAAGAGGCAGAGCTTGAAATAAGAATAAAAGCCTCGGTAAAATTTTAATTTTTATGGAATGGATTTGGCCGATCCACAAGATTGGTTTATCATGCCAATTCCCTATTCCTTTTTCAAGTTTTTTTTTATTAAAGGTAACTAATTATCTATAAATAATGTGTTATAGAAGCGTCCAATTTTAATACCTGAATAGCATAGGGACTTACCTACAGACATATCAAATTTAGATTGTAACTGATCTTGTTCTAACCCTGATAGATGTAAGGTCACTCCGCAGGATTTATTATAGTTTACTTTATAACCTGAAAATGCCCCAAATTGTTCTATCAAATTGAACACCACGGGAATGGATTCAAACAGGTTAGCTATTGAAATTAATATATCGTCGGCACATGCCACTGTTTTATAAAGTTCCAGCATAAGGGGAACAGGATTGGGGAGAGAGGGTAACCCTGGCGTGTGCCATTGTATATTCCAAACGGAGTCTTATCTGAGCCAGGAAATTGTAGTAGTGCCTGAGGGTTAGAGTATAAGGCTCGAATTGTAGTGATAATAAAATTTAAAAAAAAAAATGTTGTAGTAGATAAAATAAATATGGCCAGACTACCCTGTCAAATGCTCTCTCTGCATCTAGTGACAGAAGTATCGATGGCTTCCTCCCTGTTTCCATATACCACGCAAGATCTACAGCTCCGTGCGTGTTCTCATAAAGCTGCCTTCCAGGAACAAAACCTACTTGATGTGAATGAATCAGAAAGGGGAGGAGCGGAGAAAGTTGTAGGGCTAAAACTTTAGCTATTATCTTTATATCCACATTTATTAACAATATTGGTCTATAATTTCAAACCTCCTTTTTTTTGTGAGGAGAACAATTTTGGCCATCGTAATATCTACTGGGAGACTTCCACTTTGGCATATTTCATCAATAACCTCCTGCAGATATGGAAGAAGGGTTTGTTGAAAGATATTGTTATAGCTTCCGCTAAAACCATCTGGATAGATCATCCATAATACAATTTTCTTGAATTTTTAAATCAACCCCTCTTAGATGGTGGTTCTGATTTTAGCCAGTCGGCAACTATACATCTACATGCTGCCAATGTGATAAGATATAATAGTTTCTGCGAAAGATTGGGTAGGCCAGTTTAATAGATTTAAAAAAAAAAAAAAGCAGTTTTAATCTCTTCTATAGATATTCTTGTATTTAATGATTCTAAAGCTCTTTCAGGGATGGGGGTAGGTTCATCCTGCCTAGATATTCTCTCAATCTTATCTCTTGATCCGGATCACCCCATTCCCATCCGTAAATTGGTTATAAAGTCTTGAGAAATATTCCTGGAAGATGACATAAATCTCATCCACTGTCCAAACCAGAGATCCAGAGGCATTTCTAATGGCTAATATGGGTTTAGAATGTGTACATGGTTTCAAACACTTGGCCAACAGAGCATCTATCCTGTTTGCTCTCTAGTAGAAGTATCTACGTGTTGATTTTAACTGCCATGCAGCTTCATCTAATTTAATCTATTAATTTTCAGGTCCTGTAGTGTTTGTTCTGACTGGGTTGTTTTTATGTTTTTGTTCCCGCTTGTGTACATATTTCTTTAACTTAAACCATGATTCTGATTTTATCTTTTTCTTATACAAGGCTATTTTAGTCAATTCTTCTCATTACAGTTTTATGAGCTGCCCATAAAGTGGTTTTACTAATTTCGGGTGTATTATTTTCTAAAAAATAATTTGAGTGCCTTTGTAATATCTGCTCTATCTGAGAGGTCCCTCAAGAGAGAAGTATTAAGGCGCCATGAGTAGGTGGGTTTGACTGATACTCATTACTTAAGACCACAATATTGGCGTGATCTGACCAGGTAATATTATTAATTTGTGAGTTATATAGATAAGGAGCAAGTACTCTAGATTTGCCATAAACCTATTTATTCTGGAGTATGTATCATGTGGATAAGAATAAAAAGTGAAATCCGGTATGTCGGGGTGGTGAGCCCTCCACACGTCAATAAGTTTATGGGCAGAAATAAACTGAAAAAACAATCTATCCTGTCCTCCCCGTCCCTGAGACCGAACTGCTCCAGGCCTAGAACTGTCTATTGCAGGACATGGAACTGCGTTATAATACCCACCTATCAAAAGTCAGTCTGACGAAGTAGATTTAATAATTTGGCTTAGCATCTGGGACATTTGGGGCATATAAATTCAGTAGGTGTAGTTTACGGGGACCCATCATTGCAGATACCAAAATATACCCACCTTCTTTATCCTGCAACGTGTTTAATACTTTAAACTGGCATAGTTTATGGCTCAAGATAGCAACTCCATTATGTTTACAAATGGCATTCGAGCTGTAAGCTCTATCATTTATCTGATAGTGATAGTACATGAGATCTAATAAGGTGAGTTTCTTGTAAAAAAAAAAAAAAAAAAGCTATATCAGCCTGCATTCTTTTTAATTCTTTATACGTCCGCTTTCTTTTTGCAGGTGAATTGAGGCCTTTTTACATTCAAGGGAACTATGTTATCAGCCATAATAATTTGTGCAGTATCAAAGCCAGAGTTTTTGCACAATAAGTTCTGATAAATTTAGTAATCATATGGGAATAGTCCATACCATGACAGAAAGATAGGGGGGGGGAGGGAAATCCCACTCCCTCCCCCATAACAAAAGTATATACAAAAGATACCTCCTGGACTTACCAGATGCAATTAATTAATGAATTGGAGAAGTGAGAGCCAAGCATCTTGTGTTGAATTTACCAGTACCAGTACCTAGGTAGAGCGGGTGGTAAGGTCTTTTGTTGAAATAAGGGTGGTACGCCATCTGGGGTATCCAGGCCCATTGTCTGGAAGAATCTGCCTGAATCCCCCGATGGTAATAAAGCTCTGTTTTGGTCATTATGGAACTCAAGTAGTTTAAAGGGATGACCCCAAGCAAAAGGTATATGATTAAGTCGCAAATGTTCAATGATTGGTTTCCATTGCCGTCTGTTTAAGAGAGTAGTGGGAGATAGATCTTGGAATATCTGAAGTGCTTTCTCCCTAGATGTAACCTCCATCCCTCTGCATTTACACACTATAGCATCCTTAGTGCTATGGTAGTGAAATCTTACTGTTATGTCTCTAGGGCTTTATCATTTCTACGTAGTGCACCTGCTGAACGATGTGCCCATCCAATCTCTCACCTGTTCAGGTATATCTGGTAATAGGGGTTTGAAAATCTCTAATACAGGACCCTCATCTCTTGTTTCAGGTATCCTTCTAATTTTGATATTATTGCATATGGACCGATTTAGAAGGTCTTCAAAAGCCACTTCCAAAGCATCTAGCCTTGTACCCCATTCAAAGCTCTGTAACAAAAGAGCGTTGTGTGCTTTCGCCACAGCCTCTACCCTCACCTCTAGAGTGGCAGTCCGAGTTCCAATTGCCTGAATTTCCATCCTAATCTCCCGGGCGCTCCTCTCTATTTCCCCAGTAAGGAACATTCTATCCTCCTTCATTTATGCCAAGATACATTGTATTCCTTCCAGCCCTGTGACATCAGTTGCAGAATCAGCTGATCGAGGGATTTTAATTGAAGCTCCTTCTTCCGGATCTATACTACTGTCATGGCTTTCCGGCACCTCCACACCGGTGTTCGCAGTATTTGCGACCATCGGCTTTGCTGCGTTTGCGACGTCTTCATTTATATCCGTGGATCTCGAGGCCAACTGGAACATGGTGTGGAGTACGCTACCCCTGGGGTTTGGCTTGGACCCCTTCCGGGAGGATTTCATAAGTGGTGAGTTAATGCTCAGGGAGACATAGTAGTTAATTAGTTACGGATGGCAAGAAGTAAAAAAAAAAAGGCAAAAGTAGATAAAAGAGCGTAACAGTGTAGTGGCAGGCAAGCAAAAAGTAAGAAGCCTACTGTCTTTGCTAAAGCCAATAAGTGCCGAAATAAAGGCAGAGGAGAGGAAGGCTGTACAGGCATATATTAGGTGATTATTTCTCTAGATATATATTTTATATATATTTTTTGGCATCCTATAAGTGCTTTTTTGAGGCTTCATTGACAGAGCTCTCAACCTGAGCATCTACCTACTTTGATGGTCAGGCCACACCCCTATATTATACAAATGGAGGGGTGGGGGGAAGGTAGGAGGGGAGATGCATTGTAGGGCCCCAGGGCAATTTTTGCACCGGGGCCCTGTGGTTTCTAGTTACACCTCTACACAGAGGGGAAGGGGACCAAGAGACGCACAGAGAGGCTCGGGAAGAAGGAGGCCTGCCAACCAGCCACACCAGTCTGCCAGCCACAGTAGCTAGCCAGAGCATCCATACAGTCGCAGCAGACAGCCACAGTAAATAAGGTGAGAAGAGCCAACTTGGGCTGGAAATGTTATATTACTATATTGTGAATAGGTGCCATTGTGTTAGAGACATTCAAGGGATCATACATGTATACTGCGCATGCATAGCATGCAGAATCATGTTGAAGCTGCACCTGAAGTAACATGTTCAAGAAATAGAACACCATTTTGACCACCGCTGTGTTGCTAAATGATGCATGTCTGAAAAGTGTGTCCCTAACATGAAATATTTGGAAAGCTCTGCTCTAATCTATAGTAGGAATGTATGGATACTGTAATGCTTAGCTACACATTACAAATCATTCATAAAAACTGACCGATGTGGAGATGATTTCCACTTGAAATGTACTATTCCAGGCTTCCTTGACCAGTATATCTATCGATGTGAGAGTGATTCTGCAGTGCTCTACTCATGTACAATTCTGGTTTGGACTGTTTGGCAAGTAGTGTGCCAAACTTAAACACCCCTTTTTTGTGCATGCCTTCCGAACATGTTAGAAGTAATGTTTGTTGCATCACTGACACACCCATTCCTTCCTGCTTTCATAGCTTAGCTGCTGGGGAAATGCTACTATAGAGCAATGTTTCCCACCCCAGCCCTTGAAGTGCTACTCCTAGCATCATAACCACCACAGTCCACTGTACAGTACATGCCAGGAGGAGCTGGCTTCCATTTTGCAACGGTTTCCATTTACCTGGATCTCGCCAGGTGCCAAGCCTTTCTTAAAGCTGGCAGAACTGCATCTAATTTCTGCAGAGCTGAAGAAGCTGGATGCTGATTTTGCCATTCATTAAAAGTGCTCAGTTGATGATCTCAGCCAATTAATGAAAGTTTATGCAAGGGATATACAAAGAATTGACATTAGCCATCAAGAAACTCTGTCTTGGCTGACTAATAATGCTGTTGGGTGGAGTTACACTTCTGGCAACTAGCCTAGATATCTTCATATGTGTAGCATTTCATAATGAAATACTGCACACACTGGCTCCTTGCACCATGACTACTTCAAAACACGGAAGTGGTCATCATGCTTGGAGCCATTTAGGAGAAACTTATGCCCAGTTTGTCAGCATCCAGCAAACCAGTAATATAAAACCATTTTTTTCTTGGAACACTTACTCCAGGTTGTACCCGTTTTGTGGATAGGGATTATAAAGAAAAGTATGTCCTGAGTCTTGTACATACAGTCATGGAAAAAATACTTGTTGTTCATCTACGTTTGTGTTTACTTAATTTAAAACCTGCTAAGGAACAGATGATTATGTCCTGATATGTAAAACCATCGAACTCAAAGAGATGGTGTTCTTTTTTCCATGACTGTATCCCTTTTAGAGTTCAGGAGAGTATTTAGAATTTACATTTAGGGATATATAGAAGTTAGGGGTAATATATTGATTGATAGGGAAATTAGTTGTGATGTAATTAAGTTTGGGGCAAATATGTAGGATTAGGGTCTGTGTTAACAATGTATTATAAAGATATAATTAACCGTTGTGTTTTGGTTACATATAGACCGCACACAAATATTGGGTGGCGAGTAAAAAAAAAAAAAGAAGCTGATAAGAGAATTGGAAAAGATGTAAGAACCAGTTGAAAAAACTTTACAAATAGAGATGACAAGTCCAATGAAAAGACAGAAGAAAAACCAAGCAAGAGAAGAAAACCTAAAGACAGCATGGGAATAGATATATGTAAGGAGGGTGGGGAGCAATGTGAAAACCAAGACTTCCAGATATGGACGTTTCCGCATTGTCAGTCATAAAAGCTGCACCTTTGCTTCAGTCCTTGGTGTGCCTCAGTCCATCCAGTACCCTTACTACTGGAGCAGCAGAATGCAGTGATGACAGCCTTAGTTTGTTACACTACATCTTCTATAATCCCTTTGCTGAACTGAAGGCTGCATCAAACAACTTAGAATGTGGTGGCATAGCAGGGTTTGCTTAATTTAATCAGCAAATCCTGCTATACGCTACCAACTCTTGAATCTTGTGTAGCACTACTGGCTCTTACAATAACACCACTTACGATCACCCTGCATCTGTAATGGCACCAGCAAGAGCCCTGGAGAAATTGAGGAGAGATCTACATAATACAGCTCTTTTAGTTGTCTGCGTCTTGGTTATTCATATTATGGCAAAATGCCCTAATGCAATAGTGTCCATGCCCCCTCTATCCTCTTCATAGCATATCAGACAGCTAGATGGCAATTGGTATAGATCTCGTATGTGAAATTATATTCTTGCCTTTGTCTGTATTAAAGAGCCATGTCCTCTCCCGCAAGGCTTGGTGTCTAATTTATGCAATAGCAGCATACACTTATGCACCCATACACTTTCAGCGACAATCAGTCACTTGGAAGTTGTATAAATAGTACCTATTGTCATAATGTTATACCTGGCATGTGTTTTCATATATTGTGGACAAACAAATGTTGGATCAGCGCTTAGTGGCCAACTAGAAGTTAGAATACAATGAGAGTAGGCAGCAACCTAAAGGTATGAGGTTCCCTCACAAACCATCAAAGATAGTAGACAATAAAAATAGAATTAGGTTGCGCCACAGTAAAAACACTGAAATAATCTAGTACCAGTAATGTACTTACACACAGAAGTCAAAATGAGATCTAAAACAGTCCGGGTTTTAAGACATATAAATGAAAGTCCAACTTATTTGAGGCACTTGGGTATGGTGTTGATCTGTGTGTATTGAGAATCCTGAGATAGTGGGATTTCTGAGTTCCGTTTGAGCATGCAAATGAGAAAAGAAACTCCAATAGTGTAATCTGTATCAAGCAACCAAAAAGGGAACTTCACAGCAGTAATACTCCTACTCACCTATTAGAGAGCTAGTACAAGCTCAGGTGTAACTAGCCTTCAGTGGCGTTGATCCCCAACTGGTAGGATATAGGTGGTATTGATAAGTTGCTAGAAGTGAAGGTTTCTCGGCATAAGGAGAGAGATAAAACAGAAATAGTGCTCTCTATAAATAATAAATAGACGGGTACATATAGAAGGTATTGTACTCACATTTGCGTGAGCAGGATATAATTACACCCCTACATGGACAAACATGCTCTATACAAAAACATGTTTACATTCAAATTCACAAATACAATCCTGCAATGATGGACAAACATTTGATCCCTAGCTGGCAGAGCATCGTGGGAGTTGTACTACAGACAAAGATCTATCTTTTCGTCCCTCTTGCCCTAGAGGGGGGCCTAAAGGTTTTCTTGCATCAGTGCCCTCTCTGCATTGGTGTTAACACCAAGCATGGTGTGTTAATACATTTCTATTATTTGGTCACCTAGCATATAGCCTTTCATGGTTTTAGCTAGAAAAGTGTGCCAATATATATTTTTTGGGGTGTGTGTGATCTATCCACAAAATGTTTATCAACTTTGTTAAATCTAGAGCCATGAAAGCTGCAAGAGTTGGGACCTGTTCAAACATTTACAAGATGAATTTTGTACAGCATCTAGAGCTTGATTTAGCAACAACTGACAAGTATAATGCCTGCAAAAATATGAGTTTGAAATGAGATCTTGTGAACCTTGTGTGCACCTTTTAGGTGTGTTTTGTACATCCATTATTAGATATCTTATGATTTTTGGATATAAAGAAAAAAGATCCAAAAAGAAATCCCATTCTGATTTATTCAATATATTAACAACAATTGTTTGGTGCCAAATACTATGAGCATTATCAGTCCCCAATTTATATGGTGGCACTATAATTAGAAGTTGTTTTCCTTTATTTGACCTATGCTGATAATTTATCTTGTTTTGTCAGCATAGTGTTGTCAGTAGCATGTGTGCTCTGTAGCTAAACATGGACAGTACTACATTTTTCAAGTGGTTTCCTTTTTAGAGAACAAAATCAATCTTTTGGCGTAGCTAACAGTATAAACCCTAAGCACTTTTTCCCTTTGACATTCATTGCAATGTTATAATTACTGTGGGGAGTGAGAAATCTGTATTAAGGTCTTCTCATATTTCTATATTTATCTCTATACTTTTCAGATAAAATTAAACTATACATTTGTATTTTAGGATGGGAACACTGTAAGCACTATAAACTCCACATCTTATTGCATCCAAGCCCAAGACCATCTGCTGCTGCTGCCAACGTAATTTGGAAATTATACTTTTATCCATATTGATTCAAATTTGTACTGCAATAATGGTCTGTAAGCACTGCAAAACTGTTTTCCTCAATGGATTTGCACAGAAAATGCTGACCTGTTTTATTGTTTCTTGCAATTGTTTGGTTCCAAGCTTTTGTGAACTCTTCAACCACATTATTTTCTACTACTTCTGTTGGTAGACTGTTCCAAGCATTTACAACTTTTCCCCAACTTAGGCCTTTATTTAATACTGTTGCATAAGCTTTTAAATTTATTTAATATTTTTGGTTAATTATTTATTCATCTTTTTTAAATATTAAATATTCTATTAAAACAATATATCAAAATTAGTACTTTATAAAGATAGAATCTTTATGAAATACCCATATTGACAATGTTGGAATTTCACTGAAATTCTAACCCAGTCAAGAAATATACAGAGACAAAGTATGGACTTTGTCTTTGTACACTAGACACTGCTAGATGTCTAAAAGTGTCAATTCTCTCAGCCATCACCATTGGTGACTAAAGGGAATTGACTTCATCTATGGAGGATCCTGCGGTCTTGCAGGATCCTTCAAAGGCCTCATTGCTGTGCATGTGCGAGAGTACAGTAGTGATGTCAGCTCCTGGCACTTCAACTAAAGAGGACGCTTAAGTAGATTAAGGCGCCCCCGTATGGGAGAGGTTCAGGTAAGCAGAGGTCACGGTCTCCTGCTCACCCAAATTCTGCAAAGTCCCCTTATGGTAAAAATGCACTTTAAATGTATTTTAACATTTTATCCAAAAACGCTCGCGCTCGCTCTCTCTCTCAATCTCTCTCTCTTTCTCTCTCTCTCTCTCAACAGCCCACATACATACGTATCACACACAATGCCACAAACTGTTTCTGTGAATACACAATATAAAACAACCCACATACTCACAAATAAAATCCTGCAAAGTAAATGCAGCATCTATACATATCACAAATATGGCAACATATATGCACACGTTAAGTTAAAAAAAAAAATAGGACTGCCAGCCCAAGGAACTTCAAAGTCATGTTTTGGCACAGTGTTTCTAAAAGTTTGACGTCCCCTGTACTAGCCATACCAATTCATACCAGCAATGGGTGCTGTGATAGGCTGCCGGCCATAGCTGCCCATTGCTGCTAATGCTGTCCCCTTAGCCAAAGCAAGAGGGGATGTCTGCTTGGTTTAATACTAAATGGAGGGACAGCGCTGGGAACTTCAGACACTATAACCACTTTAATGAGATAAAGCAGTTACAGTGCCTACAGTATTACTTTAATAGTTCTCCAACTGATGTTCATACTCTTAACCGCTTTAAAAACAACAACAAAGTCTACACTGTCTTAACAGCCTATTCTTCTAGGATATTCCCAAATGGAATTACTTGCTGAATAAATGACTGCATTGCATCAACATTCTGTAATTTCACAAGTAATATAACCATCATTTTGGAGGATTTACAGAAATAAAAATAAAGGGAGGGCTGCCAATGCTTGTACTGATGTCAAACTAACTTGACAACTACTCTGTGAAGAGTCAGTCAATATAATGTCTCCTATTATAGTTGCTGTTTTAAATTACTGCTCATCTTAAAGGGAAAGTTTCTAAGTTAAAATATGCATATTGTTAGGCTGTTGAACAAAGCGCATAAAAATTAGTTTGATGTGGTGCTGATGGTTCCAGGAGTGCCCTAGTGCCCTTCCAGTGTAATTTGTCAAACCATTTTAGAACGGTTTGATAGCTTACCTGGGTCACACCCATGACTCAAGGCCAATCCTTCCAGATTCTCCTTGCTGGAGATTCATTTTTCCTCCACTGAATTAAGCAGAGCCATACTCCTTTGTTGAGTGTCAGCTGAACGCACTCAGCCAATAAGTGCAGTTCTGTACCGGCCACTTAGACGCAATAGAGCGATCAGGCCATTTGTGGCTCTGGAGCACGGGGGACACCGATACGTTGTTGTGGTGTTTGTAGTGTTCCTTTTAAAACAATATTTTTTAGATTGTTCTAAATTCATTTATTACAAGTTATTAAGATATAATTGCATAATCTTAGTTCTGTTGTACGTACCAAAATTATTTTTTCTGATAGATCAGGCAAGTTTGCAGCTTTGGAATAATTCTTGTTTATTCCTATGATGGTCTTTCTTTGTCTAAATTGAACACACACAGGATGTTGATTTCCACTAGCAGCCAATTAAAAGTGGAGGAGATAACTTTTAAAGTATACAAGCATATTGTATACAAACAATGCCTTTTCTGGTTGGGGTCCTGATAAGAACTCTCAACATGGAGATACCAAATGCTCATCCTAAAGATGCATTATTCCAATGTGTCTTTATAAGGAGTTACATAGTTACATAGCTGAAAAGAGACTTGCGTCCATCAAGTTCAGCCTTCCTCACAAATGTTGTTGCTGTTGATCCAAAAGAAGGCAAAAAACCTGGTCTGAAGCGCTTCCAATTTTGCCACAAACTAGGAAATAATTCCTTCTTGACCCCAAAATAGCAGTCAGATGTCTCCTTGGATCAAACAGCTACTAATTAGAAATTATATCCCTGTATGTTATGTTTTTGTAAGTATTTATCCAATTTCAGTTTAAACATCTGTATGGACGCTGACAAAACCACCTCTTCAGTCAGAGAATTTCATATCCTTATTGTTCTTACTGTAAAAAAACCTTTTCTTTGCCTTAGATGAAATCTCCTTTCTTCCAGCCTAAATGTGTGACCTCGTGTCCTATGTATAGCCCTGTTTATGAATAGATTTCCAGATAAAGGTTTGTACTGGCCCAGAATATATTTGTATAAAGTTATCATATCCCCTCTCAGGCGCCGTTTTTCCAAACTAAACATTTAATTTTTTTTAACCTTTCTTCATAACTAAAATGCTCCATTCCTTTTATCAATTTTGTAGCTTGTCTCTGGACCCTCTCCAGTGCCATGATATCCTTCTTTAGAACAGGCACCCAAAATTGCACAGCATATTCAAGGTGTGGTCTTACCAGCGATTTATAAAGAGGCAAAATAATATTTTTATGCCCCTATTTATACATGACAAAATCTTACTGGCCTTAGCAACTGCAGATTGACATTGCATATTGCTGCCTAATTTGTTTTCTATAACAATTCCCAAATCCTTCTCTTGTGTGGTTATCCCTAATTCACTACCATTTAGTGTGTAAGTTGCTTGTGCATTCTTAACCCTGAAGTGCATAACTTTGCATTTCTCTATGTTAAATGTCATCTGCCATTTTAGTGCCCAGTCCCCCAATCTATCCAAATCTCTCTGCAGCAAAGCAATATCCTGCTCACATTTTATTACTTTACAAAGTTTTGTGTCATCTGCAAACACTGATACATGGCTTTCAATGCCTATTTCAAGATCATTTATAAATATGTTAAATTGAAGTGGTCCCAAAACAGAACCACTTACCACTTTTGTCCAGCCTGAAAATTTACCATTAATTACAACTCGTTGTACTCTATCCTTAAGCCAGTGTTCTACCCAAGAACAAGAATATTCATCTAGACCAATTTCTTTTAGTTTGAAGACTAACCTATTGTGAGGAACCGTATCAAATGCCTTGGCAAAATCCAAGTAGATCACATCCACTGCAACACCCTGATCTATACTTCTACTTACTTCTTCGTAGAATGCAATTAGGTTAGTTTGACATGACCTATGTTTCATAAAACCATGCTGATTATTGCTAATAACAAAGTTCTTCCCAATGAATTCCTGAATATTATCCCTTAATAGCCCTTCAAATATTTTCCCAGTTACAGAAGTTAAGCTCACAGGTCTATAATTTCCAGGCAAGGATTTTGAACCCTTTTTAAATATAGGAACAACATCTGCCTTCCTCCAATCCTCCGGTACAACACCTGAAACAAAAGAATCTTGAAAAAATAAATACAGAGGTTCACTTATTTCCCCACTTAGCTCCTTAAGTATTCATGGGTGAATACCGTCAGGCCCCGGAGCTTTATTTACATTCATTTTCTTTAATAGCTGTAGCACCTTGTCTCGAGTTATCCAATCACAAGTTATTTGCAAGTTTTTTGCAACAATCATTTGCATATCTCTTGCCATATGATCCTCATTAATATATACTGAAGAAAAAGTTATTTAAAATTTCTGCTTTTTCCTGGTCTTCATTAGTTAATAAACCCAACTCTGTTTCAAGTGTACCTACACTCATTTTTTGTTTTTTTTTAGAATTGATGTACTTGAAAAAAATGTTGGGGTTGGTTTTGCATTCTTTAGCTATCAATTTCTCATTTTCTAGTTTAGCCACTTTAATTGCCTTTTTGCAAGCGTTATTGGCTTCCTTATATCTTAAATAGGATGCCTTTGATTTGTCTGATTTAAATGCTTTAAATGCCCTTTTCTTATTTTTAATCTCTTGTTTTACTTCTCTACTAAGCCACATTGGTTTTAATTTGTTTCTTTTATATTTATTACGCAATGGTACATACTGAGAAATGTACCTTTCTAATATTTGTTTGAATAGTTTCCATTTATCCTCAGTATTTTTAATCACTAAGGAGTTTATGCCAGTCGATATGTTGTAGAGCTGCCCTAATCCTATTGAAATTGGCTTTTTTTAAATTATATGTTTTAGTATACCCCACTTGCTTTTGCTTTTTTGAGTTTATTTCAAAATTTACCATATTGTGATCACTATTTCCCAAATGCTCCCCTACTTGAATGTTGGTTAAAAAATCAACATTGTTTGTTATGATCCAGACAAGCATCCTTTCTAGTTGGTGCTTGTACCAGTTGTGACATAAAGGTGTCATTTAACACATTCAAAAACCTGATGCCCCTTGCTGAAGTACTAGTCCCTCTTTCCCAATTTATGTCTGGATAATTAAAATCTCCAATAATTTACGTGTTACCTCGATTTGCAGATTTCTCAATTTGTTCTAACAGCTGTTCTTCCTCAATAATATTTACATTAGGTGGTTTATAACATATCCCAACCAATAATTGATTTCCCTTTGTTTGCCCCTAGCAGATATCTACCCATAAAGCCGCCACCTTTTCCTCGTCACACGCCACATGCCTAAGATTTGACTTTAACTCATGGTTGACATATAAACATACCCCACCACCCTTCTTGTTTTTCCTATCCTTCCTAAATAACGTGTACCCATTTAAATGAACTGCCCAGTCATGTGTCTCATCCCACCATGTTTCTGTTATGCCTATTATATCATATTGTTTAGTGTATGCTATTGCCTCTAGTTCCCCCATTTTGTTATATAGGCTCCTTGCATTAGTAAGCATACATGTAATTTTATCATGAGTCTTTTGTACTTTTTGTGAATTATCAATATGCGATTGCCACGCATGCGCACTGGTGGCGTACGTTACTATCTTCTACTCTTGCAGGCAGTGCTGGGTGTATGCCTGTAAGGGAATGCTCTGCCCTCCTCCCTGCATTTTGTACAATTCCCTATTTTCTTTTCTTTTTTTTTTCTTTTTTTATTAATTATAAAACCCACCCTTCCTGACTCAGAGCACATGCGTGCTCTCTGATCCTGGAGAATGATTTAGTCACATGCTTCTGTATAAGAAGCATTTGATTAGACCTTGGAGTGATGGGGGTGGAAATACTGAAGTCAAGTTTTTTTTTTTGTTGTTGTTTTTTTTAATTTCCTTATTTGATTTATATTAATGTGACTAAAGTAAATAAAAGGAGTAAAATATACTATTAACTTATCTAAAAATTTAAAAAACAAACTCACTTTTAACTTCTTTCAGAAATATTTCAAAGGAAATTTAAATGGCCAGTCAGTAAAAAAAATAAAAAATAAAAAATAACACCAAACAACCTTTCAACCAAGGGATTAGTGAATTGCTTTAATGCCAGAGGATTCTACATTCTCAGAAGCAGCTCACATGGAGACACTGGGGACTTGCTGTGCTTCCTCTGATTTCACTAGTGTGAATGTACTTCTAACGTGAACCCTGACTGGGTCTAGGAATATTATTTGTACATTTGTCTCCGGTACAGTGGACATACAAAATAAAGAATTCTGAGGTCATTTGAGCCCAACTCAAATGAATTTACAACCTAAAATATGTAGGATAAAAACAATGTATCCAAGGAGAATGAATGCAGTGTGAATGTATTTCCTTTCAGAAAATATGAACCTTAGTCAAACTTCTATGTTGGTTTGTGAACCCATGAAAAACATTAAGATTAACATTAATTAAGATTACCTGTCAAGATTCTGATAAGATGAAATGCAAAATGTGGGAAATTTACAGCATGCATGTTAGGCAAGTATTCTTACATTGAGCAATAAAATATGCATTTAATCTGTCTAGTTACATTGTGTCCCTTTAAACTTGGTAACAGAGTTTGGTGGCAGACTCAAACACTATACTTAGACACTCTAGGCAACACAACAACTATAGCGCATACCCGACTTCAGGATTGCATATTGGTTGCGAGCCATCCACTGATACTCCCTTCCAATAATCAAGCTCTAATCCTTGTATGACTTGGTATGATAATACAAAACTATGAACTTCTGCTTTATCAGACCAACTCAAACTGAAAGTACTGCGGGTGCTGGACACAGGATACTAAGACATATATTACCGGTGGATGGTGCTCGGGGACTATAGGCACCATACTTACTACAGTGCTCTAAAGGGGTTCTGGTGGCCATCGTCTCCCCTTCAATTAAAGTTCTTGTTGCTAGACAGCATGAGACCCTGTTTCTGCTCCCCAATAGATAAAAGCATAAATTCTCAGCAATCTTCCAATAATTTCAAGTGATGTATTTATTGAACCATCAAAATGTCAAGGGAGGAATGTTTTGACACTGATCATTGTCTTTCTCCAGCCTGTTAAGTTTGTTGTATTTCAGTATATTAAATAATTCACAGCACTTATAAAATTCTACAGAACTACATACTAGACAAACATTTACACATTAAAGTGACTTTTAAACTAATTAGTAAATTGCATGCTTATGTATTGGTAGCATTGTTGAAACAAATATCCGATTAAGCAAACAAGTAAAATGCTTACTTACTAATTCATCTGCAGATGATGCATTTTCTTCTTTTACATTGTAAATGTTAGTTTATTTATATTAAAGTTGCATTTTCTAATTATTTTTCCTGTTTAAACATGCACTATAACATAACTGACAATTGCTGAGTCCTTGACAAGTCTCTTGACATAATGCGGTTACATCTGTCTCTGTATAGTGACGCACGTAGGAGACTTTCCATCTACTTGGTTTTCTCTGTGTTGTGGTTTTCCTTTCTTAACCTAATACGATTTCTCAAGACTGGGAGAAGCTTTACCAGCTGGTACAAGCAGTCACACCCAATTTAGCACTTTACATTTGGAATTAATCTTGAGCACTGTTTCTCAAAAACGTAAGCAAAGTTTTATGCAAGCCAAATTCTTCTCATTGGTGCCTTTATCACCAAGAGGTGTTGGCCATTTATCCTGTCATTATGTATCAACAGCTTATGTTTAAACTTTTGACAACTTATAGTGGGTAAGTTCTGGGAAAGGGACTGAGTTTTTAATTTTACTGTGCACTCTCCTATTGTTCGTGAAATGTTATATTGTCACAAATACTACACCAATTAAACTAATTGTTTGCTTTCATTTAGCTAGTAGTTGGAATTTTTTATTTGGCTGTTGCATTTTGTATGATCAATATTGTTATTCCAATATGCTTTTGATAAAAAAATATTACTATAGAGTAAGACCCTGTCACCTTCTGGGACATTTATATATTGTGTAAATGCTGGAAGATGCAACTGACATGCTCATGTGTGCTTGAGAGTACTGTACAGAGTGACTGATTTCCACAGCTATCCCTTAAATTATCTGCTGGGGTCTATGAGACCCCAGCATCTAATATCAGCCATTGCTAATTAATGCTGAATGGATGTCTACAGGTCCTCTTCATTCCCAGTAACAGGTAGCTGGCGTGAGATTTTCTTGTCTATTGCCAATCATGGGTTGACCAAAACCTCTGGGCCTATTATAGACAGGAGTAGGTGTTCGGGCCTAATCTCTTAGCCACCAATATATACCCTACCTACCTCCTCACTCTGACAAGTATTATTCAGAAGGGCTGCATAGTAAAATGAAAACAAAACAAACAAAAAGTTACAATTATTGTTACAGATCTAATTTTTAAATGACTTTCAAATAATTATTACTGCCCGATGCTTTAGTTTTAAGAGGAGAATTCCAATTGTTTCTTAAAATAAAATAAAAAAGTCTAAATTATTACCTACAGCACAATTTAGGTAAAGTTATTTGTAGATGTAATATATTATATATCCTAACTCCAATTCTGTTTGATTTCTGTAAGATAAATGGAAAGCATTTATTTCTATTAAAGGACCACTCTAGGCACCCAGACCACTTCAGCTTTATGAAGTGGTCTGGGTGCCAGGTACCTCTAGGATTAACCCTTTTTTTTTATAAACATAGCAGTTTCAGAGAAACTGCTATGTTTATACTGAGGGTTAATCCAGCCTCCAGAGCCTCTAGTGGCTGTCTCATTGACAGCCGCTAGAAGCGCTTGCGTGCTTCTCACTGTGAAAATCACAGTGAGAGCACGCAAGCGTCCATAGGAAAGCATTGTAAATGCTTTCCTATGCGACCGGCTGAATGCGCGCGTGGCTCCTGCGTGCATGCGCATTCAGCCGATGACATCGCGAGCAAGGAGGAGAGGAGGAGTACAGCTCCCCGCCCGGCGCTGGAGAAAGGTAAGTGTTTAACCCCTTCCTCTCTCCAGAGCCCGGCGGGAGGGGGTCCCTGAGGGTGGGGGCACCCTCAGGGCACTATAGTGCCAGGAAAAAGAGTATGTTTTCCTGGCACTATAGTGGTCCTTTAACCCCTTAAGGACCAAACTTCTGGAATAAAAGGGAATCATGACGTGTCACACATGTCATGTGTCCTTAAGGGGTTAAAGGGACACTGTAGGCACCCAGCCCACTTCAGCTCATTGAGGTGGTCTGGGTGCTGTGACCCTTTTGCACTTGGTCCTGCAACAGAGGACTGTAATGTTTACATTCAAGCTTTGTCTGCCCGCAGGCAGCCACTGGGGGAGCTTCCGGAATCCAAACAGACTTTTGGTCCGTTATCTGACGCTGGACGTCCTCACGGACCTCCAGCATCGGATTTTCCCCATAGGAAAGCATGCGCAGTAGGTCTCCCCCGCCGGCTGACATTGGCGGGGGAGTAGCGTGGGTGGTGCCTGACCCAGGGATTCAGGTAAGTGTCTTTAACCCTGCTGGAGGGGGATGCGCGAGGGAGGGGGGGGGACCTATTAACCCTATAGTGCCAGGAAAACTGGTTTGTTTTCCTGGCACTATAGGATACCTTTAACCAATAAAACCTATATTATACAGTGTTGTATCATATACCCTTTAGCTGTGTGACTGCATTGCTCATCAATAGGGCTGTCTTAGGTTACACAACTGGCTGTTTGCACATTGGCATTTTTAAGCCCGTCCCAGTTAATCACACTTTGAGTCTTTTCAAATTGACATACTCACTATTTGAGTTGTTTTATTTCAGAACAGCAATGTATGTGGAGCAGAAAGCTTTAACTACTCTAGCCCACCTCTGTGATGGGGATGCCAGGACAGGACTAAACGGCCTTCAGCTGTCCGTGCAAGCCAGGCTTGCAGCAGGAAAAGATGCTTCTAATCATGACATGGTTATCAAGGAAGAACATATTAAGGAAGGATTACAGCGCTCACACATCCTCTATGATCGGGCTGGTGAGTGTTCAAAACAACTCTTCTTAATAAGGGTGTTCTGGAGATTACATTTGAGCTGGTGATATTAAAGTTGTCAGAAAATTGACTTTGAAATGACTTTCAGCTTAGTATGTAAGAAGAGATGTTCAAATGCAGATCTTATTTTAAGAGAAGCCACATCTGTGATATTGACCAATAAAGCACATTTTGTAGCTATACATGTACTCTGTCAACATTTTTAAAATCTCATGTGTGTAATGGGTTTTTGTATCAAGAAGTCCTTACATAGTTACATAGCTGAAAAGAGACTTGCGTCCATCAAGTTCAGCCTTTTTCTCATATGTTTTGCTGTTGATCCAAGAGAAGGCAAAAAACCCAGTCTGAAGCACTTCCAATTTTGCAACAAACTAGGAAACGATTCCTTCTTGATGCCAAAATGGCAGTCAGATATCTCCTTGGATCTAGAAGCTATTACCCCACTAATTAGAAATCATTTCGCTGTATATTATGTTTTTTGCCAGTATTTATCCAATTGCTGTTTAAACATCTGTATGGACTCCGTTAAAACCACCTCTTCAGGCAGAGAATTCCATTTCCTTATTGTTCTTACTGTAAAAAAAACTTTTCTTTGCGTTAGACCAAATCTCCTGTCTTTCAGCCTAAAGGCATGACCTTGTATCCCATGTATAGCTCTCTTTATTAATAGATTTCCAGACAATGGCTTGTATTGGCCCGATTATATTTGTATAATGTTGTTCTAGCCCCTCTGAGAAGCTGTTTTTCCAAACTAAAGAGATTTACATTTTTTAATCTTTCTTCATATCTAAAATGCTCCATTCTTTTTATCAATTTTGTAGCCCATCGCTGCACTTTTTCTAGAGCCATGATATCGTTCTTTAGAACGGGTGCCCAAAATTTCACAGCATATTAAAGGTGTAGCATTACCAGTTGTATATAAAACCCCCCCCCCCACAAAATTATATCTTCATCCCGAGAATTTATGCCCCTATTTATACATGACAAATCCTTACTGGCCTTAGCAACTATCGATTGACATTGCATATTGCTGCTTAATTTGTTGTCTTTAACAATTCCCTAATCCTTCTCGTGTGTTGTTATCCCTAATTCACTATTATTTAAGGTGTAAGTTGCTTGTACATTCTTTACCCTGAAGTGCATAACTTTGCATTTCTGTACATTAAATTTAATTTGCTATTTGAGTGCCCAGTCCCCAAACCTATCTAAATCCCTCTGCAGCAAAGCAATATCCTGCTCACATTTTATTACTTTACAAAGTTTTGTGTCATCTGCAAACACTGAAACATGGCTTTCAATGCCTATTTCAAGATCATTTATAAATATGTTAAATAGAAGCAGCCCCAAAACAGAACCCAGAGGGACACCACTTACCATTGGCTATCAATTTCTCATTTTCTGGTTTAGCCACTTTAATAGCCATTTTGCAAGCATTATTGGCTTCCTTATAGTTTGTATACAAGGATATATATCCTTCGTATAGCTATTTTGTGCTGGGTGCCACCATCTTTTTCTCCTCTGTCCTACCATTTTGTTCTCCTCTGTGTAAAATGTCTGCAATTTTGGATTGTTTTGATTCTTTTGATGGATTGTGTGTAAATCAGTTTAGCAGCAAAATTAACTTTGCATAAAGAGTTACTTCAACCATTATAGGAAAATGTTTGGTATTTAATTAAATATACCCTATAGGCATATTCTCATAGAGAAGCCTGTGATTTTACTGTTTGCAGGCTCAGAGCGCGTGGGCGGGATTTGAGAGTGAGCGGGGGGATTCATGATAGTTAAAAAATAAATAAAATAAAAGTGGAAAGGAGGGTGGAGAAAACGATCTTTCCCCTTTCATGCGTTCGTCTGTCTGCAGCATGCAGCGTGTGCTGATCAAAGATGTAACATATTCACAGAATTCACATTAGGCAGCCTGGAACAGTGTTTTGGGCTGCTTAAGTCACGTAAGCTGGTGGTGCAACTAGCATCCAGCAGACAATTAAAAGGAACTCTACATGTGTAGTGGTTCAAGCTGAAACATTGCACAACCAAACTTAAACCATCATGACCACTTCAAAAAGCAGAAGTGGTTATGGTGGTTGGAGTAACCCTTTAGGCTTCACATTTGTTTAGCAGCTAAAATGGTATTTTTTTGCTAAAAGGACAACTGTCACATCAACAATATATATTTTTAAAAATTATTTTCAACATAATGATCTTCACGTTTTGAAAGGAAATCAATTATTTGTTAAATTAAGTATATGTACAAAATGATGGTATATGTATATAACAGGGTCCTTCAGTCATATACACGCACCTTGGGTCATACAGTGTTTGAAAACAGAAAGTTAAATGGTCCTGTCGCCTCGAACTTACCTTCCTGCTATTGTTTCCTCTTCTCTTCCTCTTTCAGAATCTGCTCTTCTTTACCTCACTTTTGATCTATTTCTCAGTGGTTTTCCCTGCAGTGACAAGCATCGAACCGATTTTCAAACTCTAACACTGTCTGAACCAAGGTGCATGTATATGGCTGAAGGATCCTTTCATATACTAAAGGTAGGGATGAGTTTTTATTATTTTTTTTATTGTCAAAGGTCACCCTTCCCATGAGAAAAAACAGTCCCTATGTCTTCTTTTGTATAACTAGAAAACAAAGGTAAATTTAGAAATTGGAAAAAGAAAAAAGATTCATTTTAAAGCAAAACCAGTAAAATGACAGAGCCACTTTACAGTTGAGAGGATATAGGGCAGTGATGGCGAACCTATGCCACGCGTGCCACAGGTGGCACGCCGAGCCCCCTCTGTGGGCACGCGGCCATAGGTCGCCGGAGGGACGGTGCACTCCGCCGGCGCATCCATAAGGCAGCACAAGTGGCTGCCTTAGGGCGCACTGGCCTGGCAGGAGGTGAGCACATAGCGTTCCCTCCTGCCAGGCACTCTGTGTAGCGTGGCCGAGCGCACCGCGGTACAGGAACTTATGTTTCCTGTACCCGGGCGGACGGAAATGAAGTGCTCACAGAGAGAGCACTTCCTGTCCGCCAGGTACAGGAAACTGAGCTCCGCGGTGCGCTCGGCCACGCTACAAGGTAGGAGATCAAGGAGGGGGTGGGGGGTGGAACTGAGTGGGAGAGAGATGGGGGGAACTGAGTGGGAGAGAGATGGGGGAACGAGTGGGAGAGAGATGGGGGAACTGAGTGGGAGAGAGATGGGGAACTGAGGGGAGAGAGGGGGCTAAACTGAGTGGGGAGAGATGGTGGCTACACCAATGGGGAGAGAGATGGGGCTACACCCAGTGGGAGAGAGATGGGGGGGAACTGGAGTGGAGAGAGAGATGGGGAGAACTGAGTGGGAGAGAGATGGAGGGAGAACTGCGTGGGAGAGAGATGGAGGGAGAACTGCGTGGGAGAGAGATGGAGGGAGAACTGAGTGGGAGAGAGATGGAGGGAGAACTGAGTGGGAAAGAGATGGAGGGAGAACTGAGTGGGAGAGAGATGGAGGGAGAACTGAGTGGGAGAGAGATGGAGGGAGAACTGAGTGGGAGAGAGATGGAGGGAGAACTGAGTGGGAGAGAGATGGAGGGAGAACTGAGTGGGAGAGAGATGGAGGGAGAACTGAGTGGGAGAGAGATGGGGGGAGAACTGAGTGGGAGAGAGATGGAGGGAGAACTGAGTGGGAGAGAGATGGGAGGGAGAACTGAGTGGGAGAGAGATGGGGGGGAAACTGAGTGGGAGAGATATTGGGGGGGAAAAAACGGAGTGTGGGACGGGGGAGAGGGGGGACGACATACACACAGCACCCCTGCCCTACACACATCACCCCACACAAAGACACCCACACATCACCCTACCCACACAAACACATCACCCCACACACACAAACACATACAATGTACCCCTCAATGCAGTGTGTGTACACTCGGCAGTCTGTCTGTGTGTGTACACTCGGCAGTCTGTCTGTGTGTGTACACTCGGCAGTCTGTCTGTGTGTGTACACTCGGCAGTCTGTCTGTGTGTGTACACTCGGCAGTCTGTCTGTGTGTGTACACTCGGCAGTCTGTCTGTGTGTGTACACTCGGCAGTCTGTCTGTGTGTGTTCACTCGGCAGTCTGTCTGTGTGTGTACACTCGGCAGTCTGTCTGTGTGTGTACACTCGGCAGTCTGTCTGTGTGTGTACACTCGGCAGTCTGTCTGTATGTGTACACTCGGCCGTGTGTGTACACTCGGCCGTGTGTGTGTGTGTGTGTACACTCAGCAGTGTGTGTGTGTGTGTATTTAGCAGTCTGTCTGTGTGTGTGTGTGTATTTAGCAGTCTGTGTACTCAGCAGTCTGTGTGTGTATTCAGCAGTCTGCTAAATACAGACAAACTGCTAAGTACACACAGACAGACTGCTAAATACACACACACAGATGTTAATTAGTTCGGACAACTGTATGAGTTGTTTTTTCTAAACTTAAACCTCAGTATTCAGGTTTAATTGCCGTTTTGGCACTTTGAGAGAAAAAAAATTGGCATGTATTACGGTTTGGGCACTCGGGCTCAAAAAGGTTCGCCATCACTGATATAGGGAATCTATTGGTGGATGGGTAATTAAAGAGAACGGAAATGATCAGCTGTGTACTCTACATCTCATCAACTGTCCTGTTTCAGTACTTTCTTTTCCTTTGAGGTATCCCCCACAAATCATGTATTTATTTCAGCCTACTTTACACTGTCAAAGTTTATAACATGGTGTTTGCTATAAAAGGATCATTTAAAAGATCTATCACAGAAAACAAGTTTTCATATTTCCTATATACACACACATCATTAAGAAAAGTGTATTTTAATATTAATATATATATATATTTGAATGACGTTGATTTTATATATATATATATATATATATATATATATATATATATATATATATATATAAACAAGGGGGGGTTGGCTGCACTCACCTGAACATGCATAAATGGGGGTGCTGCTGGGGGCCAGTGTGTGTATATGTGTGTGTATATATATATATATATATATATACACATAAAAAATATATAAAATAAAAATAATAAATACATTGAATAAAAATTAAAAAAAATTATATACCAGTTTTAATTTGTTCTAACTGTATTTTGATATTAATATACGTATATATTAAATTCAAAATACATTTAGAATGACGATATAAATACGTGTGTATGTATGTATGTGTGTATATATATATATATATATATATATATTTAAATTCTACAAATATATTTATATAATATTTTTACATAATCAAGTCGTTTATTACAATCTGAGGGACCTGTCCGAACGTCCAGAGAATTTGGCTCGCAAGCCCTATATTTAACCCTGTAAATTTCCAGGACACCATAAAACCTGTACGTGGGGGGTACTGTTTTTCCAAGATGACTTCGCTGAACACAAATATTAATGTTTAAAAACAGTAAAACATATCACAACAATGATATCGTCAGTAAAAATTCAGTTTTTTGCATTTTTCGTATACAAACAGTACTTTCACTGACTATATTGTTGTGATACGTTTTACTATTTTGAAACACTAATATTTGTGTTCGGCGAAGTCTCCCGAGTATAACAGTACCCCCCCCCATTTATAGGTTTTATGGAGTTTTCAAAAGTTACTGAGTCAAATATAAGGCTTGAATTTCCTTTTTTTTTCACATTGAAATTAGCCCGATTGGTTATGTTTCCTTTGAGACCATGTGGTAGCCCAGGAATGAGAATTACCCCCATGATGACGTACCATTTGCAAGTGGGGTGTGTCCAGTCTTTTCTAGTAGCCACTTATTTACAACACTGGCCAAAATTAGCGTTCAATTTAGTTTTCTGCATTTTTCACACAAAAATATGAGCGCTAACTTTGGACAGTGTTTGTGACGAAGTGGCTACTAGAAAAGACTGCAGATACCCCATTTGTAATACCTTGGGTTGTCTACTTTTGCAAATGGTATGTCATCGTGGGGGTAGTTTTCATTCCTGGGCTACCATACAAGGTCTTAAAGGCAACGTAGCCAATCTGACAAATTTCAGTGTGTATAAACTGAAAAGTGTAATGTGCTATATTTGACCCTGTAACTTTCCAAAACACAATAAAACCTGTACATTGGGGGTACTGTTTTACCTGTGAGACATCGCTGAATAAAAATGTGTACTTTATTGCAGTAACAGCTAACAGTATTGTGACATTCACAGTTAAAATGCCATGCAGAACTAATTTTTTTTTTTTAAATTCTTAATTTCTCATTTTTAAAAAATATTTTATTCATATTAAATTGTTTAATATACAAATATTTGATGTGACATGAAAGCCCTGTTTCTGCTGAAGAAAATGATATATGAGAAGTGTGGGTGCACATAATATGAAAGAGGTCAATTACACCTGAACAGACTTATAGCGCCAATTCAAGGTTTTGTTTCCGTTTTGCTTTGATCACAACTTGTACAATTGGCTCAGTCCTTAAGGGGTTAAGAATAACACTGGACTCAATCATTACATTTTTTTAAAAATTTTTTTATAGAAATGCAGACAACATGAAGTATTTCTTTATCCAGGGTTAGTCAGTGTTCCGAATCCCCATATTTCTCTGTGGTACATAGATGGAAAAATAAAGTGACAAATACAGTGTAAAACTGTGTTATAATAAAAACAGTAACTTTAATAATATTGCATTCACAAATTTCCAAATAGTATAAGGCACATCAAGATATACTTGTAAGAAGGGTCCACAGCAACACGGGAACTTCTCCCGAGCGATGTTCCTGGTCGTAAGTCACTTAGGAGGTCCCAGCATGCAGTGGCAGCACTTGGGAATCCCTGCCTGTTTAGGAATTTTTCCTGCCTGCTTAATACCTACGTTTGTGAGTTAAATCCACCCCCTTTTTATATGGTGTTTTAAACTTTATTAAAATATATGTGATGTTTATGTTGTAGATTTTGTGGTTTATATGTGTCAGTGAAGACAGAGAGGACTCTTCTATCTACAGTTAATAAGTGGAAAGGGTAATTTATTTTATATTTCTGTCCCTACTACTACCTTATCACCATTGGTGTGTTATTTTGTATTACAACCTGAAGTATTTGTCTTTGGACAGCAGGAAAAAAAGCTATATCATTGGTCCAAACATATGAATTATTCCAGACAAGCACTGGAGTGACCCAAACATTGTTTGAAATGGAAAAACAAACCAAAAAATTGTCCAAACTGCTACCTTCCAAATAACAGCTAGCCCACACTAAGGGAACTCCCACATGCAAGAAACAAAACAATAGTAAACTAGTATTCCCCTGAAAAAAATCGGAGAAAATTCTCTTCCATGGAAAAGCAAATCCGTACAGAAAGAAATAATAAAAAATATATATAATTTAGTAAAACAAAATATTTGCAGTGTGTGAAAATTAAAATGGCAGACATTAAAAGGAAAAAGTTGGGTGAGCAAGGTTCATTACCTATAAATAAGTACCTCAGCTGGCATTTCCTGTTTAGGTTTTTATTTTCATGCTGCTCTAACTTTTATTTTATTAAATTATGTTTGTGTTTTTTTGCCTTAAGGAGTTTTGTTTGCTATCAGGGGAAGGTCAACTTAATATTTCTTTTTTTTCCTGTGTTTGGGTTGAGAGATCGGGACTTGTTGTTATTTAAAGTTTGTTTTTGTTTTTTAGTTTTTTGGGTTTTTTTGCTTTTCGTTTTTAAACTTTTTCTATCACTCCAGTGTTTCTCCAGAATATTTATCTCTTTATTTTTGGACCATTGATATTGTGATCTATCCAAAAGGATACATAACATCTGCTCATTATTATTCCTGCAAGACGGGGCTAGCTGAAAATAAATTACTTTTTATGCAGAATTTTGATTGTATTGACTTTCAAAAGTTGGTTTCCTTTCATACTGATATAGATTACACTATTACTTACTTTGTTTCTCTTAAAATGGTCAGTAGCAAGCAAAGAAAATAAATGTTCAAAAACGAATAATCAAGTGCATTTGTGACGTTCCGCTATTATTAGAGAAGCAAATCAAAACACAAACGTTTTGGATGTCCTGTATTTTTACAGTGTAAAATGCCCTAATTTTTATGGTCCGGTAAATGTATCCAGATCCCACAAAAGAGTAAAGAATAATGTGTTGCGACAAATTTCATATAGCGTTATTCACTAAATTCTCAATTTTACCGGACTTAAAACCTAATTGCAAAATAACTAATAAAAAAAAAAATGTCCAGTTCAATTATATTCAAATTTTTTAACTTTAATTTCAGTCCTGTGCAATTCATTTTTTGTGAAAAGCCTATGTAACTACATCATGTACTACTGCTTACTTTAAGATAAACAATTGCAGCCATGATGCTTGCTGGATTGTGTTTGTTCACATTGTTTATGTATATTTGCTTTTTATGTGTTTTTTGGGTGTTTTTGTTTTATTCATGTCTGTTTATATCCATGCTTGGGAAAAAAAATGTTCAAACGTGACAGTGGATGTATGGTTTGTAAGAGAGAAAGTCAGGGAGAGATAAGCAGCTTTCATCTTCTTCCTTTTTTTTTGTTTAATCTATGAACTTGCATATGCACTTTTTTTATCCTAGTATTATTGCTTTTTTTTTTCTTTTTTTTTTACAATTGTTATCAACTGCAAAATCCTTTGGGAGAAAAAAGCATTTAGAAAAATCAGCAAGAGAAATAAAAAGTGGTGGAAAGAAGGGGGCGTGGCTTAGCGGCGAATGAGAGCGGTCGCCTGAGCACGGAGCTCTCCCGCCGACGGGTGCAACAGCGTGGAAATACAGCGTTTCAACACCGGCAACCGAGCCCAAAACGAGGGTACGCCTTCATAACAACATGTCCACTAAAATCGCCAAAAAATTCAAGCAGAAAACGCTCCAGTTACAAGTGGCAGCGTCGCCGAAAAGTGCAACAGAAGAACAAAATGGCGCCGGCCGACCTCAATCCCCAGCTGCGTGTACAACAGTGGGTGAGCTTACTCACACTACAGACAGCATGCAAACTCCGGTCACCAATGCCTCTGCATAACATGCTTTCAGGCTTTCAAAACACCTTTAAAACAGATTTACAGCAAGTTGCTGCAGAAATCAGGGCAGACATCCAAACAATGGGTGAAAGAACAGCTCGCCTGGAGGAACAGGCAGAGGAAATAATTGACGCACATAATGGTCTATCTGAAGCCCACACAGCACTAAGTGAGAAAGTTCAACGCCTAGAAGCTAAAATTGCAGACCACGAAGATAGAGACCGACGTAATAACATACGGATCCGGGGAATACCAGAGTCTATCAGTCCCCAGGAGCTGACCCAATATGTGCAAGATCTCTTTAAGGCATATGTCCCTACTCTGATTGACAGCGAATTACTTCTGGACAGAACACACCGTCTCCCCAAACCTAAGCACCTACCAACAACAACACCGAGAGATGTTATTACGCGCATACATTATTTTACCACAAAAGAACGCATTATGCAAGCATCCAGACGCCAGGCCCAACCTCCAGGTCAATTCTCCCAAGTTAAACTATTTATTGATTTATCCTCTGCAACCATGATCAAAAGGCGCTCCTTTGCGCATATCACAGCGGCCCTAAGGGCAGCGGAGGTGCAATATAAATGGGGCTTCCCGACTAAATTGCTGGTCAAACGTAATGGCATAGAATGCCCGATCCTCGATCCGGAATTGGGCAAGAAACAGCTGCAAGAATGGAACATTCCTCTACCCGAGGTCCACCTCCAATCCACAGAAAGCGGATCTGCAATCAAACTACACAACGAGTGGCAGAAAAGACCACGCTCCACGGGCACACACAGCTACAACAAGAAGATCCAGGACACCTAACTGCCCGTGGACTGTACTACATGTATAAAGGACAGGTCGTATGCATAAAATGCACTCACACCTACCCCTCCTTTAGTTTACCATGCCGGACTCATAGCTTACTCGCACCTGTCGAGAGCTAACCTAAGACATTTAGCAACCGTTTTACCGTTGTTGCTTTTAAAACCGGTATACAGAATTCTTTACCCACCCCCAAGTGGCTGCAATTCAGAGCCACTAGAGAATCCGTTATACTCGACACTGCACTACCGGGGCGCAGTGAACGGAATAATGTATATAGTTGACTTACGGTCCAATTGTTCTATTGCTTTTTTTTCCTTTTCCATATTATTTTCTTTAAAAATCAGACCCACGGATAATAAGTCCCATACCACTACCACCAGCTGGCACCATCCTAATGGTTATGCTACCAGAATGAAGCCACAACCAAACCCACCACCTAGATGGCACTCAAAATATGCTCCCTGAATGCCAAGGGGTTAAACTCCCCTCATAAACGCCGCTTAGCCTTACGCGAAGCCAAATCACTAGGTGCCCACGTAATGCTATACCAAGAAACACATTTCTTGTGGAGTAAACGACCGAAATTTAATTCCCCGCAGTATCCTATAGATTTCCACTCCTGCTACTCCGCAAAAAAGAGAGGAGTATCTATCCTCATCAGTAAAGAGGTAGCCTTCTCCTTAATACGCAAAATCGGGGATAAACAGGGACGCTATCTTATTCTACAATGCTCTTTGAATAATAATGTATACACTATAATTAATGTTTATGGTCCTAATGCTAACCAAGGTGATTTTGTCGATGCTTTGATGGGATTGATGTCTGCTCACTCGCTAGGGGATGTAATAATTGGGGGTGACACGAACTTCTTGTTAGATAGCGACTTAGACTCTTCGGGAGGCTCGAACCTGACCGCACAAACACTAAAGAGCAGATCCAAACTGACCACGGCAATACGCAACAAACTAAATGCACACAACCTCGTAGATCCGTGGCGAATTACTCATCCCACGGAAAGGGACTATACATGTCACACCGCAGCTCACAATAGCTACTCAAGAATTGATAGATTCCTATTACACTCTACCTCCCTTATGAAAGTTGAACGTACTGATATAGGATTAATCACTTGGTCCGATCATGCCCCTATTACGTTACATTTCAGAGAACAATTCCCAAACTCAGGAAGGACCAACTGGAGACTAAATGAACGACTACTAACAGACCCTGACATAGTTAAACAAATAGAACGAGATCTACAGTTTTATTTTAAAGAGAACAAAACTCCGGACTCTCCTCTCCCCCAAATCTGGCTGGCACACAAGGCCTTCATAAGAGGCTGTTTGATAAAGCATGCTAGCTTTGCAAAAAAAAAAGAGGCTCGAAGCATACACGGCCATACTTTCCGAATTAACCGTTCTAACCCACGCGAACAAGCACTCCCCCACGACAACCATCCACACTAAATTATTATCATTACAATCACAACTACGGGATCTAGAATTGGAAAAAACGACTTTCCTCACACATAGGTACAAGCATGGCTTTTTTGCAGCTGGCAATAAAGCTGGAGCCAAGCTGGCCGCCCAATTAAAACAGAGGGCTGCTAGCTCCAAGATCGCATCCATCAAAAATTCCAAAGGCGCCACCATCCTAGACCCAAAAGGAATAGTAGACGAATTCGCACACTATTATGAAAAACTTTACAATCTGAAAGATGACCAACAGTCCATTTGCCCCTCCAAAGCAGACATTGAAACCTTCCTATTGGGAATGGACCTTCCAACTCTATCTACTGCAGACGCAGAACAGCTTGATAAGCCTTTCACATTAGAGGAGATCACTTCAGTGGTCTCTACACTTCCACCACACAAATCCCCAGGTCCTGATGGTCTATCTAATATATATTACCGTACCTTCCTACCAACGCTAATTCAGCCTCTACAGGCAATATTCAATCATTGCAAGAGGGAAGGAGCATTGCCAGAAGAAGTTACAATGGCACACGTATCCGCACTCCCTAAGCCAGGCAAAAGCAAAGACCATTGTAAAAACTTCAGGCCCATTTCACTGCTTAATAGTGATGCCAAAATATATGCAAAACTGTTCAGCGAAAGGCTAGCACCGCTCCTACAAAAATTAGTTCACAATGACCAGTCGGGATTCGTGAGGGGTAGACAGGGCTCCGACAACTCGAGGACAATACTAAATATCATAGCGGGGATGGAGAAGGGGCGCCTCGAGGGTCTTTTCCTAGCGCTAGACGCTGAAAAGGCCTTCGATAGGCTAAACTGGCAGTACATGACAGAGGTTCTGCGCAAATACCAATTCCCCGAAGGGGCTATAAGAGGGATAATGGCGCTCTACGCGAAACCCAGTGCTAGAGTCTCTCATGGAGGCTTCCTGTCGCGAATCTTTCACATTACAAATGGGACACGCCAGGGATGCCCATTGTCCCCCCTACTATACATCCTTTCCCTAGAACCATTAGCTTGGAAGATAAGACAACACCAATCCATATCCGGCATCAAACTGAGAGACAGGGAATACTGTCTGGCGATGTTCGCGGCATCTTTGTCTCTCTATCACACCCTGAAAAATCACTACCCCAACTGCTGACATTACTGACCGACTACGGTACAGTTTCTTACTACCGCCTCAACAAAGAAAAAACACAAGCCTTACCGATCAATTTGCCAGGCCCGACCGTGACTGCACTTAAAAACTCCTTTGACCTAGATTGGAGAACGACATCCATAACATACCTAGGAGTTACGATCGCCACCCCAATTAGCAACATCATAAAACTCAATTACAAACCCCTCATACATATGTGTATTACAGAATTACACAAATGGAAGAACGCAAAAATGTCATGGCTAGGCCGTGTAAATGCTTATAAGATGATGCTCCTACCGAAGTTACTGTATATATTCCGCATGCTCACAATAGAGGTCCCAACTGAAATTTTTAAAGTACTGCAAGCCACATGTAGCTCCTTCATTTGGGGAGGCAAAAGACCCAGGTTACCCCTGGGCCTTTTACAGCAGACGACAAAGATGGGAGGAATAGGACTACCTAACATTGGACTTTATTACAAAGCCTCTCTACTTGCAACGAACATACACCTACACGCCCAACGAGGAACAACACAGTGGGTAGATATGGAACAAGACCAGCTCCAGCACACATCCCTAACTAATTACATGTGGACACCACACTCTCTAAGAGGCCCTAAAGTAGAGCTATACCCCACCACGAGCGCATCACTCAGAGTATGGGATAACTACATGTCCTCCCTAGGCTGGAAGAAGCTCTTCCATCCAGAAGCTCCCTTAACCGCACTGCAAGCGGTGAACCCCACGATCCCACTGGCTAGATGGACGCGTTTGGGCATATCCCAAATTCCTAAAATGGTAAAGGTCAACAAGTCATGGACTTCCCCGATATTCAAGCCAAATGGGGAATCCCAGAAAAGGATATCTTCCCCTACTTACAGCTAAAACACACTATTACAGCCCACGTTCAGACTGCATCACCCACTATACCTGCCACTAAGATTGCAGCCAGATTAATACCTCACAGATGCTGGACTGCCCCAATGAAACCCAAAGCCCTCTCACTTTGCTATAAGGCATTACTAGAATTAGCCCCACAGAAACCACTGACATGCAAACAACATTGGGAATCAGAGAGGGGAACCGCATTAACAGAGGAGGAGTGGCTTATTGCCCTAAATGGGATTAAAAAATGGACCAAGTGCTATTCACATATTGAAGCGCACCGCAAATTGCTTTATAGGTGGTATATGACCCCCGATAGACTACACAAAATATACCCAGATGTCTCACCCAAATGTTGGAGATGCGAGGTAGAGGAAGGGACTCTGCCACACGTATGGTGGAATTGTGGGGGGATACAACCGCTTTGGGGAGATGTTCAGACTCTACTAAAAGAACTCGCAATCCCCAACTTCCCCATGGACATCACGTCCTGCTTGCTATTGCGATTCCCCGAAAACACACACCAGATCCACATCCAACTAGTAGGAATAATCCTCATGGCTGCCAGACACCTAATTGCCTTAAATTGGAAATCACACAGGTGCCCGAATAAACAACAACTAATAGACAAAGTCCAACAATTCTATATATATGAGAAAATGTCCACTGAGACCGCTAAGGCCACAGATAGACTTAGAGATGTATGGGAAGTTTGGAATAAGTGGTACAGGGGAGGGAAGGGGAACTAAAGAAGGATTGGAGCACGATAGGGACTTTCATACAATGACATGAAACGACATAGGTAACAGCGTTCAATATGAATTTCCGTGGTTGTCGGAAACTTTGTTTGTGTAAATACATTTGTTGAGTTAATATTGCATGAGACCACATATCATACTGAAGGAAGAATAGACCACCAAGTGAAATGAGAGTGAAATGTTAACGTGAGCATTTAAACAGATGCAAACAGTGTGTTACTTTACGTTACTTTATTAACTACTGTTAAAACAAAACCTCTTGTCTATTGCATACTCAGTTATGTTTGTTATGTGAATCAACTATGTACTGGATTCATAACCTTGAAAACCTTCAATAAAAACTAAGTATAAAAAAAAAAAAAAGTGGTGGAAAGATGGCTATTTTGTCGTTTTACAGAAATGGCAGACAAAAAGGTGTGAATGTGTAAAGGACAAGGTAAACTGACTGATACATAAGATGGCTCGTGCATATGTGAAAGCAAACAACAATGTTTCTACATAAGCCCCCGTTTTTTTAATTAGTCCACAGTGGTATCATTGTGTTGCTTAAACAGTAATATCCAATATTTAGCACTAAAACTGTGTGAAGTTTTACAACTAAACCATTTATATAAGGTAAGGGAATAATTATGAGCATTGTTTAGACTAGTCCCAGATCTGAGGACCTGCATATACAGACTTATATTTGTGGCCACCAATATGGATATTCTCATGTCCTCTGACAACCTCTGACTTACATCTTGCTTGCAGGGGGACCTGAGAATAGGTATGACAAATGATTGATTTAGTTTGAACAATGAAGTTGGAAGTCAAACAGAGAATTCCTGCGGTTAGCACTGATGAGAGTCTGATCAAGTGTTAGAATGACAGGCGTGCATTCCCTGATTGTTTTGTTTTACGTCTGTGAAAATATAAATCTGCCAGTCTACATTCTCATCCTTGCAGGGGATAATTACCAGCTTTATTCATGGACCATTACTGCTTGTAATTCGTGTTGGCAGAGCCAGGTGTGTGTCTGGCGATGGAATCCTTATCTATCTGCAATGTAATACCTTGCCCACTTGGAACATAAACAAGACTTATAAGCCTGACCATTCCACAGTGCAAAATGTATTCTGTTACACAGCTTTTTTTGGTGATCTCTATTTGGAGATCATGACTCTGCCATTGGGCCAGTGCATGAACATATCACAATATACAACAGCCTGTAATAAATTTTCTTTCCTAATGCAAAATCATCTTTTAAGACCTAAAATCTACATGTTCTACAATACTGGCACAAAAGCTGACTAAGCTCCGCAGAACTTGATTCTATTGCATTACTTTCGAGGAGTTGATTTTAAATTTTTTATTTTTTATTTTGGTGTTTGATTGCTCTGACACATCTCATGTGTCACTTGGAAGGGATAACTTGTGCAATCCAATATTTAGCAGCTTTTGCTTTGGATGGGCCTGCAGTGCTGTATATTTCTAGAAAGGTCTTCTGATGTTATCATTTTAAACAGATTAAGCGTAATCTGAGATTATTAACTTCTACTCTATCATAAGAAACCAATAGAATGCAGTGATTGGGGTGAGAGGTCTAATGTTATAAATGGCAGGGATATTTCAGAATTCTTCTCTAAATATGGAATTATTTCTCTGTTTACCTCTATCATTGCATATCTTCAATGTTATTGCCAGCAATTTGGAGTACCATTCAGAGCTGGATAGATGTGGATTGATATTATCTCAGAATGTGTTTATTAAAGGGAATATGCATATTTAAAATAATTTTTTAATACAATGCAACCTTTTCTAACCATGGGTACCGTTAAACTTGTTTGTTGGTTTAGCAATCTGAGTCCTAGAAATTTCATTCCTGTTTTTGATGAAGGGAAACTTGTTTGGCTTGCAGCCATAGGAAATCTCCCCAGAGCCTCCGTCAATAATTTTTAAGAATATTGGGGATTTCAGCTGAGCAAGGATTCTAGCACATACAAAAACCCATTTAGGGTGTAAGCTCACATAAGCAGGACACCTATTATCTTATCTTATTGTGCATCAAAGTGTGCTGCTGGAAATCATTACAAAAGGTCAAAGTAAAATCTTTTTATTGAAAGGGTGATTAGAATACAACTTATTAAAATAAAATATAGATTTAGTATCGCACAATTGAATATCCTATTTTCTATATATATATATATATATATATATATATATATATATATATATATATATATATATATATATATATATATATATATATATATATATATACTCTCCATTGAGGTCACATGTAGCAGTCAGGAGTTTCCGGGTTGTTTTCGTTATTACTTTTATTATTTATAAGGCACTGAAATATGCCACAACAGAACTATTGCCTGATCGTGTTTGTTTATCATGGTGTGTACTTTAACCAAAGTAGTTTATTTATTTTTTGTATATTTGTTTTAGACAGTCTTTCATAAAATTAACTCTTTTTGCATGTCTTTGACGTGTATAGAAATTACAAATAATATAAACAGTACATTAACTGGTGATTGAATATTATGGCTTTCCGGGAATGCCAACCTCTACAATGTAATAGGAACATTCCAAGCCAGACATTTTTGTAATGCACACTGTAAATAAATAATACATAAAAATATGCACAACTCTGACATTCATGCTTGTTTGCTGCAAATTGACAGTTTCTGCAGTGAGCTCTAAGCAGGCAAATAGCAGTTGAATATAGGGGATTATAGTTATCAAAACCGATTTTATTGGAATACAATATTCTACTTGGTAAAATAACTATTATTTTCTGTTGATCTTCATTACATGAGTATGTGGAGTATGTGCCTGAAAGTATAATATCCATTTACCAGTGCTCCAGGCCTGCCTCATAAAGTGTGTTCCATCTGCAACTAAAGGAGATATGACAGATATGTCCCTATGACAGAATTCTGTAAAGGTTTCCAATTTGCTACAAACAGTACCATATTAATTTGGCAGAGGTGATTGTGCTTTGGTGTTGATAAGGGTGGTATTCGTTTTCCCATACTATATACAAGTGAACGGTTCAAACCAGTGGTGGTCTTCTAATTTATTTATTTTTAACATGAATTGCCTTTGTAAGTTGAATATATTGTTTGTCACAGTACTTTTCCTTATAGTTTATAATTTGGCATTCAAGTTGTGCAGCTCAGATGTCTTTGGGTGTCCTTGACCAAGATTGTGTTCCTATGAGCATTAGTCATCTGATGACCCATTTTAAGTATATTTGAGTTTTTCTAAGGTACTTTGGGGTTCCACAAAGGTGGGGTAGACCAAATTTAACTTAAATAGGCATGATAGTCACCAAAACAACTTTAGCTTAATGAAGCAGTCTTTGTGTATAGTTTATGCCCCTGCAATCTCACTGCTCAATTCTTTCGCAATTTAGGAGTTACATCACTGTTTTGGTTTATCCAGCCCTGGCTACACATTGGCTGACTGTGACTGACATAGTCTGCATTAAAAGAAAATAGATACATTTTTGAACAGTTGTAACTTTAAAATATTTTATCCCCTGCTCTATTAATTGAACTTTAATTACATACAGGAGGCTTCTGCAGGGTCTAGCAAGCTATTAACCGAACAGGAGATAAGAAATTCCATATTAAACACAATTTGCAATAAAGGTAAAGTAAGTAAACATTAGATGACTCTTTACAGGAGCTGTTTAGGAAGGCTGTGTGAGTCACATGCAGGGAGGTGTGACTAGGGCTGTCTAAACAAAGTCATTTAACTCCTAAATGGCAGAGAAAGGAGCAGTGACACTTCAGGGGCATGATCTATAAACCAAAACTGATTAAGCTAAAGTTGTTTTGGTTCCTATAGCATCCCTTTCACTGCATCTAGAGTTTAAAATAGCTAGAGATCTTAAAAAAAATAGGCCTATTTGTGTATGATTTGGCCTAAAGATCCATATAATTTTTAAAAGGCCAATTTCAATAAGATAAGTGTGCAGTTTTACAATGCATTGACTGGCATAAACTCTTTAGTTGGAAGACAAAAAATGGAATCGGACAGCCACTAAAGGCACTTCCTGGATGTTAAAGGACTCCAGGTTGCCTAAATGACATTGGATGTCTTCGCGCTCTGCATTTGTCCCCCTTGTCGGAGGAGGCAGAGCCCAAACACAGTGCTGAGAGAGATTGACGCTGGAATCTTATTTGCATTCCTAATACTACAGATCCTTTTAATGTAAACCAAGTCCAAGAGCCAGATGGTATTCACATATGAGTACTTAAAGGACCACTATAGGCACCCAGACCACTTCAGCTCAAGGAAGTGGTTTGGGTGCCAGGTCCCTCTAGTTTTAACCCTGTAGCTGAAAACTTAGTGGCTGTCTCAGGTCAATCCAGCCTCTAGTGACGTCCATAGGAATGCATTGAGTAAAGCTTTCCTATGGGCGGTTTGAATGCGCACGCAGCTCTTGCCACTCATGTGCATTCGGATCTGATGTCGAGGGGGAGGGGAGAGGGGTCAGCAGTGCCGAGGGGGGCCCTGAGGGAAACTAATTACCCTATAGTGGCAGGAAAACTAGTTTGTTTTCCTGGCACTATAGTGGTCCTTTAAGAAGCTAGTGTCAGGATCTTACCTGAGGTGGGAGTCTGTAGCGCAGATATGTTTGGTCACCCTTGCAAAGAGACACAGTCTAAAGTGACCAGGGAAGAAGCCACCTGGACTGTGAATCTGTGCACGGGGGCTGTGCAGGCAAAGTGTTCCAAAGCAGTACCGACAAGGTCACAAATAGCAGGATAGTCGAGGGATAGCCAAAATCAAAGGATACCAGAGGTCAGGATAAACAAAGTGTAGAAGCCGGGGTCAATATGGAATACAAGTGGAGACTAGACAACAGGAACTGAACACATACACCAATATCAAAGACTTAATAATGTTCTCAGGGAGGGCAGTTTAAATACCCAGCAGATGAATGATCAGTCTCAGAAGCACAGCAATGGCCATAGAATGAGTCCAGCCCCTAGTGCTGCAGATATAGCCAGGAATAATAGGGCTAGAGCAGCTTGAAGGAGTCAGAGCCACTGCTGTGGCCCGAAGGCAGATAGCAGGCCCAGGACAGCAAATTACCCAGGTTCGAATCCCCTGTTGGGCACTTATAGAGCGGCCACGTCTGGATGTCTCTATTATGCCTTTAGCAAAAATCAGCATCATATCAAATTAAATTGCATTTTATGAAGAAGTAGAAGTATAGATTAGGATGTTGAACTGGATATTATATACATGAATATTTTAAATTGAAAACTATCTTAAGATGGATTTTTCCTCGAAAAAGAATGTTAACAGAAATCAGGCAACAATGTGCAGTGTCAATCAGTAAGTTATTGTCGTGCATAAAAAAGGGGCATTAGTTCTCGGGATGAAAATATAATTTTGACTCTTTAGAAATCAACTAGAAGACATCTTGAATTTTCCATGCTATTTTGGGCACCTGCTCAAAGGATGAATATTATGGCACTAGAAAAGTCCAGAGGTGTGCTACAAAATTAATAAGAAGAATGGAAGATTGTAGTTATGAAGAAAGACCTACATTTAAATCCATTTTCGTTTAGAAAAACTGTGCCTTAGAGTGGATCTGATAGCATCATACAAATATATTCGGGTCCAATACGAACTATTGTCTGGAAATCCATTCATAAACAGGACTCTTTCTCAGACACAAAGTCAAGCATTTAGACTGGAAGAAAGGAGATTTAGTATAAACAAATGAGGTAGTTTGTCAGTCTATGCAGAATTATAAAGAACAACTGGATCAATTATTGCAAAAACGTAATATTAAGGGGTATAACTTTTTAACATGTGGGTTAACAGCTTCTTGATACAAGATTGGGCTGCCATTCTGGGGTCAAAAAGGACTTTTTGCTTAATTTGTTGCACAATTGGAAAGCACTTCAACATCAAGAGACCACAGACCAACGATTTGCGGCTCTTGAAGACCTCAGACGCCGTAATAACTTGAAAACACCAGGCGTCCCCGACGACATACCGGCGGAGAAACTCCCGCACCTCGGGCTTATCAGAGCTCTGCTAATGCTGAAACAGGCTGAGAATGCAAGTTTTTAGGCGGTCTTCCAGGTCCCCAAACCACGGGGAGCCCAAGCTACGGCCTCAAGGGATCTAGTGGTGAGATTTCGCTCTGGCGCAGACAAAGCAGCTTTTCTTGCGGCCCTTAAAGGGAAGACTCCCTACAGTTTTGAAAATTAAAATCTTACCTTTTAGGCTGACTTGTCAGGGGAAACCCTGCAATGGCGACGGTCCCAAATGTTCACGGTGCTCCTGAGGCAGAACAACATCCTGCCAATGGCGCTCACCAAATGAAAGAACAGTCTGACCCACACAGTTACAGACCTGAGGGAGCTGCGACGCTGCTGCCAACACTCTGCCTACCAGAGTGTTCTGTTACTCCTTCCGTGCAACTGGGAACAAACACCGCGGGGGACCCAGCAAGGATCACACCATTCTTGCCTTAAAGACAACTGCCAGAGGCTTACGCAGCAGCCCCAACTTGAACCAATGGACTCACTCCATACTGCCTCATCTACCGTCCTCAGGATATACCCCAGTTGCGATTCGAAGTTATTTATGAATATTTTTTTGACCCCGACTTTAGACTTTATTTTCCGTCCTTGAAGCACCCCAGTCACACCTGAAACAGGCCGAGAATGCAAGTTTTGAGGCGGTCTTCTAGGTCCCCAAACCACGGAGAGCCTGCTGGGTCCCAGCGGTGTTTGTTCCACTGCGCCACGTTCCTGGACTACTGGCCCAACTATGAAGACCTCAGTACCTAAGCCTAAATCTGCGGTCTAATGTTGTATATGTTTTACCACTCCACTTGTCTAGCCGCACGTAGGCATACTCTACATCATACTCCAAGACTCTCAGCCTTACAATAGCGGCCTCAGTATCTGTACTCTCCTATGCGGTTCAAAGTTATCTGTTTTTATTTTGCTCAGCCAAACCCAGACACACATTGCATCAAGTTATGAGACTCTCGGCCAAAAAATAACTGCCTCTGTATCTGTCCTTACCTATGTGGCTCAACGTGATAGCCATTTTTCCTAAAGCTTTATTTGCCCAGCCACACCTTTGCACTCGTTCCCTTATATTCCGAGACTCCCCTATAATTGCCTTAGTTTCTTTGCTTAAACATATGGTTCAAAGTTATATATGTTTTTGTTATTTTATGTATATTTCTTGGTGACAACCCCTTACTATTTACCACCACAGACGAGACTATGCAGACACCCCAACCTTGCCCATTGACATACAAAGGTCCTCCTTCCCCCACCTCCAAGTCTAGACCAGACACGACTTTAAACGTTACAAGATTCTGGACGTGCACAAACGAATACAGTTAGACACAGAACCGGGACGAGCAACGCTACCTATGCGGCCTGGATACTGGCATAGGACGCATAAAACTAGCTGGAGACACACACAACTCCCACGAGAGATGCCCAAGCTAGGGACCATTCCCTTGATAGTCCTTACACATTTCCGCCTACGGGATGCAGATAACCCACAGGTTAAAACTACTTGCATGACAGACTACCTGGGAACAAGAACCAATTATGACCACCCGACATAGACCATAAGGCACTCATAATAAAAAACAAAAAACCTGCTCCCAAGCACCACACCCACGCAAGAGACAGTATAGTCACGTGTACACTACGATGCTTGTACTGAATAAGTATGTCTGTATCATTATTATTCCCGCTAACCCACTCATGCTGGTGAGCCAGTCAAAAATAAAGAATTTGAAAAAAAATTGGAAAGTACCCGTATATACTCGTGTATAAGTCGATCTCATGTATAAGTCGAGTGCAGTTTTGTGACCAACAATTGTGAAATATGCTATGCCTCGTGGATAAGTCGAGGGTAAAACTTGGGGCTATGAAATTCTGTGATTTTTATAATTATATACACACACACTCATACAAACACACACTCTGCATTAAACACACACACTTATACAAACACACTCTGCATTATATATACACACACACACTCATACAAACACACACTCTGCATTATATACACACACTCTGTGTATATAATGCAGAGTGTGTGTTAGTGTAGTGTGTGTGAACTGGGTGGGGGGAGGGCATTTTTATTTAAATTTTTTTTATTTTAATATTATTATTTTTTTATTATTTTAATTTTTTGTCCCCCTTCCCTGCTTGTTAACTGGTCAGGGAGGGGGGCTATCTTAATCCCTGGTGGTCCAGTGGCATGGGCTGTGAAGTGGGGGGGCCGGCAGGAAGCATTTACTTACCTTTCCTACAGCTCCTGTCAGCTCCCTTCTCCTCCGTTCCGGTCAGCTCCACTTTAAGTCTTGCGGTCTGGTTGCCGCGGGATCGTTGCCATGGCTCTGACGGCCGCAGCTCTCTAATTTGCTATAATACAGACAGTGACTCGAGTATAAGTCGAGTGGGGGTTTTTAAGCACAAAAAATGTGCTGAAAAACTAGACTTATACTCGAGTATATACTGTACTTCAAACACTTTTTTTTTCATTTTTGTCTTCTTTTGGATCAAAAGCAAAAACACATGTGAGGCTGAACTTGATGGACATGAGTCTTATTTCAGCTTATATAACCATGTAATCTTTGCTGTGCTTGTTTGGCCCTTTACCCAGTCAGAGATGGGGAAAACCACATAACCTTACATTTTTTTCAGTTCTCCTCTCAGCCCAATCCTTCTCTGCTCACATCACTCCCCATTGCTGCTGGGATAGGAATGTGGGGAGAATGGGCAGAAGCCAGATTTGTTCTAGGCTGCTAATGATGCCTAACTAATGCTGCTGGAGGTGCTTACACCTCTGGCAGCAGAGGGAATTAAACTCTATATGTGCTGAATTTCATTAAAAAACACTGCATTTACAGACCCCAGATACCATTACAACTTCAAATCACCAAAGTGGTCATGGTGCTTAGAGTGACCTTTTAACCAACTAAGAGTTACTACTCCACTTAATGCCACATCTCTGGTGAAACTGACATTTTCTATCCCTTTCCTTTTTTTATTTTAAAGCTTTGTTTAACGATGTCAAGATTGTAGTGAAACCGTATTGATCTATTTGGTAGAGCAAATGTTATTTCTTTATATGTATTCTCTATTTTATTAGGCAGAAATCTGTAGAGGTACACCAGGAGCTGGTGTGAATACCATTGTTTGCAGTAGCTGAGAATCACCCAGGGCTTTATGTGCAGGAAAACTTGTTACCAATGTAGAGACTTGGTGACGCCATTTACACTGTACATGTTCAGCTGCCTGGGTGTATTGTTGCAGGCTTAATCTGTGAGTTGAAAGTTTGATAGCTAGCATACAGAACAGGAACGTTGTTTAGCTTGGCATGATCATGAGAACATACCATCAGGTCCTTTTGTGAAGCACATTCTAAAAATAGCTGCCATCGACATTTGCTATATACAATGTTAATCAGTATTTTACCGTAAAGGATACATTAATATTTTAATTTTGTTTTGTTTTTGCTTTTGTTTTTTTATTTCTTTACTTGGTTTGGACACTTTACAGTACATAATATGACAAAAGATAAATGAAATGTGACAGTTCCAATTTTACATTGTATATAAAAAGAAGAAAGAAAAAATTAAAATAATGTACGTAAAGGCACATAGTAAAGCAATGTAAAGAGTGATTATGTTTTAAATTATGGCTACAGTGTTATTATTTTTGGAATTTATATAGTGCCAACAACCTTTACAACACTTTGCAATATTATATAAGGGGATATTTAAAAATGAATGAGACCATCACACAATGTTACAGGAACAATAGGTTGATGAGTCCCATTGTACAGTGCTATGGAATTTGTTGGCGCTATATAAATAATAAAAAAATAATAATAATAATGAGGACCCTGTCCAAACAAGGAGGAGTTGGGGTTCAAAAATATAAGAGGGAATGCATCAAGAGGGATAGCAATCAAACAACAAGGAGGGAAAGTAGCAGAGCTGTGGAGTGTGGCACTTTAGGAGAGAGCAAGAGACAAGTTTATGAAATAGCAGTTACTCAGGGATGCTATTGGCATTTCTAAATAGATGGGTTTTGAGGGACTTCTAAAATAATAGAAGACTTTTTGAAAATCTGCAGGCTGGTCCAAAGGAAAGGAGCTGTCTGTAAGAAGTCCTGTAAGTGCAAATTAGCAGTAAGGGTTCTAACATTAGACAGAAGAAGATCACCAGCAGAGTGGAGAGACAGAGAAGGGTCATACCTACAAATTAGTGAAGAAATGTAAGAAGGGCTAGAGTTGTTTAGCACTTAATGGGTAAGGCTTAGTATTTTCAATTGATTCCTATAGGATACAGGAAGCCAATGTACTGAATGGTAAAGTGTGAAAGAAGCAATAGGATAGAAAAATCAGGCAGGTGGCATCATTCATATATATATAAATATGGCTGCAGAAAATCTGAAAATGAAAAGAGAGAAATTTTCATGTTATTACTTTTTATGTTCCTTTTGGATGATGCAGGAGGCGAGATGTGGAGCCAGCATTCTGCTAATGCCATTTGGGCAGTGACTACAGTTTTGAATGACCCCCGGTGCCCTGGAGGACTCTTAACCCCCTAGATTAGACACCTATATGTGCTTGTCCAACACACACAATTTTATTTGTGTATTCTTAATTTTAATGTGGAATAGTGTTGAATGCATAACACCATTAAATCTCAGTTGATTACATTAAATTCATATGCAGTATTAGAACATATTGTAACTTAGCAGAGGAATGTACTTCATCGTGACCTGCTTCAGATAGTGTTGGCATTTCAGGAATTAGTATGACCAGGCTTATTTGTGACATTGCGACTAAACATTCTGTCCATGGTATTTGACAGACAATTAGAATAAATCTATCCAATCCACTCACAGAAGATATTTTATCATCATGGTTGGTACAGAGCTGCCTTATCTGTAAAATCACAGTGAGCTTCTCCACACCAGAACTGTTGTGACATGTGGAGTTCTGCAGGGATCTCATAATTTGAACAAAAAAGGACTACTTGTTATATAGAGGGAAAGTTTACTTATTGATTAAAATAACAGTAAGGATAATAAAACCACTTTATTTATTCAGCATATAATCATGAGTCTACATAAAAAGAAAAAACATCCATGCACATACATAATAAACAATTTACATGTACATAACCGGGTAAAGCCTTTCTTTAATTTTGCAATAATGCAAACAAGTCTGTAATAATATATATGAACCCATACTTCTAAACCTTCCTGGTTTTGGTTTTCTCAAATTCAGGCTCATTTTAGTTTCCTCTGCTTGGTCTGTGCCTATAGACTGTTTATTAGGTAGTGCGCTAAGTAGTTGCCCTTTAGTTTGGCAATTACCCATAAGGGTGTCAATTTTATTTAGGGAGTTATCTACTAAACTGCTGAAAAATCAAAAGAAATTTTATTTTTATTTTGCTCTTTTTGCTGCTTAGTAGTCCCTAAATAAAATGTGTGCCCTTATGTGGCATTGTCACATTTAAGGATGCCTGATTAGGGAGCTATCTGCTAAACCCAGCAGCTTCCTAATTTGGTACCCTTAAATAAGAAAATCCAACATAAGGGTAGCAATTTAATGAATTTACAAGAAGGGGCAAATTGCCCATCTAAGAATTTCAACCAGTACTGAATTGTTAAGTAATGAATTCCTCTGATGTGCCAATTGTAGATTCTGAATACCGACGAATGGCCGAACAAGACTATTTTCATCCTAATTGCGATTCTTCTGAAAACGATTGCCCAAGTCTAAAAGGCTCAAACTAAATGTTTTTGTAAATATTACATGACTTCCTCAGAGATATGTAGCGTTAGAAGATTGGTGTTAAAGTTTGTAGGGTATTAGGATTTAGAATTAAGATATTCAGTGAAAGGAGTTTTAGCAGGTATAAAGAACTTATCAATAAGTCCATCATATCATTTCTTTAGCCCTTTAGAAATTAAGACAGGGCTCCATATTGAAATGGAAAAATCAATCAAAGTATTGATTATTTCTTTGTGTATCTGCCCCTGGCCAAATCAATGAAACAATGCGTGCACGCTCCCTGAAGTAATTCACACCAGACACAGGTTCCAGGTTGTTGAATAACTTGAGGAATGTTTTATTCAGAGGGGACGGCAAGTCCCTTTTAAAGCAGAATTACATCATAAGCATTGTCAGAGATAACATGGAATAATACATCAATAATTGGTTAGGTGTTAAGTGGTCGCTCTAATGCTCTGCCTACTATAGGTGATGTCACCGGGGCCATGAGGGTCTCCCACGGTTTCCCAGCGCCATCTTGCTGCACGAGGTAGTTAGTTGGTGTTAAGAAAGGAAGGGGGAGGGAGGAGGGGTTAGAAGCTTCTAGCAGCCATTTTGATTAAACGTGTGCTTAGCTTTATAATATATCGCGAAATGAGTAAATAGACATTTTCTCTAACTAGGAAATATGTGCAGACCTTATTTCCACAACAGTCCCCCCTAAAATGGCTATTTACCATAACAACTGCTACTGTCCCTAATATGTCCCTAACTAATAATATATCCCTAACTGCCTATAGCTCATCTATCTTAGCAAGCATCGAACGCTTCACTCCGTGGGTAACCCGCAGCGGCTTGTCCACCACATCTCCACACGTGAGACTCGCCTGCCAAGACAGACGCTTTCCCTACACTGTCCCTACAGGAAAGCAGTTGTCTGTTTGAACTGATGTGCTTGAAGGGGTGTATGTGGAGTGTCATCTTCGAGGTCTGTGATGTCTTGATGCAGGAAAGTAGGGGTCACGTCATCTATAGTCTTATCTACCGCTTTCTGTAAGTACTTCTGAATGCAAGGTGTAACGGACCGTTTTGCACAAAAGGGGTAAAAACCGTTTAGGCGATCGGACCCCTTTCCAGAGATACAGGCACAGCTACTGCAGAACACCAAACTCTTGGACTGGATACAAAATAGCACTCCAACTCCCGAACTGGAACCTCCCAAACAGCAGCTAGCAGACGAACAGGAAAAGCAGACAATCAGCTTACACTCCTGGCAATCAGTCTCTAACAGCATACAGTGAATCCCCCCAAGAACGAGACAAGGCTCTGTGTTGAGGGTCAAGCAGTGGTCTGAGGTGCTGGCACACCCAGCCTGGTTTTTATTACAGTCTTGCAAATACAGGACCGCCCACAGGGAGGTATAAAACAACCAATCACATCACAGTTACATCCACATATTCCCTCCCCTTATCCTGAGAGGAAACTCAATTACACATACAGTTAAAACATACTTTCTACCCAACTTTCATAACTCTAAAACCATACATCACATTCACATAAAATTACACATTCACAATCAATCCATTCAGGGGAACAACATATTAAAAAATGGCCTGAATCAGACCAGGGGTTCAAAAGTTAGTAAAAAGTCCTTTGTGACTAAATGAAGCATGGCTTTCCGGCCCAAACCAGTTTCAGAGTCTTCTATCCTGGAGATAAGTAATTCAATTATCTCCCAGGACAGACACAAGACTCCATTAAGCACATGGTTGCAAAAAGACACAAAACACTTTAAAATACATAAAGTCACCTTTTATACATAAAACACAGACATTTCACATATCCCCAGATAGCTCAGGTCTGAGCGCACATTATTAAGTGAATGGCGCTCAGACCACACGAATACAGTTTAATCGCCATGGAGCCAAAGTCTTTACAGTCAGTTTCATACAAATGGGCTCCATGGGATTCCTATCTGGGGTATAACACATTCAAACAAATCTACCGAACCCCAGGCAGAAAAGCACGAATTAAACTTTTCTGCAGGTAAAAAAAAGATGTCTTTTAACAGGGGGCCATAGTCCAAAGGCAGCAGGCGAGTAACCAGGCTTCTCCAATGCAATGTGGCGAGATTGGTCTCGTCACACAAGGGAGTACACAACAGGTCAGAAATAAGAAAATGATGATCATTATAAGAACAGCTGCCCCTATCTGGAAGAGGGTCTTTTGCCAACCATTCATCCATCCAAACCATCTGTCCCAAGTGTCAGTGACTCCTGAATTTTTCTTTAGCTCGTCTGCAAGACTATCTAGCTTCTCTATGGCCATAGTCACCTTACCATTGGGTCCAGTGTTGTCTGGAATGTATGTGCAGCATGTCATGGTCTCAGGGAGGATTTTACATACACCCCCTTTCTCAGCTAAAATCATATCTTGGGCCATTCTGTTCTGAAATGTCATTTGAGTAGTGGCTTGTAACTGTTCTGCCAGGCCCTGTAGGGCATCCCTAGTGTAATTGACAAAGCGCTGCTGATTATAGTAAATGTAGTTAATCCAATTGACATTTTTGTTAGCAGTTATCATTGGAATTCGGGATTCAAATCCTGCAGCCACTTCATCCCTTGCTTTGAATTCGTTAGGCACCCCCCTTGGCACACCTATGGCATCAATATACACATGGGGGTCAAAGCTCCCTCGGATAGGAGTCTCTCGTTTGGTTCTAGAGTGTACATGTGTGAGGTTTAACGTGTTATGACTACCATCCGGAATAATATGGATAGGCATTATGACTTTGGTTAGGGCACACCCCCCCCACCACTGCCCAGCTAATTGGGACCTCAATTGTTTATCACCACATAACCAATAGATATCACCGATTGTCTTTGTGTGATTCATTAGCAGTGATGCAGGTGGATTATGGTAAGTTGAGCAGTATCCTGATGGGAATTTGCCCAGATACAAACCAGTGTTCTTAGGTATTGTATAACATGTGTAGTTACCTGGGTAGATGGTGACTCCATCAGGTGGTTTTACATGTCCATGAGTGATCGGGTAGATTCTCTTCCATGATTCACATGTTGAGGAGTTAGTGATGGATTGTGCATAAAGACTCAGAACACATAATTCTACTTCAGGAGGTAAGCTCAGAGGAACTGTGCCCAGATGGGGCCTGGCTCCTCCACATACATAACAGTTAGTCTTATTGTGTGAGTTGGCATTATACCTCATCCATTCTAGCCACAAAGTGTCTGAAAACCCAGTCTCCAGTGCCATAGTTTCTTCAAAGGTGGGGTTGGCTATAGCTACCATATCATGTAGGGTCTTAATATGTGGTTTTAATGGGTTAACAATCATGTGAGTGGTCCCTACCCAGTCTGGGGAGGTGAGCATGTCTTGTAGGTAAAATGTCCCCAATGCATTATGTGAGCCACCTCCCTTCCAGTACATTCCCATCACATATTCCCCTGCGTCCCTTGGGCTGGGGTGTTCTATATTCAGGGTAAGTTTAATGGGAGTTGACCCTGTGGGTTTACTTAGAGTCATTCTAGAAAGTAGGGGCTTCCCGTCTTTATCAAGTCTGTCCAATGCAACCTGAGGTCTGTAGCCCCATGGTCTACCTGTATTCCACCCGGCAGCTTTCCATGAACTACAATGGTGTCCCCAAACTCCTCCAGTCACGCAAATGTATGGATCCTTTTTGTTAGGTATATATTTGTATATGGCTGCATATTGTGTTTGTGGAAATGTACAAGTAACTATGTCACAATAATCAAAGGTGTACGTGGCTACATCAGTATTAGAAGAATTGTACCAGAAAGTGTAGACGTGATTATCTTTGGTTATGGCCACTTGTTGGGCCCAAGCAAAGTGCAACACCATAAGAAAACACAAGACACATAATAAATTCATATTTCAACAGGAACAGCCTCTTCTGGAGCAGGCACTTTTTTGCAATGTGAAGCGTGTATCCAGGAACTCTTTCCAGCTAGTTTAACTGACGTTGCTGTAATCAGGAGCACTTGATAAGGACCATCAAATCTTGGTTCTAGGGTGTGTTTCCTGAGAAACTTCTTGACCATAACCCAATCACCAGGAAGCAGCTTGTGTGTACCTGTATTCGACTCAGGATCTGGAATAGAAGAAAACACTTGGGCATGTATTTTGGTCAAGGCATGTGAGAGGGCAGTCACATAGTCTACCATAGCGTCTGACTGAATCTGAAGCTGTTGAGGAAAGTAGCAACCTAACCTGGGTGCTGTACCAAACAAAATCTCATAAGGTGACAAGCTATATTTTCCTCTGGGAGTGTGTCTTACACTAAATAACGCTAGTGGGAGACTCTCGGGCCAGGGCATGTTAGTTTCTTGTGACATTTTAAGCATTCTGGCTTTCAAAGTGCCATTCATGCGCTCTACCTTACCACTACTCTGTGGGTGATATGGTGTGTGGAATGCAAGGGTCACCCCCAGTGCTGACCAGACTTCCCGTGTTAACGAGGCAGTGAAGTAGGTCCCTTGGTCACTTTCAATTACTTCTGGAACTCCATAGCGGCAAACAATTTCTGTCAAAAGATACTTGGCTGTAGTCCTCGCGGTGAGGTTAGTCACTGGGAAGGCCTCTGGCCATCCTGAAAACATGTCCACTATGACCAATGCATATTCATAACATCCACTTTTTGGCATCTGAATGTGATCAATCTGGATCCTCTGAAAGGGATATTGTGGCTTGGCTAGGTGATTAGGTGCGGTCTTTATAATCTTTCCAGGATTGCATTTAGCACATATAGTACAAGATTTACAGTAATTCTGTGTTAAGGTAGTGATGCCTGGTGCTTCGAAATACTTGTTAATCAATGAATTCATCAGATGTTTTGACAGGTGGGCTGGCCCATGGGCCCATTGGACCACCGCTGGATACATATTTCTTGGTAGGCAAAACTTGAGATTGATAGTGTAAACATCATCACGGAGTACAGCCCCTTTATTCTTCCAACTTTGTTTCTCCTGGGGAGTAGCAGCAGCTTGTTGTTCCTTCAGAAGCCTAAGATCTGTAGGCAATGTTTGCATAGTGTAGATGGGTGATGTATCTGTGGCCACTCTTCTGTCCACTTCCCATCCTTGCCGTGCTGCTTCCTTAGCTGCCTGATCAGCTAGGTGATTACCACGTGCTTCTTCTGTGTCTAGTCTTCCGTGGGCTTTTACTTTCAGTACTGCCACCTCTGCTGGAAGTTCCAATGCATCCATCAGTTCTGCAATGGCTGCCCCATGTTTTACTGGGGTACCGGTGGCCGTAAGAAATCCTCTGGTCTTCCAAATTAAGCCGAAATCATGTGCTACTCCCAGGGCATATCTTGAATCGGTGTAAATGTTGACACGTAAACCTTCAGACAATTTGCAGGCCGCAGTTAGGGCTGTTAACTCAGCTTCTTGAGCAGACTTAGTTGGTTGTAGGGCAGCTGCTTGTAATACTTGACATTCTGTGGTGACTGCATACCCAGTGTGGTATTGTCCCTGTTCATCAGCAAATCTTGACCCATCCACAAATAGTGTTTGGTCCGGGTTGAGTAATGCAGCTTCATAGACAGTTGGTAGGTGTGTAGTTTCCATTTTCATTTGTTCAAAACAATCATGAGGAATATCTAGGTCACAGTCTGTGGTGAGTGGGTCTTCACAGGCTTCTGTGTGGTACCTGGGGTACCCTGCTGTACAGTAATTAATAGTCTTTTTGTTGATCCCCGTAGAAGTCAGTTGTTCTTGGGTCATTTGACTCCAGGTTTTGGCCATCGGGCCTAGATCTTTCCACGAGATGTCGGGAGGTCTGGTGAGAGATATGTGCGGGATAGCTGTTTCCCAATGATGATAGAGATGTGTTACACTCTCTGGAAGGTGGACTAAGATGAGCATGGTACCTGTGAGGTCCCAAAATAAGTCAGTCAGGGTAATTTGAATTTCTTTGAGCTGGAATAGTTCTTCCTCATAGTTCATATCAGGGCCTGGTACGTCCTTAAACCACAAAGTACAGTGAAGTAGGGCCACTGATTGTTCATCATGTGGAGGTGCAAGTGCAGGCAGTTGTAAATCTGCTCGAACCTCTGGGTTGATATCCAGGCTATACCAGTGATACACAATTCCCCCCTTGGGAAGTGGCAGAAGAGTGGCTGGGTTCAGGGTAAGGCATCTCTGGAGTTTCACATTGTCAGGTAAAAGTAAGGAGGTTTGTAGACGGAGGTGGCGTTGAGAGGAAAGGTGTTTAGGTTGAACTTGTTGCAGGATAGCAGTAATGTCATGAGGGGCCAACACTGTGAGGTGATGGCCAAGAACAAAATCATTGGTTTTGTCCAGGAGGGCACTGGCGGCAAACACAGCTCGGAGGCAAGAGGGGCTACCCCTTGCAACAGTGTCAAGCATGCAGGAAAAATAGCCAATAGGCCGTTGTCTTGACCCATGTTTCTGGGTAAGGACTCCGGAAGCATGTCCTGATTTCTCAGAGACAAACAAATTGAAAGGAAGTTGGTAGTTGGGTAGGCCCAAAGCAGGTGCAGAAGCAATAGCTCTTTTCAGATTGTGGAAACAGGTGATAGTTTCTTCAGTGAGGTGAAAGGGCTCACTCCTGAGGGCATCATAGAGTGGCTGCATGAGTTTTGATGCTTCGGGTATCCAGGACCTGCAGTATGTGATGAGACCCAAGAAGGCATGAAGAGTCTGATGTGTTGCAGGTAATGGGAGTTGCAGAATAGCTTGCACCCGTTGTGAGGTTAGATGTTTGGTGCCATGGGAAAGGCAATGTCCCAAGAAGACCACAGAGGGCCGGCACCATTGTAGCTTTGATTTTGAGGCTTTGCAACCTGCTGCAGCGAGGAAACATAGGAGATCTTCTGAGTCACGCTCTGCAATAAGCAAATTAGGAGCACAGAGAAGGAGATCATCAACATATTGAAGTAGAACAACATCCAGATGAGATTTCTGCCAGGGATCCAAAACCAGAGACATGGCATGAGCAAACTGTGTTGGAGAGTTTTGGGCTCCCTGAGGCATAACAGTCCAGGTGTATTGTTGTCCTTCATGAGTGAAGGCGAAGAGAAAGCGGCAGGAAGGGTCAAGGGGGACACTGAAGAAGGCATTAGCTAGATCCACTACAGTAAATATTGTTGAAGTTGGTGGGACTTGGGACAAGAGGGTATGAGGGTTTGGAACAATAGCAGTGTCCTTTATGGTTACCTCATTAACAGCACGGAGGTCCTGCACCATGCGGTACTGGTCGGGTTGGCCCTTAACAGTTCGCTTTTTAACAGGGAAAAGTGGAGTGTTACATGGAGATGTGCACTTGATGAGGGCACCTTTGGCAAGTAGACTTTCAACTTGTTTGGTGATGGCTTCAGCTTGTGCTGGCTTCAGAGGATACTGTGGTCTACGAGGAGGCAGTGCTCCAGGCAGGAGCTGGACCAAAACTGGGGGTACATGTAAGTGCCCAATATCATCCGGGCCGGTGGACCAAAGTTCTTGGGGGATACGATCCAGAGCACTGGGGGTGTGGGTGACCCGTGCATTCCCTGTATTGTCAGTTAGGTTCAACAAGATGGGGAGTGAGCAGAGTACAGAGGTATCTTTTTGTGATAAGGGGGTTGTCAATTCAACTTGGCCATCTGCAGTAAAGGTAATAGAAGCCTGGAGCCGAGAGAGAACATCGGCACCTAGGAGTTTAATGGGGCAAGTAGAGGAAACAACAAACCGGGAGAGGATGTGTGATCCTACGTGTAGGAGCTTAGTAAGGGGGTTACTGCGTGGTGTACCATCCACCCCAACACAGGAGACATCGGTGTCAGATAAGAAGGAAGGGTCTGGCAGGTCTTGTTCCCTAAGGACACTACGGGCTGCACCTGTGTCAACTAAAAAGGTGGTTGGGTGACCCTCCACGGGGAGAACTACTGTAGCTAAAGGCCCTCCCCCATCCCCCGCAGACACTGCCATGGCAGGGGTTGCTGACACAGGCTTGCCAGTTACCTATTGTAATAAATCCAGATGGGCCTGGTCTGGTCCCTGGTACCGGCGGGAAGTGGAAGGAGGGTTAGCAGAATGCATGGGGGGACGGGATGGACGGATGGCATGGCGGGGCTGTGGCTGGCTGTCTTGGAAATCATCGTTGTCATACCCTTCAGCGGAGTGCGAAGTGTATGCACGGGCTTCTGATGCAGGGAGCCGGGCTTGGGTGTATTCAGGAGGAGGAGGAGGAGGAGGAGGTGGGGGAGGAAGCTGAGGCAACTGTGGATGGGGCAGGGCAGGGAGATAACCAGTGGAGGGGAAGTTATAGCCGGTGACATGGGGACTTGGGTACCGGGGAGTCTGCTGGCGGATCACTCTAGCGTGTGGGCAATCTCTTCTAAAGTGACCTGGCTGATTACAATTAAAACAGGTCCGGATTGTCGTGACAGTCCGGTCTCGGGAGAAGGGAATTGGTGCAGGCAGTGTCTGGGGTGACTGAGTGTACTGTTGGGGGAGTATCTGGGGAACTTGGTTAGAACCTGCAATTGGGGTGGAGGTAGTGTACATTAGAGGACTGGTTCTTCGCTGTGTAGGTTGCAAAACAGATTCTAAGCCTTTGGCTACCAACAAAAGAGTGTCCAGTTGAATAATTCTATACTCAGGCCGAGCTAAAATTAACCCCTTACGAATGTGTTCCCTAAGACCTGCCACAAAAGCTGCAGAGAGCATCTGGGTGTGTGCTTTGTTATAGGTACTGAACCCTAAGTCTGAAAAAGTCTGAGTCAACCTAGAGTGATACTTTTCAACTGTCTCAAGTTTATCCTGAATTATGTCATTTATGCAAGTAGCCTGATCAGCTAGTTTATCCTGCGCCCAGGCTCGAAGCTGTTCACAGAAAATTTCACCAGAACGAAAATCAGTAACAGAAGTAAGTGGAGCGTCGTTAAAGCTCCGTTCCATGATTGGCCAGTATGCATCTCCAGCCTTTATTTCACATAGACTAATAAGATCCCGCCAAGCAGCGGAGTATGTTTTACGGATCTGAGCCATCCTGCGGAAAAAGGGCATGGGGTGTTTCTCAGGATCAGGGAGTGAGGTCACAAGGGTAGCAGCTTGGGAAGGGTTGAAGGTAACATACATAGGTGGTGCACCATCCGCACCATGGTTAATCTGGGTATACCCCTGGGGGATAGAGCGCCGTTGGGGGAGCCTGTTCCCCCCTAGGTGAGGTGAGCCCTGGTCCACCACAACGACCTCTTCGGGCACCACCGGGCCACGTAGAAGAGTAGTCTCAGGGGTAGCTGTAGCGGGGGCAACAGGGAGGCCGGTGATAGGAGAGGTAGTGGGGTGGAAACCCGAGGCCTGGGGGGAAACACCCATCGCATAGGGTTGGTCCGATGTCACAGACACCTCGGACCCAACCACCATGATTGGGTAACTGGGACTGGCGGAAGGGACATGAGGAACCAAAGCCGTGGAAGGGGCTGTCATGGGGGCCGGTTGGGTTGGGCGTGAGAGGTGAGTGTTCAGGACATGGGCAAGAGCAGAGATTGGATCGGAAGGCTCGGGGACGTTAGCGGGAGACAAGGGAGGGGTCGGAGGTTCGGGGGGAGGAGGAGGAGGAGGAGGCAAATCAGTGGGAGACGGCACAGGGATCGCGGAATTAACCAGGGAAGTAACAGCAGTGAAGAGGGCGGATATCGAGCTAGACAGGTCATTGGCCATGGATGAGTCAGGGGTCACCGGGGAAGGGGTCGGAGGGACGGGAACAAGGGGCTGCGTCATAACAACGTGGGTGGAGGGTTGGGACGGCAAACCAATCGGGGGAAGAGGAGGAGGAGGCAGCGAGGTAGAGGGGGCAGGGACGTCGGGAGGAGGTAACACTGGAGAAGGGGTTGGAGGGGTGGCAACAGGGGGTTGGGTCAGGGCGGTGAGGGCAGAGATTAGGGACGGCAAATCGGCCGTGGGAGGGGGAGGCAACGAGGTAGAAGGGGCTGGGACTGTGTGGATAACGGGAGGGTCCTGGAGGATGGGAGGGGTGTCCGTGCATAAGGGAGCGGAGGCAAGGGGACCGGGATTAACGGGCTGGACAAGATTCATGAGAGCGGAGAGTAGGGATGAGGGATCCGTGGAGGAGGAGGAAGGTGAAAGGGAATGAGAAGGAGAGAGGGACAGAGAGGGTGCAGGGGTAGGGGTCACGGGGTCTCCTTGGGGTATGGGAGAAGGAGGGTCAACAGGGGGACAGGGGTCCGGGGAAACGGGGTCGGTGGAATGGGTATGAGTCGGGGGAGTTGGGTGTGTAACGGACGGAGAGGGTGAGGGAGCGGGTGTTACTAGGGATGGGGTAATCGGGGTAGAGAGGGAGTGAGAGGAGGAGGATGGGACTTCGATGGGCGAGGCGGGAATAGTCAGGGCAGGACTCGGAGTGGGGACAGGCACTGGGAAAGGTAGCGGAGGACATGGAGGTGGGGGGCCTTCGACAGACATGACGGGAGGATGGCTGAAGGAGGGGGCTGGGTCACAGGAGGGTTGGTGCATGGGAGTGGGTGGGAACGAGTGAAGTGGCACTGGGTAATAGTAAGCAACATCCGCACCGAGTACGGGACACAGGGGGGTGGGAGCTGAAGGCACACCCCGGGGGGGTGGGGTCTGTGCTGTGACGGGAGAAGCAGGGCGGGAATTTACTGTTGCGCTCTGGGCGCCATCATAGGGCGGTGGTCGTGGGACAATAGAAACAACATCATCATTGTGAACACTCCTATGGTAAACATACACGATTTGTCCCTCAAACTCCAGCTCTTCCTCGACCCATCCTTCCCGTTTCAAACCTCTAGCTACCCGATACCAAGCCTCTGCAACCTTTGTGAGTCCGTTATCCAACAACAACCCTTCCTTGTCTATGAGTAACTTTCTCCAAAACTCAGGCTGCAATCTCCCACTGGGCAACATCTGGAAGCCACACACCTTAGCAATCTTTTTAAGTTTCATCATTGCATCTTCCCCTGCCCTTTCTTTCACAATGTCACAAGCCAGCAAGCCCTTAGCAGGTCTAGCATGTTCCTGCCCCATCTTGAGTAATCAAAGTGTGCCACACGCTAAAGACAGATAAATAGAGGAGGTACAAAGGAGAAGGAGAAAGAATGTCTACAGTGCTCGACTGCCACGAGAACTTGAGCCCCGTGCGTCTTCCCAAACGTAGACCAGTCACGGAGATCCGCCCACCCGGGGTGGTGGTCACGGACGGGAGCGAATGAGCGTGGGTGACTAACACAGCTCTGGGCAACAGGCACAGGAGAGATAAAGAACAAAAGAGAAAATGAACGTGGCTGCGCTAATGAGAAGACATTTGCAAAAATCACAAACATATAAATGAGCGTAAACTCCGGAATCCAGAACTAACCACACAATACACACACACACACCGAGGGTACCCACACTATAACAACAATTGAACAAAAACCACAGAATGACAGAGAGTAAAATGGCCATGTACATGTTAACACCACTGGTGCCAAATAATCGAAGTATAGCAATCCCCAGCCTTCACCCACCAGGCTGGTCCCGGTATAACACAGGTACCAATGAAAGCACTGCAATAATCAAACAAAATCCCAGCCCCACCGGCTGTAATGCGTTCCCTGCCCGCTAGGCAGTCAAGCTAACATAAAATCCCAGCCCCACCGGCTGTAATGCGTTCCCTGCCCGCTAGGCAGTCAAGCTAACATAAAATCCCAGCCCCACCGGCTGTAATGCGTTCCCTGCCCGCTAGGCAGTCAAGCTAACATAAAATCCCAGCCCCACCGGCTGTAATGCGTTCCCTGCCCGCTAGGCAGTCAAGCAAACATATAAAAGGCGTTCCCTGCCCGCTAGGCAGTTAAGCAAACATATAAAAGGCGTTCCCTGCCCGCTAGGCAGTAAAGCAAACATAAAATCCCAGCCCCACCGGCTGTAATGCATTCCCTGCCCGCTAGGCAGTCAAGCTAACATAAAATCCCAGCCCCACCGGCTGTAATGCGTTCCCTGCCCGCTAGGCAGTCAAGCAAACATATAAAAGGCGTTCCCTGCCCGCTAGGCAGTCAAGCAAACATATAAAAGGCGTTCCCTGCCCGCTAGGCAGTCAAGCAAACATATTTTAAAGGTATAAGAAACACACACACATACAAATGAATACAGGAGGCAGATAGACAATCGACAGGTTCACCTTAAAAAGGCACACCGGATGAGTTAATTACCTGTCTCTAGTAGCCTTCTGGAAGCCGGAAGTAGACTCTGAGACAGACCGACACAAAACAGGAGAATAACACAGGCAACGGCTGTATTATGGAGGTGATCAGGCTCCGCTTGTCCCACTTTCCGGAGGTCCGCTCCGGTCCGTTGGTTCCGGCCCTCCGAACCGGCCCTCCGGTGGCCCCACGTTGGGCGCCAATTGAAATGGAAAAATCAATCAAAGTATTGATTATTTCTTTGTGTATCTGCCCCTGGCCAAATCAATGAAACAATGCGTGCACGCTCCCTGAAGTAATTCACACCAGACACAGGTTCCAGGTTGTTGAATAACTTGAGGAATGTTTTATTCAGAGGGGACGGCAAGTCCCTTTTAAAGCAGAATTACATCATAAGCATTGTCAGAGATAACATGGAATAATACATCAATAATTGGTTAGTTGTTAAGTGGTCGCTCTAATGCTCTGCCTACTATAGGTGATGTCACCGGGGCCATGAGGGTCTCCCACGGTTTCCCAGCGCCATCTTGCTGCACGAGGTAGTTAGTTGGTGTTAAGAAAGGAAGGGGGAGGGAGGAGGGGTTAGAAGCTTCTAGCAGCCATTTTGATTAAACATGTGTGCTTAGCTTTATAATATATCGTGAAATGAGTAAATAGACATTTTCTCTAACTAGGAAATATGTGCAGACCTTATTTCCACAACACATATACCACAAATAAGAATTAAAAGAACACTCTAAGGTTTAATATTACATTTTTGTATGTGTGTATGTTCCGATATGTGGTGTGAGGTTATTTATGGAGATTAATTATTATTAATTAACTAAAAATAATATTTTCATAAAATTATTCAAATTCATATTTTTAGCTGCTCCTCCTGACAGCTGGCGTTCCTCCTTCACGGCGGTTTGCGACGGATGGTGAGTAAGCAGGCCGGTATCATTGTACCGGCCTGCAGACCACACACAGCCTGACCCGCCAGGGTCGGCTGCGGGACAGGGGCATCGGGGGATCACAGAGTTGTGGGTTCACTTCTTTTTGCCACCGTAACTTAAATTATCATTTAACACACTTAAACGGTACCTTACGGATTGCCAACACCACATGCTCCTACGACACCCCAACAATACAGGGTTCCTTTCATCTTATCTGATAATGACCTACTGAAAGGAATTCAAAATTCAAGACTCACGTACCTTCTCAAGGATACCCATCCACATGGTATATTTCATTCACTATCCGACTTAGTAGATTCAGCTCATTTTGAGCACACGACCAATACGACAATAAAACGGCCATACATCAACAATGGGTTCTTACGTCCCAACGAATTTACCACTAAGAATATAACTACCACTGAATACCTGGAAACGACTGTTAGTCAGACTCCATAAGATCATTAGGTCCTATCTCTGAATCAGTCTATACCTATCCCTATAGCACATACGGTCACAATACCCCTATTACCTACTCTAAACAATGGTGCCCGGTAAAGTTCGGGTACTTGTTGCACCACTTTCCAGATACAACCACTCCAACCATTATCAGAATTCATGGCTCCATTCTTACAGCATCTTAAGTCATGCGTAATGTTCACTTACTGTTAACTAGGCTCGGCCTAATACAAACCTTTCGTCAGGACACTCCTACCGTATAGCGGCAGCTTCCTCCAGCCACATTCCAGCTCATATCATCGGAGCTATGGGACGCTGGAAATTCTCCGCCTATACTCTTTACATTCCGAACCCAGTTAAAGAGTTAATACAAGCTTTTCGTGACTTGTCCGCATAAACGATGGTTGTTATATGATTAATTTTGTATGGTATTCTTCTTTTTGCCCACTTTTATTACAGGCCTACTGCTCTGTCGGTTCCGGCACACCACAACCGACTGGTGTCATTTGAAAATGTCTATTGGTTATAATATGCTATGTTACACTATTATCACGGCTAGATTGCCCCTGCTACAAATGTAAGGTCTTGGCCTGTAGTTGTGGGAGGGGCTTGAATTCCCTTTAAAAGGGCCGCCAATGCTCTCCCACCTTACCGTGGACAGTCTGTCGAATCACCGCTCCCACCGCTCCCTCTATTCATATCACCCTCTAAGGTGGGCCCACTTTTATTACAGGCCTACTGCTCTGTTGGTTCCGGCACACCACAACCAACTGTTGTCATTTGAATATGTCTATTGGTTATAATATGCTATGTTACACTATTATCACGGCTAGATTGACCCGACTACATATATATATATATATATATATATATGTGTGTGTGTGTGTGTGTGTATTTTTGTGTTCCGATATTGCTAATTAAAATAGAAAATCTGTAGAAAACTTACCTGTGATTTGGTGCCGTCTCTTCTCAGAAGCTGCTCCACCTTCTCTGACATTGTCATCCTTGATTGATCTCGGTCCAATCCAGTGCTTCCCAGAGAAGCATTCAGGATCTACAACACGTTCGTGATAATCACAACATTAAATAAGGTATACTCTATGAGAAGAATCGGATGCATGCATCATCATCATAATGTGTAAAACACCAGACACAAAGACTTTTGATTATTGACGTTTTTTGAAAAACTAGCGGCTGTTAATCTGACATCCATGAGATGTTCTCATGGCAAATGTTAATTTTATGGAAAGGGGGCATCTTTCTCCTTATATTCCCACTCGTGGCCAAATTGCCCTCTCGCGTGGACCTTTTACCTTTCTATTTACATCAAAAACTGTTTGAGCAAAAATATTTCTATTTGTGTGTGTGTATACAGTGGGACCTCGGTTTACGAATTTAATGCGTTGAAAATCAATTGGAATGCATTGAAAATCAATTGATCCGTTTTGGAGGTCAGAAAAAAGTAAAAATGAGCTGGCATGGAAACCAACTCACAATGCAGAACACACAATAAAAGGCATGAAAACAATGAAACTCAGTTCCCTACCTTTCCACAGCTTGACAAATGCACCAAAAATTCCCCAAACAATTGCAAACAATTTCCAGAATGGCTCCAAAACCCGATGCAAAAGCCACTCCAACACCTCCACATGCGACGTGGCGAAGCTCCAGCTTGCAGGGGGCAATGCTATAAACCTCCGAGGTGCAATGCATCATGGGGAAATTTGCTTTGTATTGCAAAAACAATTTGTAAAACGAGACATTATTTTCAATGGATTTTCATTTATAAACTGAAAATTATGTTAACCGAGACATTTGTAAACCGAGGTCCCACTGTGTGTTTGTATTTTGCCCTGGCGCCTGGGATTGGACAGCCAGTTCCCTCCTCCTCCTCCTGTTTAAATCCTTGTGCATCTCTTTGGGCCGGGAGGAAGTGAAGAACTGTAATTACTTTCTTCCGTTGCAGAGGCAGCGCAGGGGAATGGCAAGCTAACCTGGCAGGACACCAAGCCACAGAGCCGATCCTGCTTCCCGCCCGCCTTCCACTCCGATGCTGCAGAGCTGGCCTCCCTTTACCCTGCGTTACCTCAGAACCGGGAGGAAGTTATTACAGTTCCCGGCACACACAGAGCTGCAAGGGGCTAGAGACAGGAGGAGGCGGAAGGAGAGAGTCTGGAACAGCGGCTGCCTACTCACAGCCACAGCCAGCCCCATTAACCAGATGTCTCCTGCTGCTGCCCAGTCCCACTGGACCCCAGGGGAGCCAACCTCCTGAGCCCAAAAGATAGGAGGGTGTATCTGTCGTGTGTATGTCTGTATGTGGATTTGTCTGTGTGTATGTAAGAATGTTTGTGTGTATATATTTTAGTGTATCAATTATAAATAATACTTTGTGTGTCTGTCTGTCTCTCTCTGTGTCTGTGTGTGTATGCCTGTCTGTTTCTGTCAGTGTGTGTGTGTGTGTCAGTACTGGTGTCTGTCAGTAAATGTGTATGTTTAGGTCACCAGCCCCCTCCGATCGCATTGGGAATTATGGTATAACTCCTCTTTTTTTCCAGCGTTGTGTCGGTCTCGTTGTAGCTGGCCCGCCTCCGTAGCTGAGATTATCAATTACCAATCAGAATCTCCCCACAGAGATGCATTAAATCAATTAAAAGCATCTCTATGGGGAATGTTCAGCGATCTGAGTGACAGCCACTGGAGGTTCTGGTGACTATAGTGTTCCTTTAAGAATTGTATTTTTGTTTTGTTGGGGGGGGGGGGGGGGAATGGCTTCTAACTTTTTTAGTTGACTCCTATATTGAAGAAAATGTGTCAAGCCCTGATATATATATATTTATATATTTCAATGAAGGTAACTATTTATTTTTCTTTAGATTTATTACAGCTTTAGACCAGTGAAGATAAAATAACTGGTCAAAAATTAAAATTCCTGCCATACGTTCATTCTACCACAATTTCACCCTTTATGGTGAAGTGCACCCATACATATATGTATATGTATACATGTGTATATGTAAAAATACAAGTTTTAAAGGGGAATACAGGAGGGATGGAGTTGTGTGCAATTTACATGAAGAATTTGTAACCTTTGTATTTTATGTGCAATTTGAGGCATTAATATGTCAGTCACCTCTTTATGTTTATGACATGATCATGACTTGCACTTAACACCACCAGAACCTTGGTCTGTTTTATGATCATGAGACAGACACATAGTACAACCTATGATGGCATGACACAAGAGAAGGGGGATATTTATAGTATTTAGTATGTCTTACCAATAATGTAAAGTTGTGCCAATTTCTGCACACACTTCACATCGCTTTATTTCTCTTCTTTACAACTAAACAGAGTTGCTGATAGGGGACTATGGTGAAATGTTGCCTGGTATATTTATTCAGTTGGTTTTATTACAGGGTTTTAGGGGGTACAAATATAACAGAATTGCAAAATGTAAAAAATAAAAAAAACGGATGCAAAAAAAATTACAAATTTATTAGTGACCTTCTGTAAATTCTGTAGACATGAGTATTCTTTTTACAACACACTCCACACTCAAGGAAGTAACAAAGATTTGATTTTCTTGCTTGTAAATTTTGGAGAAAGTAATTTGATTTATTCCTTGCTCTTACTCTGTTCTTTTTAATGTAAAACTGAATGCAAACTGATGAGCATGCCTGGCGTTCGTTCCTAGAACATGTACATGTACCGCAGCTTATGTACAGTTCTCAGATTGGTTGTAATGGGAAATATCAAGTAGTTGCATACATAGCGATTTGGTATTTTTATTTAATTTTAATTGGAGAAATTGCATTTATAATTTTATAACTAACCATTTATTAATGTTCATACAGGCTTTGTAGATCAATATATAAGAATATCCATTTTGAGTTTTAAATATATTTCAATATATTATCATTCACAAACATCTGTAATTCTTCAACTGGTACACAATATACACTGGTACACTATTATTGCATTCAGAAAAATATGTTCCTTTAAGATTGTTAGTATATTTATACTGGCAGACATTTTGTGTTAAGACAGAAATTAAAAGTACAATAATTCACCGTCAGAACAGAGGTGACTCCATTTTGTATCACAATGCAAAGACAGACACAATGTATTTTTTATTCTATTCACTCAAGCCTGAGCTAAGGAATGCGACTAATGTAAACATTAGAGATAAGACATGATGTCTACAGCAGGGGGGTTGAATACAACAACCCAGAGACAAATATATATAAACACACAATATCCACATATAACTTTCTATAATTATATGAATCATATATAAATAGTACTACACAGCAACACAGCTACACAGCACAGAGAGTCCAGACAGCAGCTCCCAGCCTGCAGAGACAGACTACAGCTCAGGGAAATGAGGGATACATGGGGACACTGAGACACTAGGGGACAGTAGGAGATGTGGGGACACTAAAACACTTGGGGACACTGGGGAACATGTGGACACTGAGACACTAGGGGACACTGTGAGACATCTTGAGGACCTTGAGGAAGACCCTGTAGGGTCGAAACGTCGGTCAGATGATGTAACCTTTGTTTTAATAAATACCAACGGATTTATTGTAAAGTCCTGAGAGTGCATCTCTTATTTTTTTCTCTCTCTCTCTGTCTCTCCACAAAATCACATAGACATACACAATCACAGACCCACAAACATAAACATACGCAAACATCACATTCATACACACGTGTGTGTGTGTATATATACATATACACACACACAATCACAGATATACACACACAGACATACACCTATTGTGTGTGTATATAAATGTGTATGTGTTTGGTACATAGCTCCCTTATTTGGTGTCCTTAAATATTACAATCTCACATAAGAATAACAAATAAGGGCATTATTATTATTATTATTATTATTATGATATGTATAGGGCGCCGTCAAATTCCGCAGCGCTTTACAATGGGTGAACGAACAGACATGTATTTGTAACCAGACAAGTTGGACAAACAGGAACAGAGGGGTTGAGGGCCCTGCTCAATGAGCTTACATGCTAGAGGGAGTGGGGTAAAATGACACAAAAAGGTAAGGATAGTATTAGACTAGTGACAGTTGCAGAAGAGAAATCAGTCAGGAGCTATTAACAGTTTAATTGATACGCTTTTATGAAGAAGTGGGTTTTATCTACTAAACAACTGAAATTAAGAAAATGTTGTTTTGTTTTTTTAAAATTGATGTTTTAGCTGTTTAGTTGATAATTCTCTAAATTGGTGTCCTTATGTGAGATTTCCATATTTAAAGATACCAAATTAGGGTGTTGTTTAGCAGATAGCTCCCTTATTCTTATTTGGTGTCCTTAAATATGGCAATCCCACATAAGGATAGCAAATAAGGGAGTTATCTGATAAACAAAGATCTACTTTAAGAGGTGTCAGCTAGCCCACGAGCAAGAAATCTGGGTGGCTAATGTGAATTATATGCAAATATTTTGACTGATGCCCATGTGCACTGCATGCTGGCATCAGGCAGCCAATGGCAGCACATTACCCCATCCCCTAGTGAAAAGTTTTAGTGCCCCCCCCCAGTTTGGATTGCGATATCTTAAGTGCCCACCCCCTATATATTGTTCCCAGAGTCGCCACTGTGTCTCCATGTGTGTCTGTGTATCTGTGTGTGACTGTGTCTATGAATCTGCATGTGTGTCAGTGTGTATTTAGGTGTGTGTATGTGTATATGTGCATACATCTCAGAATCTCGCCAACACTACACACAAATACACCCCTGCATTTCAACATCAACACTACATACAAACTCCACCATTATATATAACCACACCACTGCCTTCAAAAACCACACTACATAAAAATGCATGCCTGCATTCAAATGCCAACACCACATACAGACACACATCCTACATTCACTCAAACATACTCCATACAAAAACATGCTTACATTTAAAAGCATAAACACTGCTTAGTGCTAAATACATTTAAAAAGAAAAAAAATTGTGGTTGTTTTTTACATTTTAAAGTTGGGGGTGGAGGGGGGGTGCCAAAAATAGGACCCGCCCCAGGTGCCAAATGCTCTAGGTACGCCCCTGTATACAGTACTAAATAAAGGGGGGTGGGTGGGTGCATATCAAAATCCCAAGAAGTGTATAGAGTGAAATAACTAAGATAACTATTATTGGATCATCCAATAGCAATGCTAAAATAAAACTGTATGTGGCCTTTATTGTGCCAGCCTATTATAGCATAATAACACAAGCTAAATAGATGATAACCTTGTGAAAATAAAAATGAAACCAGTATGGAGAGGGTTAAATTATACAATTGAAAGTATATTGTTAACACTTACTATTCATGCTTTTCCAGGTCACACTTACCCACATTTAGTTGGTTAAGTGGGTACTGTGCGCATATTTATGTCATACATTAGGCATATTGTTTTACTCAGAAGAGGTAACTGAGCATAATTTTGGGGGATTTTACGACAGTGGCATTTGTCAAATGTATGAAATACCCAGCAAAAATGCAACATCTATATAAAAAATAAAAATTTTCACCACAAAATTTTGCATAAATTGGTGAAAAAAATGGCAGCAAGTTAAAGTACAATATACACCATATAAGATATCCTGGAGTGTCTGCTTTCTAAAATGGAAGGCCTTTGTGGGGTTATTTGAACAGTCCAACTGCTATAATGCCACAAAATCAGACATAGGACTATCAAACGCATCTATGAAAATTCTTACTAAAGAAACTGAAATAGCGTGGCCTCTTATATGGCATTAAAGCTTCACAGAGTAGTGGCAAAGACATACAATGGGAGTATAGTTGTACTCAGCAGATGTAGCTGAACACAATATTTGGTTTTGCACAGAAATAGACATACACATTAAAACAGCCTTGTTATGTCTGTCTGTCAAAAAACATAAACACATTTTTACTACAATATTTAGCAGATATTGGTCGTAAAAAGTGTCAACATAACCTTGGGTGAATAGCCTGAGATGTCTACTTTATTTAAATATATACTTTTGCGTTGCAATTTTGTTTTCTGTGATGGCTATTAAACTTGCAAGACAAACATACCAACTTATAAAATTGTTGTATTTGTAAACAATTGTAAATTGTATTTTGTGACATGTAACTTTCAAAATAAACTGAACTCCTACACATTTTGAATTACTTTTCCTAAGCTGACATTATACACACACACACACACACATTTTCTTTATACACCCTGATTTTGTATTTATTGGTACATATAGAGATGCCGCCCAGTATTTGATCCTTTTATAGTTATACATTTATTATACTTTTCCACACATTTTTATGTTGGGTTTTGTTTTTATGTATCTGAACCATTGCACGGATCACTGCTTTTCTTTGTTTTTTGTTTTGTTTTTTATATAAAGTGTTCATAGTCGATACTAAAAATGTATGTATGCTCCTTTATAGATTTTCAATCCATATTCTAGGATAAACTGTCAATTGTAGTTAGGCTTCCTATGTAGCATTGAGGTATATGTCATATTTGCAGGAGAGGAGCACTACAACTGCATCTCTGCACTCCATAAGTCTATGAGAGGGTCTGACCAGGATGCCTCTCTGTATTGGCTGGGGCGAATGCTTGAAGGAGGTGAAGATCCACTATATGTGGCTAGACGGTTAGTAAGGTTTGCCAGTGAAGACATAGGTATGTATGAATTATGAATTATTTTAATATATGTATTGAAGAAAAATAAAAACACAGTTTTGCATGGATGCTGAAATACTAATTAAAGTCTTAGCGTAGTTTTGTAGTTTTACTCCTGATTTTAGATTTATATCCTGACGTTGGGAATTGAAATAGCAAAGTATAGTTATACTTTGTAGATTAAAAAATGCGTGGGTGTAGTGTTCAAGTCCTGCTCTTTCTATGTCCAAATGGTACCCCACTGGATACACGTACGAGTTGAAAAACTTTAGTCCATTTGATCTTGTTTGTGTCATTGTAATCAATTTCTCTTTTGTAAATTGCAGATGTTTAATTGGGAAATGTTTTAATGTTATGTTTACCCATCTCCTATATTTATGAAGTAAAGTATGTGTCTGTGGTATCCGAAAATGTAAAAGGAAATGTAGAAATCCACAACACACAATTTATCTATATTTTGGAATGGAGTGCCTCCTACTTTGCTCTCTGTAAATTGCTCTTGCAATCTCTACATTCTCTAAATATGAACAAAACAAACTTCTCTGTTTATAGTGATGTAACACTATCATAATTCCTGATTAGTATGATGATAATAATGCAATGTATCCCCTATATGTGGTTGTGTCAACTGTTGTTTCCATGTCTTAATATCTAGGACTAGCTGACCCCTTGGCCCTACCACAAGCAGTGTCTGCTTACCAAGCCTGCCATTTTATTGGAATGCCTGAATGTGATGTAAGTTAACTTCTGCTCTCTATATATTATTATTGTTTTATTATTTATATAGCGTCAGCAAATTCTGTAGCGATGTATATATTAGATATATCCTGGTGAATTTAAATGTCCAATTGATAGTGCATGGTAATTGATATCTTGCCCCGCTTTTTTTTTTTTTTTTTATCTGTGTCAAAAGAAGCAGGGCACGATATTATTATTTTGTTTAAAAAAGCCACAGTTAAATATGAATCATTTATTCTTATTTGACTAGAACAAAAGAAACCTGTAAGCTTTTGAATAGCTAGTTTAACCATTATGTATATAAAGCAATTGCAGCTTATAGAAATATGCATGGTTATAGCATGCAAATAAAACATTTATATCCCTACTAAATGCACTACTTTTACATCGTGTAGTGACACATTTTGTGAAAATTTGCTTGATGTTTGAAATCTTTGCTTATGTAACTGAGCATTTAAGGAAGCCATTCTCCCGGATTTTTTATTATTGCTTCAAAATATTTTATGTATAAAGTGCAAGCGTTTTGAAGATTGGCACTTTACATAAATGTGTTTGTGTATTGCTTGTAGCAGATACATGCTTTGTAACTAACATACCATTATGCTTATTGAGGTGGTAAATGATTGTTGTACTATTATTTAAAAAAAAAAAAACAAAACACTGTAATCACCCAAATCACTTCATCTCAACGAAGTGGTATGGGTGCAGTGGCTTTGGTTTTTTTTTCTCCTACATTGTAAGTCTTTTTCATTATGGGTTAAACACACCACTAGTGGTTGTCTTCCTGAGAGTTCTTCTGCAGTGAGAACTGAGTCTTGCTTGGTTCTTCACTGATGGAAGCATTTGATTGCCACATTGCGCTGATTGCCGAGCATGCACATTAATTCCGCAATGCTTCTGCGTGAGAAGCATTTGATTGGACAAAATGGTTATCAAACCTGATGACCTCAGCTAAGGTAGGCCAGGCTGCTCAGAAGTGGCTGTGTCAGGTAATGGGTTAATTGAAATGTGTTTTTAGTGAAAACAAGGCCCTGAAATCTAAAACAGCCTCATTAGCACTAGGGGGCTTGGATTAAGTGTTCACCTATAGTGTTCCTTTACTCCAAATAGATTGGAAAAGCATTTGTAAAATCTGTATTATTTAAATTACTTTCTATTTTTCAGGTGATACTAGCTCAATGTGTGATGTATTTGACCCGGGCTCCAAAGTCAATAGCCGTATACAGTGCATATGGCAAGGTGAAAGCGTGTTTGAAGAACCACAAGGGGCCTCTACCACCTGTTCCGCTACACTTGAGAAACGCACCAACCAAACTAATGAAAGGCCTAGGTTATGGGAAAGGCTATAAATATAATCCTAAATACAGTGAACCAGTAGTGCAAGACTACCTGCCACCAGAGATGAAAGGGATCAAATTTGTTTAATTATATTAGCCCACTGTTTTATGAACATATGTCTGTGCTGTTATGTGTGTTTCTTTTTTGTAATTCTAATCATACATAAAAAGGTAGACTATGTACTTGGCTCTTCTAACCGAAAGTTAAATATGAAATGTTTAAAAATTACTGTTCCTTCGGCTAAAATTACCAGTTCTTGTTTCTTCTTCTATATTTAACATCTCTGTTCCAGCAACACCAATAGATTAGTAATGTAGTTATAATTATTGAAATAGCAACTGCCATAACTTATATATTTTAATATTATGCTTTTTTTATTTCCTATATTTAACAAATATGTGTTTGTGAGATCTGAAAAAAAAGGTCTCTATCCTGAACTCTCCAACTTGACTGCCTGTCCATTTTTGTAATTAAAAACAAAAAAAAACAAAACCCTTTGCACCTGTCAGTATAGAGTCTGGAGGAGTTTTACAAACTCATGTTACATGTTAATTGCTGTGCCTGGACTGAACTGCATTGTGATGTTGGTTGCTAAATCTTTAAAGAAACAATCTAAAGTTATAAATAATTATATTTATAACTTTTGTTTTTTATTCCTCTTTAAGTTATTGGGTCCACCTGTTAAAGTGAAGAGAAAAACAAAGTTAAACTAATCTTTTATACAAAAATGTCCTGGTCTTGCCTCAGCAGGCACTCTTACACTTCTAATCTGGCTAATCCAATGCTTCTTATAGAAAAGATAATGGGGCTTTTCAGAGCATGCGTAGCAGTCACCATACTGCAAGTAATCAGGTCCGTCTTTTAGAAAGGCATTGGATCTAGTGCTTAATTTTGAAAAGAATCAAGTGTTTAAGAGAAACCAAATGTGAAGACTGTCAACAATTGCCTGGTTATATAACCCTGTCATAGTCACAACTTGCAAAATCTAATGTTTAGTGAATACATTCCATTGTGTTAGAGAACATGCATCTATAATGCAACTGTAGGTGAAATGGTATGATCTAACCATGTAAAATTGTAATTTGGATGTTGCATCTCACCCTGAAATAATAGAATGAAAGCTTAACAATACATTAAGTCACATTACAGATAAAGTAGAAAATAACTTTAAGATTTTTTTCACTCAAAACACTTCTAATGGTGTCTCAATTCACTATTTAAAATAGTCGTAATGTCTATATGAGAGAACAATTTATTGGGTTAGGATCCCAGTAGAAATTGATGTTTCTCTAAAAGAGTAAAAATTGATATTTAAGATTAGCCAGAGAGTAGATATAAACATATAGGATGGAAACTAAGGGAAATTATGGACAATAGAGTTAATTGAAACCCCCTTTACCCAAGAAGAAGGGACAGATCTTTTTTCTCATGTTATGATCACACACAATGCTTTGTACTGTATACACAGGGGAAATCTTTCTGTTGATTGCAGCAGTTACATAATCTAAGACAGGCTTCCCCAAACTCCAGCCCTCCAGATGTTGTTGAACTACAACTCCCATGATTCTATGAATGAATTAGGCTGAGAATCATGGGAGTTGTAGTTCAGCAACATCAGGAGGGCAGAAGTTTGGAGAGGCCTGATCTAAGAGAATCCCTCTGTGTTAGGGTTATTTTGTGGGTTGGCATTGTCATAACGGTTGGTTGAGTAAATTCGATAGTGTTAGGGTTAGCTAAGTTTAGGGTTAACAATAGCATCAAAAGTGAGACACTGGTCAGTGTGGTGACACGGATAGTATCACTTCAACAAATAGCATCTCTGGTAAGTAACCGAAGAGACATTCAAAATTAGGGCATGACTGTTATTTGGCCATTTTTCTTGTCAAACGTATTCAAAACTAATGATTTGCTCTCCAAAAGTAATGATCTGGTCATAATGTCCTCTTTAAAGACTATATATTGCAGCCTTTTTAAAACTTGTTTTAATCGGGTTAGCACAAAGCTCAGGGATTGTCTTTCTCTCTTGTTCTGCTACTAAATTTTTCTCACTCTTTTATAAGACATTTTAAATATGTAACTCAGTAGGTTAAAATCTTATTTCTACAAGTTTTAATTTTAAAATTCAAAGGGACACTGTATGCACCCAGACCACTTTAGCTAATTGAAGTGGCCTGGGTGCTGTGCTCCTATTGCACTTAGTGCTGCAATGTAAAACGTTGCAGTTCCAGAGAACTGCAATGTTTACATTTCAGGTCTAAGTCTGCCCTCTGTCGCTGTCTACCAGAATCCAAACTGACTTTTGGTCCGTTATCTGATGCTGAGTGTCCTCACGGACCTCCAGTGTCAGATTTTCTCCATAGGAAAGCTTTCCTATGGGGAGGTCTAAGGTCCCACGCATGCGCATTAGGTATCCCCCCGGCTGCATGGGGCCGAGCCTGACCTAGCGCTGAGGGACATCACAGCTGGATTCAGGTAAGTGGCTGAAAGGTTTTTAACCCCTTCAGCCATGTGGAGAGGTGTCGGGGGGGCTTGTGTTCCTGGCACTATAGGATCCCTTTAACCAAATAGACTTTGAAAAAAGCAATTACTGTTGTGGAAGTTGATGTAAATATTGCCGTACCCTTGTCTCAAAAGTCTTTGGATTTTTAGTGACTGGTAAAGAATTTTAAATAGATTAGGCATCTTTCGGACCAGATTTTATGGATTACATCACCATGAATGCACCTACAGCCACATTACTGGGAATGGTAGTTACAACATCTGGAATGCCAAATGTTTATTTCCCCTGAAATAGTCCAGTTGCATTTCAGATGTTTGCTACTTGATCACATGCCAAGAGTGCACTATGCATTCTGTAGAGAGGCATTAAACCACCGTTAGAAACATAGAAACATAGAAACATAGAATGTGACGGCAGATAAGAACCATTCGGCCCATCTAGTCTGCCCAATTTTCTAAAAACTTTCATTAGTCCCTAGCCTTATCTTATAGTTAGGATAGCCTTATGCCTATCCCATGCATGCTTAAACTCCTTTACTGTGTTAACCTCTACCACTTCAGCTGGAAGGCTATTCCATGCATCCACTACCCTCTCGGTAAAGTAATACTTCCTGATATTATTTTTAAACCTTTGTCCCTCTAATTTAATGTCCTCTTGTTGTGGTAGTTTTTCTTCTTTTAAATATAGTCTCCTCCTTTTACTGTGTTGATTCCCTTTATGTATTTAAATGTTTCTATCATATCCCCCCCTGTCTTGTCTTTCCTCCAAGCTATACATGTTAAGATCCTTTAACCTTTCCTGGTAAGTTTTATCCTGCAATCCATGAACCAGTTTAGTAGCCCTTCTCTGAACTCTCTCTAAGGTATCCATATCCTTCTGAAGATACGGTCTCCAGTACTGTGTACAATACTCCAAGTGAGGTCTCACCAGTGTTCTGTACAATGGCATGAGCACTTCCCTCTTTCTACTGCTAATGCCTCTCCCTACACAACCAAGCATTCTGCTAGCATTTCCTGCTGCTCTATTACATTGTCTGCCTACCTTTAAGTCATCAGAAATAATCACCCCTAAATCCCTTTCCTCATATGTTGAGGTTAAGACTCTATCAAATATTCTGTACTCTGCCCTTGGGTTTTTACGTCCAAGATGCATTATCTTGCACTTATCCACATTAAATGTCAGTTGCCACAACTCTGACCATTTTTCTAGTTTACCTAAATCATTTGCCATTTGGCTTATCCCTCCTGGAACATCAACCCTGGTACATATCTTAGTATCATCAGCAAAAAGACATACCTTACCATCAAGACCTTCTGCAATATCACTAATAAAAATATTAAAGAGAATGGGTCCAAGTACAGATCCCTGAGGAACCCCACTGGTGACAAGTCCAAGCTTCGAATATATTCCATTAACTACAACCCTCTGTTGCCTGTTACTCAGCCACTGCCTTACCCATTCAACAATATTTGAATCCAAACTTAAAGATTGCAGTTTATTGATAAGCCTTCTATGTGCAACAGTGTCAAAAGCCTTACTGAAATCTAGGTAAGCACCACCCTGATCTATAATTTTAGTTACCCAATCAAAAATCAATAAGATTAGTTTGGCATGATCTCCCTGAAGTAAACCCATGTTGTCTCTGATCTTGAAATCCATGTGTTCTTAGATGTTCAACAATCCTATCCTTTAACATGGTTTCCATCACTTTCCCCACTACTGAAGTAAGGCTTACTGGCCTATAGTTGCCGACTCCTCCCTATTACATTTCTTGTGAATGGGCACAACATTCGCTAACTTCCAATCTTCTGGGACTACTCCTGTTAACAATGATTGATTAAATAAATCTGTTAATGGTTTTGCTAGTACACCACTAAGCTCTTTTAATAGCTTTGGGTGTATTCCATCAGGTCCCATTGACTTATTTGTCTTTACTTTTGACAGTTGAAATAGAACCTCTTCCTCTGTAAACTCACGTGTAATAAATGACTCATTTATCCTTTTCTCAACTGAGGTCCCTTTCCTTCATTTTCATCTGTAAATACAGAACAAAAATTTTCATTGAGGCAGTCAGCTAGACCTTTATCCTCTTCTACATACCTTCCTTCTTTTGTTTTTAATCTAACTAATCCTTGTTTTACTTTTCTTTTCTCATTTATGTATCTAAAAAATGTTTTATCCCCTTTTTTTACTGACTGTGCTATTTTCTCTTGTGTGTGTGATTTGGAAGCTCTTATAACTTGCTTAGCCTCTTTCTGCCTAATCTTATAGATAATTTTGTCTCCCTCACTCTGGGTTTTTTTATAATTCCTAAATGCTAACTTTTTGTTTTTAACTATTTTGGCCACATCTGCGGAGTACCACAGTGGTTTCTTGAATTTTTTGCTTTTTACTGACAAGCCTAATGCAATCTTCTGTTGCCTTCAATAGTGCAACTTTTAAATAATCCCATTTTTCTTGGACTCCATTTAAATTGCTCCAGTCTGATAATGACTCCTCTACCCATATTCTAATTTTAGAAAAGTCTGTTTTTCTAAAGTCTAAAACTTTTGTTTTTGTGGGGTGTGACTCAGTCACTGTTCTTATATTAAACCACACTGACTGATGATCACTGGATCCTAAGCTTTCACCTACAGTAATATCTGATACCAAATCTCCATTTGTTAACACTAAATCTAGTATGGCCTCTTTACGAGTTGGCTCCTCAACAACTTGTTTTAGAGACAATCCCAGTAGGGAGTTTAGAATATGTGTGCTCCTGGCACAAGTAGCTAATTTTGTTAGCAATTATTAGGAAGCTTGTAGGTCAGCACACTGGAAGAATCCTATGAAATGTATAGGATAAATATGGAATACAAAACAGTGGTGCAGATACTAACATCAGTTTACATTGGCAAGAAGGGTTTATTAGCTGCATAAAATGTTCAGTTTCAAGAAAATTTTATGATTTAGCCCCCCTAATGACAATACTTTAAGTCTACCGCCACATCACAATACCATGTTACTTACATGCAAGTTACAATCCAAAACAGCCCAAAAGGAAATGAAGCACATAAACAGTTCTGTTAAATAGCAGCAACAGACCTGCCAGAGTTCTCTCTCCTTGCCTGATTGTTGTTTGCAGTGGGTTGGTCATTGTATTTCTGATGGGTAAATATGCAAAACAGAACATGTATGGCGGAGTATATTTAACTGTCTGGTCTGGAATAGATGTAGAGAAACACTTATTTAATAGAGCTCCAAACCAGCTCTAGGGTATATGGGTATCTTCTTATAATCGGTATAAACATGTAATACAAAGCAGAACAAAGGACCAATATATAGTGTAGTATTTCAAATACACTTGGATTATATAGAATTTATATATCATATGCACTCACATCATATAGAGCCACAGGCGTCTCTAACAAGATATTGTGAAGTGGTATAATTCCCACTCAAGGATAACGTTCAGCCAGGTGTAGTCAGCAGTATGCGTGATATGTAATATAGTGCTCTCTGTAGACAACAGATGAAATAGTAAATAAAAGAATGATACTTACATGTATCTGAGCAATTTCGGGTATTTCTCAATCCTTTTGGCTTTAGTGAATAGTATCCCCACCAAGGATATAATCAATGTAGAGTAGATTCAGATGAGAGGCCACCCAAGAGCATGATTAAAAAAAAAAAGCTTTATTATAAATTAATTTATAAAAGCAAGACAATACATAATAAAATTACTTTTTCTAAAGTGTACAGAGGAACTGATTAGCGACCTAGACAAGTGGGTAGAGAAACCTATCTCGTGGATAGGGAGAGTTCACTCCATCAAGATGAACATCCTCCCCAGCGTTCTTTTCCTGTTTTCCCGATCAGAGGAGATGGGTGGAACTGGAGTCACTAATGATGGACTCAGATCTTCCCCAATACTTTATTTGGCTGCCCAAAGACCCCAGGGCGTTCCTGAGAACGGATGGCCCGTGCATACTTAACTCAATCCGGGTATGGGACAAATACGCAGGAAATATGGCCTAGTTAAACTTCCCTTCCCAATGATGCCCCTGTTTAGGAACAGAGTATTTCCCCAAGGGATGAGACCCGGGACTTCAAAAAGCTGGAGACTGTGGGACTCTAAAGACTGCCACACAACTAACCGAGACCGCTTACACACCTTTAACAAACTAAAAGAGAGGGTGACCCTTACAATCAGAGACCTCTTTCGGTACATACAACTTAAAGACTTTCTCAACCAACCCGACATAAAGGAATTGACGACAAAAAACATTACCCAACTAGAAAACGTGCTTGAAGGAAAGCATACACAGGAAAATGATCTCATCCGTCTACACACACATAGCCTCCAACACTACTGAATGGGGAACACTCACATACGTTGACCAATGGGAAGCAGACCTAGGTGAGAAACTTGAAGGAGTGGAGTGGCAGGAAATATGGGAAGCCGACAACACATCCTCAATTTGCACAACAGTACAAGAGCAGGCATATAAAACCATGTTCCGATGGTACACAACACCGGTACACCACCGCATGCAGCAGACATCCGATGACCACTTCTGGAGGAACTGCGGGGCCAAGGGAACGTATCTCCACATTTGGTGGGAATGCCCAGTCGTAAAGGCATTCTGGCAGGAGGTAGGTAACCTCTTGACACAGATATTTCAGCGCAGGATAGAACTAGACCCCTGGGTCTTCTTACTGTCCAGATCATTAGACGACTGGGTGAGATTAGCAAAATCTCCTACAGAAAATAACCCTTGCAGCACGTAGAGCCCTGGCACAGACCTGGCTACAGCTGAGCGCCCCGCACGTCTCTGTAGTGATATATAAAATAAGGGACACGTGTCTCATGGATAGGATGACTGCATTTACTAGGGGGTCCTTACAGAAACAAAACAAGATGTGGGAACCATGGCTAAACGCAAAAAAGTCTATAGATTATTAGGTCTGTCCACCTCCCGCAAGTGGTGCTCTAGACGGCTCCCTTCAACTCCCCCTCCCTCCCCGCTTCACCCCTTTCCGTTACTCGAGTTAATTCCCCATCTCTACTTTTCTTCTCTGGATTACTATGATCAACCTCTCAACGTAGAAAGGCATGTGTAATGAACATAGGAAGTGAGAATAAAACTGTTGAGAACCTGATCCTATGTGGGCCGCATTCTCTGCCCACCAGTTCTTACTATCCATTTTCAAAATTGTTTGTTTCATTGTTTTACATTTTATCTTCTTTAAAAAAAAAAAATAATAAAGTTTACTTTACAAACCTCAGTCATAATGTCTAACAATATGTCTCATATACAGCTTCGTTACTACTGGCCTTATGCTGATAAACATGTCCACTGTGCGACTGACTGATTATACACAATATTGTATTGTTACCTCTGTGTTGTATGTGGAACCCTGTCTTGAACTAAATAAAGAATTTATTTTTTAAAAAAAAGTGTTCCTGGAAGTTACTTATATAGAGGTTTCAACATTTTAGAAAGTTTGGTGCTCAAGTGAGGTTATTCGGGTTTATTAGTGACCTACGATATCATGGGTCAAATAAGAGACGTTACACACTATTGGTTATTTCAAATTATCATATGTAACTTAAAATCTCAAGTTGTGTGTTTATTACTTTAATGTTGCATTAAAAAAAAAAAAGTATCCAAATTGAAAACAAGACAAACGAAAATCATATATTGAAGGAATATATGGAGAAAACGCGCTTTTACAAAATGGAGTCGTGGTATTCTGTGACTGACTTTAAAACAATGGCGGGCTGTTTTAAAGAATATATGCTAAGGTATTAAAAATAAAGTTATATGTTTATATATAACTGTGTATATCACAGTTGAAACTAGGCATAAGGTGTAGATTTCCAACCGCGTAATCTGACCAAAGCAATATGGGGCATGTATTTGGAACTTGTACTGCATTCCCCATAATGCTTTTGTCCAATGACATGATCGGACATCTGCGTGATGCTCCTGGATGCCCCATTTGTCTGTAATTACTCTACATTTATATACTAAAGCCTAATGGATTGAGCAGTACCACAAATTGCTCAGATCATTGTAAGTAGCATTCTTCTATTTACTACATGGCTGTTGTCTACAGAAAGCGCTTTATTTTGTGTTTTTTTGTGTTCACTTATATCGCTGACTACACCTGAGTAAATGTTATCCTTAAATGGGGATTTTACCATTTCACAACATCTTGTTGGAGCCTGTGGCGGAACCAGCCTCGCCACTGGGCATTGGAGAAGATTGATTGCCAGCCTCCTGCCATGTGACTATGGCCCCTGGGAGACTTTGCCCTGTGTAAGCATTATTTGGGCTTGTTGGATTTTGAAACACTTTTTCTGCCCCTTTGAATACATGAAAAGGTGTTCCCCTCCCCCGTTTCCTGTCTATTGTTCTCCAGCAGGGTGTTGTCCCAGGGACACTGCCAGACCAGTTGGAACTTGTTGCTAAACTTTAACCCCATGGCAATTTGACTGTGTTTGTGGGATATTCACGCTGTTCGGATATAGTGAGCGCTCAGATCCAATGTGGGGGTTCTGTTCAGTATGATAGGAATTATGTATTTTTGTGTGTTTTTACTGTTGTTGTAAATGGAGATATTTTCTGTATGCTGGAGATAATTGGCTTACCACAACCAAGCCATGCTTGCAGTTGGTCAAAAAGGGATTTCCAACTAACTTTTGAACCACTGGACCAATTTGTATGATTTTGCCATAATTTTGTATTTGGAGTATGCGGATTCTGAAAATGTAAGTATGTGAATGTGATGTATACTTTTAAAGTTATGAATATTGTGTAAAATTGTGTATTTTCCTGTCTGTGATAATTATGTCAGCCCATTGTGTTCAGTAATTATATCACAGGCAGAGGGGAGGGTTTTGTGTGTAATTGCTGGGAGTGTCTGAGTGTATTGTACGTATTGGTTGGTTGTTTTGCAAAACCCTGTGGGCAGTACTATGTGTGTAAAATGTGCATAAAAGCAGAGTGTTTGATTAAAAGTTTCAGTTCTACTTCACTCTCAATTTGGAGTGCCGTCTCTTATTGGGGAAATCTGCTACAAGGGATTGCTATGCTCTGCATACTCTCTTGCTATATTCACTGCTAAGCTCTTGTAAGAGCTTGTTCCAGTTTTTGCTCTCTGAGTCTACGGTGGGTATGCTGTCTGCTGGAGTGCTGGAAACCCTCAGGAAGCGCTAGGAGCATCCTTTAACGGAGGTACCCAGTTGGGGTGCCCTTCGATCCGTTACAGAGCCACTTGCAGCTTTAAATCACATGCATATGATATATAAATTCTAAATCATCCCAGTATGTTTGATATACTACTCTATATATTGCTTTTGTATCGGCTTTCCATTACGTTTTGCTGCGCACAGATTGTTTTGCCCTGCAGTACATATTCTAGACGGGGATTGTTTTGCCTGTACGCAGCACTCTAGAGCTGCTTTGGAGCTCTATTAAATGTAAGTGTCTCTCTACATCTATTCCTGTCCAGTCAACTTTACTCCACTGTTGGACTTTTTCTGTGTTCTGCTCTTCATGTTTACCCATCTGAAGCGCAACGACCAACCCACTGCAAACTACACAAATTACTGTATTTACTGCTTAAACTGCTGCAATTTACCTAATCACTGTTTTTATCACTGCCAGGATATTTTTTTCTCTCTCTAAATCATTTGCAGCATCTGTTCGAATTAATTTTGAACGTTTTCCAAACTGAGGTGATTTAAATTGACACTTTGCATTTATTGGTTATATTGGGTTCAGTCATACACACGATTAGTTTGATTTATATTAAATAATACAGCAGTGAACTGTATATTGTTTGTTTTGTTTCACTGTGTTATGAGTGACCACCTTTGGTGAATATGCAGTGGCATTGTGCATCCTGTTACAAGCTATTTCATCTGGACACACCCCACCCTAGCAGACAATGCATGCATTTATTCACAACAGATTTCATAGGAATTACTATTGATTATCTTCCAACCAACATTATACAAATGCTGCATACTTCTAAGCACAACCTATATTACAGGAGTAGATCTCAATTCACAACAATTCAAATTGCCATGGCACCAATCTGGCCTGTAGCTTTTACAGCAGAATTCAGATACATTCACAAGAATTTCTGACACAACATAGAGTGTGTGTGCAATTTATTTGTGTAATTCCATACCCTACACAAAGCATCTGGTTAGACCTAATTTAGGATGGAACATTATGCACGTGCTCTGTAGTGAGTGAAGCTTTCCTTGCTTTGCTTTGATTGATACCTTAATGAGATATATCATAACGTCTGTGTATAAGTCTTCAATTATAAAAAGAAACCATGCTGCTTTGCTATGCTCTTAAGTGTTATTGAAGCTCGATACTATGTTAACCTTAATTGGTCTGTGGAAGACTAACGAATCCCCTCTCCTATATGCTATTATAGGCATGGTGTTATCTTCAGTAATATAATTTTAGTGTTGAAAACAGAGATAATAATTACATTTATAGGATGCCAAACCTTTCTAGGTTTAATTCAAGCCAGTAAGTTTCACTATATAATGCATTCTTTACAAAACTGCCCCTAGTCTCTCAGTTTTATTAGTTATATATTTCTTTTTCAATGTGTGCAACTCTTTTTTAACCGGACGAAGCCTGCTGGTGTGCCACTTCACTGTGAGTGATCAGGTGACACTTTCAGGATATATAATGTAAGTGCGTAAGCAAAAGCTGCCGGCTCTCTGACTAAAGTGGAGGCAGGGCAAAATGCCTGTTATCTACTACCCCAGTCAGAGAGCCGGAAGCTTCTGCTTAAGAGCTTCTGTTATATTTCCTATAGCTTATTTGTTAGTAGATTAGTAGTTGCAGGTCCATATTATAACTGAGTCTTGGAAGATTCATCATGGGTAATTTCATGAAGGAACAACTAAAAATAATGGAATTTTATTTTCTAAACTGAGAGAACTGTATGGTGAGCAGATTGTCACGTTGCAGGGTGTTCGTATCGGTGTGACCGCACCTGACACAATTAAGTCCTTGATCGGCGCGGCCGAAAAGAGAGAAATGAACTAACCTGGATTGCAGCTGATTGCCGCCTGATCCGCCCATAAGTTGGGTCCCGGCTTGTGCGGCGTTCTAAAGGAACGCCGGCAGCTGTGGTCAAATTCTTAACAATAAAGGACACACTGCCCACATTAAAGATGGTGCCTGTGTGCGTGTGATGTCACAATATTGATGCACACGCATGTTATGAGGTCAAAAGCCAGTACTGACCAATCACAGCACTGCGAGGGATATTTAAACCCTGTAATGCCTTTTCTCAGTGCCCTGTCGTGGTTTCCACTTGTGGTTGTTAGAGAGCGTTTCTTGGTAATATTTTCAGTTTTTTTACTTTGGCTTATGTTTTGACTTTCCCTACTTCTAGTATCCTGACCTTTAGCTAGTATATTCCTTTGTCTTATTCTGTATCCAATGTAGAAAGGTACAAAATTCAACAAAAGGCAATTTCTTAAACACACAGCCACATCGCAACGTTTCGACCTACATGGTCTTTATCAATTATTCTGTATCCCTGACCTCAGTTTGTTATGTGACCATTCTCTTTTACGATAAGTCTGGCCATTCTAAGGCACTGTAAATGTTGTTTGTGTTATCATTGTTTTGCGTGTTGGGTCATACAGTAGTCGTGACAGATAATTTCAAGAAATTCCCAGATTAACTAGCCGCCACATTTGCCTGACCTTTCAGCTCCTGATTACTTCTTGTGGGGATATCTGAAGGAGTGGGAGTACATGAACAAATCGTGTTCACTTGACCAGCTCAAAGAGAATATCCATGCAGAAATTAAAGCACTAGAGCCTTAAACATTAACTAATGTTAGGAACAATGCCATCGAGCGAGCCTGACTTTGCGAGGTGGCAAATGGAGCTCATTTAAAAGATGTAATCTTACGTATCTAATAAAATCTCCATATGTTAAGCATTCATTGTATGTAATATCATTGAAATTGGCTCATAAATAAAAAAATTTACTGCTCAAACTCTACACTGAACATGCTCAAGTGGTAAAGTGTGACCAGCCTGTGTATTTAGTCAACTCCTGTATGTTTAAAACCCATTGTTGTTTTCATTTTTTTTTTTATTAGGCACATGGGAGTTGCCCCTGGGTAGGGGCTGTGGGGAACATTAGTTCCCTCCCTGGTTATTAAATAAATGTTCTCACCCACCGCTAATGGATGGGGCTTGTTGGGGACATTAATTGTCCTCTTATTTATTATTAAAGAAAAGCCCCCAACACACTGCCAATGGGTGAGGGCTAGGTGGTCAAGAGTTGTCTTGGTTGATAAAAGACTGAAGTCCATCAAGTTCAACTTATACAGTTAAAAAGAAGGCAAAACATTTTTAATTTTTAATTATGCCACAAAAGGGGAAAAAAATCCTTCTTGACTCCATAATGACAATCTGATTTCTCCTTGGATCAATAATCTGTTTATATATATATATAAATTATATCCTGAATACTCTGTTTATGCAAAAAAAGAATCCAAGCCTTTTTGTTTTTAACCCTCTGGTGAAATTTATTTAATTCAATATTTCAATTTATTTATCTTTATATATTTCGCTAGCTGGGGTGGGTGGAAGTTATTTGGAAATTTGGTGTTTGGCTAGCTATGGGTTAAAAGTAAAAGGTTTTAAAAAAAGTTTAATAAAGTTTAAAAAAATGTAATAGTAAAAAAAAAAGTAAAACGAATTCCACCCCTTTACCAAGTCCTTATAAAAATTAACCCCTTTCCTGCCAGTTGATCACTGCCCACAGTGATCAAAATACAGATCACAGTATTTTACTGTGATCTGATTTTTTTTCACCCCTGAGGGTTAACTTTTATTTATTTTTTTAACCCCCAGTGGCTAAGTTTATTTAATTAATTACTTAAATGTCTTTATTATTATATATTTTGTTGGCTGGGATGGTTGGACGTTATTGGGGAATTTGGTGTTAGGCTAGTTAAAAGTAAAAGTTTTTTTTTTAAAAAGTTTTAAAAAATTAATGTTAAAAAAGTTTTAAAAAGTAAAAGTTTACAAAGTACAAAAGAAAATACTCATTAGTACTACACTTGGTACAAACTAGCGAAAAAATTATCCCACACTAAGGTTCAAAATATGTCTTTTTAAATATCCCAGGGTGTATTCTTTAAGAAATGGTATGCGTTTGTGGGTTAGTTTGAATAACAAACCTTCTAAACTACTCCAAAATGGGACATGGACTAGCATGAAAGTTTGAAAAAAAAAACAGAAGGGCTCAAAATATTTCAAATATGCCCCTTCAACATCCACATATAGCTGGCAAAGGTACATACGGGAGTATTGCTGTACTCAGACAATATAGCTGAGCAACCTATGAAGTATTATACTGCCATAGCACACAAAGTTTGCAGAATATACAGTAAAAGCTCACAGAGTGTGTCAAAAAGGCAGAAAATGCTTATTTCCACTACACTTAGTACAAAATAGTGAAAACATCATCCCACGCTAAGGTTCAAAATATGCCTTTTGAAATATCCTGAGGTTTATTCTTTAAGAACTGGTATGCCTTTATAGGGTAGTTGAAATATGTAGCCTGCTAAAATACTCCAAAATTGGACATGGACCAAGCATAAATATTCAAAGTTTGAATAAAATTTAGAGTGGCTGTCTCAAATGTGCCATTTCAATGTCCACATACACCTGGCAAAGGTACATACAGGGGTATTGCTGTACTCAGACGACATAGCTGAGCAACATATGAACAGTGATTAAAGAATAGTCCTTTCCCCGCCCAGTAACAAGACGACACATAGTTCTTGGAGTACAAGCTGGAATATTTTAATGGCAGCCACAACTGGCCTTATATGCATGTCCCCATGCAAGGGGCACTCCCCCTGGACCTGAGAGTAAATCACAGTAGAAACAAATACACAATTACATTGGCTCTCAGACCCATACTTTTTCCCAAACATCCCAAAAGTACACTAAAAATAAATAAAACTCCCACAAAAGTTACACCCCTGATAGCCCAATCTGGGTGACCAACATATCCAAAAATCACCCAGATCAGTTCAAGGGTTCAGGAATTCCCTGGAAGTCATAATTTGACCAACCGTGCACATGGTCCTATGTAGAGTTGAGCAAACCCGAACTGTAGAGTTCGGGTTCGTACCCAACAGTACAATTTTTTGACCCCGAGCCCGGACATTTCAGTAACAGTTCGAGTTCGATGTTCGGCGATTTAATGGTGCGTTTTGAAAAGCTGCAGGGCAGCCAATCAACAAGCCCTTAGAAGCCATCACAGCCATGCCTACTAATATGCCATGGCTGTGATTGGCCAGTGCAGCATGTGACCCAGCCTCTATATAAGCTAGAAGGGGCATGTCTATTAAACAGTGAGAAGCCTGTGGTCTTTTTAAACCGGGGCCCCCCTCCCGAGCCCCCACTCGTGATGTGCGAGTGGGGACTTTTAATCTAAAGGAGGGACCGGGGGCCCTAAAGTAAAATAATGGGGGGAGAACCTATTGTCCTCCCCCCTGGCCCCCCACCCCTGTCAGTCTCTTCATTTACCTGTCAGAGCACTCTGATTGGATGACTTAAACCCACCAATCAGAGTGCTCTGAGTGTAATTGCAGGGCGGGGCAGATGGATTATGTTTTTTGCGCTCGTTTTTTTGGTTTTTTTAAAGTGTGTCGGTTATTATGGATTTTTATTTGGCCTTTTTTGGGGCTGAAAAAAGATTTTAGAAGAAAGAAAACATCAAATGGTAAGTTTTATTTTATTTTTACAGGTACTTAATTAAAGGTCCCCCCTCATTATTTTTAGGGTGAGGGGAGTAGGTAGGGGTTAATTTTTGGGGGGAGGAGGGTGACTAGGGATTTTGACTTTTGACAGGAGGGTGACTTTTGGGGATTTTTATTCAGGGCCCCCACCCGCCGTTTAGGGGTGGGGGCCAGTGGGGGGGGACAATAGGTCCCCCTAATTGGTGTTTAGGGCCCCAACCCACCGCTCATGGGTGAGGTCCAGGGGGAGGACATTAGGTCCCCCCAATTTTTATTTAGGGCCCCCACCCACTGCTCACGGGTGGGGGCCAGGGTGGAGGAAATTAGGTACCCCCCCTTATTCTAATTCAGGGCCCCCACCCACCGCTCAGGGGGCCCCCACCCACCGCTCAGGTGTCCCCTCATCTCTAGTGCTATGCCCAAAACAGTTCCATGAAATCAGTGCTAACGGTCGGTTAAGTTCGGTAGTCTTTTACAGTTTCCCTGCAGGGCCCATAGTCTGTGGGCAGGAGGCTGGCAAGCAAGCTCCTCCAGGAGCTCGTGGCAAACTCACGTGGGAAGGGGAGTTTGTCACAGCCTCCATTTAAATCAGATAAAAATTTATCTACCCTAATATACTCCCATGGATAGGGCTCATGATTCAATATATCTGAAATCCTCCTCTGGGAATATCTAATTGTAAAATCAGGAGCTTTGGGGAAGAGAAAGTCCACACATTAAATACAATTGATGGGTCCTAAGGGGGATATGGGATAATAGTCTACTTTAAAAAGAATTGGAACAAATTATTTAATTAATGGGAATAAGAAATGATAGGCGAAAATATTTTCCAATAGTATAAGGATATCCTATTTTAATTTAAAATGAAATATCTGAGGATAAACTTAAGACAAAGTTGTAACACATTATAGAACTTGAAATATTCTAAGTTCTAGACAGACTAGAAGATATTTTTCCGGCCTAAGCAGTGGCGTACTAAGGGAGGGGCGGGGGGTGCGGTCCGCCCCGGGTGCCAGCAGGATGGGGGGTGCCATGACCGGCCCCGCCGGCCCCCCCATGCTGCAGCCGCCCAAGCGCTCTGTAGTGAGCCTCACGCGGCTGCAGCTTTGCCCGGGCGGTGCGTCCATGAGGGCGGACCGCACCGCCCGGGCGCAACCTGAGGAGAGGCTGACAGGAGGGAAACGCTCAGCGCTCCCTCCTGTCACTCCCTCTCTGTAGCGTGGCTGAGCCCAGCATAGCCGGCGGGTACAGAGAGCAGCTGTCTCTTGTACCCGGCCGGACTAACAGGAAGTGCACACATTGTGTGCACTTCCTGTTAGTCCGGCCGGGTACAGGAAACAAAAGCTACCTGTACCCTCACATGGACTGGCTACAGGGCCTCGGCCACGCTACAGCAAAAGGTAGGGGAGGGGGGATGAGAAAGAGAAGAAAGGGGGGGCAGAAATGAAGGGGTGAGAAAGAGAGTAGAAAGGGGGTGAGAAATGAAGGTGAGAAAGAGGAGAAAGGGGGCAGAAAGAGAAGAAAGGGGGGTGAGAAATGAGGGGGGGTGAGGTTGGTGGGGGGTGAGAAAGAGGAAAGGGGGGGTGAGAGAGGAGAAAGGGGGGTGAGAGGAGGAGAAACGGGGTGAGAGAGGAGAAGGGGTGGGAGAAAGAGGAGAAGGGGGGTGAGGAGGCCGAGAAATGAGGGGGGTGAGAGAGAAATGAGGGGGGGTGAGAGAGAAAGTTGAGGTGTATACACTATGGGGTGTATTAATTATGGGGGGTGTATTAATTATGGGGTGTATTTACATGGGGGTGTATATTAATTATGGGGGGTTTATTAATTATGGGGGGTGTATATTAATTATGGGGGGTTGTATTAATAATGGGGGTGTATCAATTATGGCGGTGGTGTATATTAATTATGGGGGTGTGTTAATTATGGGGGTGTATTAATTATAGGGGTGTATTAATTATAGGGGTGGATTAATTATTGGGGATGTATTAATTATGGGGGGTGGATTAATTATTAGGGGT